TCCTTTTTGCAGTACCCTGCTACATTCCTCTGTATTTCCAGGCGCCTCACACCATGGCTGGGAAGACCTGGGCAACACACACACACCAGACAGGTACTGTATATGTACTGTATATACACTATACTGTCTACACTACAGTATAGCCGGACATTATAAAACACAAACTCAATCTGTATTCACTGCCAACATTACAGGAGGGAGTTTAACATTTCATGATGGCAAAGTAAAACAGCTTTAGTGCATAAATGAATGCACCGATAACAGACGGGCCTTAAAATAATAGTTTGGCATTTAATTCAGTTCATTTATTGATCTCTTGCCTGTCCGAAGGTTAACAATTTTTCTTAAAAACACTTTAAAAGTGAACAAGTTACTCTTCCAGTCCATACTGTTTTTTTTTCTGATTGCCACTCCTATTAAAATGATATAATAGGAACCACAGCGTGTACTTCCACTGTGATTTCCCGTACTGCATATTCCAAACTATACTGGAAATCCCTGATGAAAAATAACCCCCGTCATCTGTCTTTTGTTGCCTGATACTGCTCAATTAATAGAGTCACCCGATGACAATTACTGCGTGTGCCGGGCAATACAACTGATCCGACTAGGGAGGAACATCCGGTGTTCTGTGATGAGAATGTATCGACCAAAGCCCTTTTAGCCTTCACCTCACTGCCATCTCCTTCCCATTATAATGAGAGGAAATCAATGCCTCTGATACATACACATCCATTTCCTACTTTGTTGTTGCTTTACCCTGTGGGAAATTTAACAGGCTTTTTGCACACAGTGATAATGGAGGCGTATGCTGGAGAGATTGAGATCTATATGGCAAGGGAGGGGAAAATAACAATGAGATAAGGAGGGGGGGATACATTTTATAAAAAATAAAAGGCAGTAAAAGGAATAAAAAAGAGAAATTAAGCAGTAAGTAAAAATGACAAGAGGGATGCTGTAAAGGGGGAAAGAAAGAAGGATTACAGTGAGACGGGGAAGGCATAATTTGCAAGAAAACAAGGCTCACTCTCTTAGATGAGAGAGTACAGCATAAACAAAGTGGCATACAAGGAGCAGTCACTTTGTCTTGCCCTGTGTGTTCGTCTGGGTCTCTGGGTGTAGCCATCAGTTTGCCTTAGGGACATGCAGGGTGACATGAACTCCTCTTTACTGCTAAGAGAGGGAAAGAGAGAGGGGGGGGGGGGGCTGTAAAAGTGACAAATGTCTTCTTGAGGAGTGCAGAGAACAAGGTATTGTGTTAGTTTATCAACTGTCTGTCAGGGTCAAAAAGTGAAAAGTGATACAAGCGAAAACTCATGTTATATAGATGATGTTTTACTATGATTGTGTACTGTGTTGTCAGCAGATGGCAGAATGATGAAAAGCTTCACTGTAATAAAAAAGAAAAGAAACATTAAAAAAGTTTGAAAGAAAGGCTTTTTGAGGACACTCGGTTATCCACTAATGCACTTTTACAGTGAAGCAAAGTTGTCAGTGTGTAGGGCAAAGGATGCAACCTACTGTAGCCCAGTGCGTAATTTGTACAGGATGTACAATGTGTGTGTGTGTTGGTGTGTTTTAGAAAAGGCAGTGTTGCAGAGTACAAGAGAGTAGCAGTGAATGTGATTTATTCATGACAATGAATTAGTGACTCACTCAATCTGGAGCTACTCTGTTTAGCTGGAGTGTGGGACTGTGTGTGTTTGAGCATGTGTGTGTTTGTGTCAACGTGGATCTGAAAATGACTTGCGTGTTATAACGTTTTTTTTAAAAGAGCCATTTTTTATATTAATTTAAGATTATGTGACTTGACAATTTCCTTTACTGTTTGATAATCTAAAACGATATACTACTGACATACAAATAAGCACACACACAGACAGTGTGATCTGAGTCTAGACCGAACTCTGAGACATCACGCTAACTCTGCAACTCCCATCGGCCCTGAAGGTGACACAGACGGAGGCCGTGGCTTTGCTGAAATACTTGAGGATCATCTTCCAGCCAGCTGAAACTCAATCCACTCTCCATTCTCCTCACCTTACTCAATGATGGATTGACAACATGAAACTGAGGGGGTGGGGGACACACTCAGTGTCCTCACATCAATCAAACCTCCCACACAGAGGATGGTGGTGGCCTTGTGTCAAACTAACTCACAAACTTTTGGTAAACTTTTTCTCCTCCACCTTACAGCTCCTTGGGTTGTTCCATCCGATCAAACATTTCCCCTGAGCAGGGTGAGTGCTAGCTTTGACTCATCAAAAATGAAAGGGATCACACAAGTTCAATGTGTGTGCAGTATGAATGTGGTACAGTCAGTGGAGGGTACCACCATGAGGATTTAAGGCGTATTACATGCAGATTGATAGCTAGAAAGAGGGGGAATACAACAATAAATATGCCATGATTCTATTTACAACTGTTACCTATACGTTTTTTGAAAAAGCTCAGCTTATATTATTATTGACATACTAATATTTCAGTCTCGTTTTCACCTCACCGACCCAGTGGGCAGGGTTGGCAGTGTCTACCAGGCTGGCAAAGATGCCTCGGTAAAGGGCACTGGGTCTGTGCCCACTGCCGCTCAACAAACCTGTCTGTCAGGGTCATCTTGGAAAGGCAAGTTGCCCAACAGACGAGTCATTAAACAGACAAATGAGAGACAGAGAGATAAAGAGAGAGAGAAGAAAGTGTCAGATGCTCTTCATAGTGAACATGGTGCAAAAGGCAGAGAAAGACAAATGTAAGAGAAAACAATGAGAGGAGAGATAGTCTGACACAAACTGATTAACAGGGGGAACATGAGAAGGATCAAGCTGCCGCCTCACTTAACAGTTTGCCCATGTTCACTGGAAAAAACACTCAGCTTCTGCCATTTCCTGTGTTAAAGCCACAGCCGTCATCGCTGAACCCTTACACACTACTTTAACTCATGTTGATGCCACAATAGAAAGCATATGGAGTGGAAAAACATATGGAGCCACAGGGGAATGCCATGCGGCTGCATATGGATTTTGACCTTTTTGCTTTTCTTGAAAGACAGCCAACTTCTGTGAGGGCAGAATGACTTGGCAGACCTCTTCCTGACTTGTTGCGGGCAGAAGCCACAGCTCTCTGCAATGCAGTGTCTTAGTATAGTTTGACAGAGAAACAGTCGCTGACATAAAACAACACGTTGTATTGGTTTAGCTGCAGTAGTATGTTATTGAATATAGTCTGTTAATTGTGAGAGTTCAAATGTCTCTGCTGGCATTGGTATGTAAATGTTTTTTGATTTCAGACTCAGAAAGTTTCTCTAAACTGAATTAGGAGGAAATTAAAGTTGGTTTTTTGGACTGTGGGAATTGATGATTTTAGAAATGTCTGTAAACTCACTTTAATCTAGTTTGACATTTCAGAATTTGCAACCAAATCTTCACTCAAATCTTTGTTTAGCTTAAACACTGTTGCAGACGTGTTTCTTCATGTCTGAAAACATGTTAGGCAGATATGATCTGTGCATGTGGTGACATGCAGGCTAGTTTATGTATTACCTTTAACCACTAGGGGGAGTAGTTGGCACAACTGATCTTCAGCAACATGTTTGTCCAGATATATCTGATACTTCACTATCCCTGTGGATATACCAATGTGATATAAACTGGATATGTAGTATGTGTGTGGTTGGGTTGCTTTAACTCTGGTGTTCTATTAGATATCATATTAAGGAAGACAGGGGGACATTTTCTGCGAATGTCTGACCCAGGACTGATCTTGGTTACTATCCTGAGGTCTAGAGACAGCTGCAGAGCGAGGCTGCCAAAGGGTTCAGCTATCATTGGTAACCTCTTGCAGCATTGATAATGGCAGCGTTGCCTTTCCAGCTAGGGGATGATCTAGCCGCTATCAACAGGTTTAAAGGCCTGTCAATCCACAAATGGAAAATACAACATAATTAAAGGAAGTGAATGCTGACACTAAGTATGCAGGGGAGATTGAGGTGTTTGTTGTTTTTTATAAATACATTTTTAAATGAAAAAACATAAACACCTGGTTATCATCAGCCTGCTACAGTAGCAATAGTAATTTAGAGCATTTTAGCATTTAGTATAATCTCATCACTGCTGCAGGCCTGGATGTAGACTTTTAGTTTTGTGCCTAGCTTAAATGTATTTGTCATACTGTCCACATCTGCCACCACGACTAAGAGTTTGGCTTGTTGTAAGAATGTGGATAAAAGTCAATGGGTTGTGGGATGAATCAGCATCTGCCTATAGCGAGAAACATCATCATTTCTTTGTATTCTTTTTTTTGTATCAAACATTTCTACAGGATAATAATCAATTGTACACATGCAAGCATGTTGTTTCATAGTACTTGTCATTTAGCTAACACTGTGGATTTAGACATATTTCAGTGTAGCTATGCAAGCTGTTCATCCAGAGCTTGCATAAGTATGTATCCTAAAGGCTCCGTGATGACAGCTTAGAATGTAATTAGTTCAAAAAGATCTGGCAGGAAACACAGCAGCCTCAGCAGGTGAACCGGCACCAATGTCAATCCATGAATTGCCTACATCATTCATTTTAGTAGGCCCCCCTTGGTGTAAATCAAAGGATATTTGAATGTTACGATCAAGAGCAATATTTTCTATCATTGCATGTCACAGCCCTGAGATTTGCTTTGACCCTGCTAAAGGTTAATCATGACTTGAATGTTGTAAAGCCTGATATGAAACATTGCCATTTGGACGTTCTGAATGTTAACTTTCCCTTGGGCTGCAGACGAGCAGGCAAAGCGGCGGAGGTGCTGGTGGTGCCCTATTTTTGGATGGGCTATCAGCGACCCAGTGGCATAGGTCTGAGTGACAGGACAAGTGTTGCGTTGGACCCTCCCCTCGCTCGTTTGGGGTAGGCATTCCTCATTGTAAGCAGACCCAGACCCCCCCCTCCCATCATATTTCTCTCTCCCTCTCCTTCTGCTTTGGCCCACTCTGTGTATGGGTGGGCGCACAGAAGTGTGTGTGCACGTGATTGTGTTCAGGTGTGAGCATTGGCCTTAGAGCTGGACTCACAGAGAAGTCAGCGTCCGGACAGTGAGGCAGGAAAAAGAGCACGTCAGAGGTCTTTGAGGGGGCCCTGACCGCTGAATATGGGGCCAACATACTGAGGGCCCCCAAGACAAAATACAAAAACCAAAGAAGAGTGGAAAATAACCAAGAAAAAGAAGAGAAGCTAAAAAAAGACATAGAGAGCAGAACAATGGTTGCAGAGGAAGTGATAATTACATTGTCCGGTGGAGCGCCATGGGGCTTTCGTCTCCAGGGAGGTGTGGAACATCAGAAACCACTGCAGGTGGCCAAGGTAAGGCAGGTCAATCAGCACGTCAGACTGAAGAAGTCGTTTCATGGTTTGCTAAATGGAAAGAAGAAAACCGTGTCAGATTAATCAGTTTCTATGGAGAGAAGTGGAGCATCGGCTGGGATATATTAGGTGGAGATTTAAAAAACTATGAACAAAGTTGGAATGGAATATTGGCTGCCATGCAGGTTGGTTTGGGGCCTGAATGTGAGTCATCATCTTGTTTGAGATCGGTCTTCATGCAGAGGCGCACCAATGATTGATTGATTGGTTGAACTTTAAACGTCCTGTTCAGCTGGGAGCGGAGGGCAACCTTGTGGCATATCTTCGACTGAAAGCTGCTTCTCCTGTTAAATGCATGAAGTTTAAATTTGTCTTGACATTAGAGTCATATAAACCTGAAAATGTGTATTTTCGAAATGGATAATTGAAACTTTTAGCTACTTACTGGCTGTTTTTCAGTTACGATTTGAGCAGTGAAATATGCACGTTATAGCAGAGATTTCAGGAATATTAAGGTCATTATTTGTGGGGAGCTAATTCAATACTACACACCATTCCCCAGTGATCATAAGCAGTACTCAAAAAGCTTGTTTCCACTACGTAACTAAGAAACTCAAATCACTCCAGCCATGCACGGTCATGTTAGAGCTGGCAGGTTACCTGAGATTTATCTGGAAACACTGTTGTAACACTAGACACCTCACAGGTGAGCAATGCATGTCATGAAAGTCTGGACCACTTGAAATCAATATGGTCCAGGCCAGACTCAAGCTACATTGGTGTGTGATGTAAGATTCTAAAACCATAATGTTTTCCAAGATTAAATACAAGAACTTTCATATCAACTTGTTTAAAGACGTTCTCTGAAATAGAATATTATGCAAAGGAAATATTTAACCTTATAACTCTCAGCTCATTTTACTACCATAAGCAAATTATTTTGGTCCCCACATTTGGCACCAACGAAGCAGTCCAGATTTGAATTTTGATCTCCATTTGAGAAAGCAAAGATTAACATGTAAGCGCAAGGGGAAATGTATACTGGATTAAAGTATTAATTAGCAGCAAATAATAGTACTGCTGAGAGAGAAAGCTTAACAGGTTGACAGAAACATAGGAAAAGCCATTGCTCCTGGATCAACCTTATCATTCCCGTTTCAAAAGACATTGGCCAACTCTCACCTCTAAGAAATCTTTATACAAAGAGATCTTATTGCTAGTTATGGTAGTTCATGTTTCAGTACACCTACACAGATGCACCTGTATGACACAAAGCATATATTCACACACACTTTCAATAATTGTTGACTGAGCAGAACTACTTTTACAGGTGGCTATTTTTGGTTAAGAAGCAGCATGTCACGGGGTCAGCCAAGGTGTGTATTTCAGCTCAGAACTCAAAATGTAACATCAAGCACTAGTCAGTATGTTGCTACACGGAAATGACTGTATAACTTCTTTTTGTAGGTTCATTGAAAATAAATCCTGATCGCTAAATATTCATCAAGGACCTCAAGCACCTTGTTCAAAGCCTAAAACTTTTGTTGAGGCATTTAACGTTGTTTTAGGTTGAGAAAACACAGAGTTTGTAATGATCACTCTGGTTGGTGGGAGGTATTGGAGAAGCCTGTTTAACAGAATCATTTGCAATGCATACCTTCATCTATCATAAACTTTATAAAAATGAATCGTAATTTCCAGTATGTAACTCTATATTATGCATAACTCTGTTAAAGTTAAAGTAACTATATTGGTACAACCATTTTTATTTGCTGAAGGAGACATTTTCATTTACAGACCTCAACATGTCTTTATGGTAAATATAATATGTTACTATACTGGCAAAGAGGCTTATTTTGGTTTGTTTATGAGTAATACAATGTGCTACCAGTCATGCATCTCTAGTGGAAACAGAGACAATAAAAACCATGTTGGTGAAACAATTCCTTCTTACAATATTTTTTAGCATGGTTAGCATTTTAGAAATGTTTCCTCTTTAAACTCCTCTAATCCAACATGTTGTTGACTTGTGCAGAATGTGGTAATATGTACACAGAGCCACAGGACACTATATTAACTTCATGGTGCTGGACAACAGCTGCTTCTGTATGACCATCCAAAACAGAATGCTTCTTCACCCCTGAGAGCAGGAAAGTGTAATCTTGTCAGGTCTTATACTACACCATCCCTGACAGGTGGAGCAGTTTGAGGCTTTACTGAAAGAGCCGGTGTGTCAGACCTGGGTTTGTGCCTGTGGGTCTTCATGCGCGTGTTCGTGTGTTTAGTTTGTGTATTTGTGTATCAGACCATGTGGTGTGTGTGTGTGTGTGTGTGTGTGTGTGTGTGTGTGTGTGTGTGTGTGTGTGTGTGTGTATTATAACTGTTATGACTTGCATCCACAAGGTGACTGACTGAATGATTATCTGACATCCTGTCCCTCAAGCAGACACAAGCCACTTTCAAAGGCTTTGCTAAATGTGGATGTGGGATTTCATTACAGGCAAACCAGAATAGCTGGAAAGAAAACTTGCTTGGTCAACCTGAACATTTCTTTATTTAATTTAACATAGAATGCTAATTTCCACATAGCAGTGCCCTCACAGTGCATTCAACACTGTAGTCAATTTCTTTGAAAATGGTTAAATATCGGTTTTAATTTATTGTTTAATTTATGTTGACAGGGTTTGCACGGACCTGAGGCAATTTAGGGTGGGCATTACGCCATGGTCCTGAAAGACCTGCGGCACAAATAGCAAAGCACCAAATGAAGATGGCTGCTGGCTGGCATTTCCCAGTTAAAGTGTGTACGAGTGCCCTCCTCGAGCTGCACTATGTGGCATATCTTTGCAGCAAGATCAAGCTGTCAGGACAAAAGCTGCTTTCTGTCAGTCACCGTCACAAGCCAAGACAAGACATCAGCATAGCTTTGTCAGGCTTTCTTTCTATCCTTTCAGCTACGAAGGCTAAACAAAAGAAAGAAGTGTTTGTGTTTGTAGCAGTTCTCTTTATATCCTCTTTAAATAACTACTGTACATAACAGCTTTTCAAACCAAAGCTGTATACCTAAAACGTGGCCTTAATTACAAGTCCCGAGACTTGAGATTGGTCTTAATCATGCCTCAAAAGACTTAAAAAAGGATCTACTATATGCCAAAAATAATTTTGATATACCCCTTAAAAAAATTGTTTGTTTAGAGTTTTGTCGTCTATGTTAATGTTTGAAATTGTGCCTTTATTTACTTGTTCAGGTGCGTAAACGCAGCAAGGCATGCAGGGCTGGGCTTCGGGAGGCTGATGAACTGGTGTCTGTCAATGATCAGCCATGTGGAACGCTATCTCATGCCCAGGCCATGGATCTCATCGACAGCTCCTCTGGGATATTACACATCCGGGTCAAAAGGTCAGAGGAACAAAAAAATAAAACTCTTTCTAGTGACTACCCATCATCCCCCCCCCCCCCCCCCATTGTAATAGTTTGAGATTGCATCAAATGTCTTTCCAAACAAATGTTTCTTCTGCTTGTGCTAAGATCATACTTACTGTAGGATTTAGACAATTACATATAAGACATTCAACTATGGCCCCATCAATATTTTAAACCCTGTAATTGTTTGCAGGGTGCCTGCTGGTTTTCAGTCCGTGGTGCTTGTGACCCGTGCCCCATCTCCCCGTATAGACAAAGAGTACCGTGCTGCTTTGCGTGCCATGTCGCCCAACCACCCACACCACGCACCCGTCCGTGAAATCCACCGTAGCCACTCCTCCATAACCAGTGGTTTGACATCTCCACCTGGTAGTGAGGCTTACTACGGTGAGACTGACAGTGATGCAGATGTGGCCGGCTATGAAAGGCAGAGAAGGCAGAAACGGCGCAGCCCCAACAACCCCAACCCAGGAAAACCATCAGGACGAGCTTCCCCAGAGGGCGGGGAGACATCAGAGATGAGTGGCTATGACAGCGCTCCAGATGCACATGCTTATCCTCATTTGTTGGATGGACGTGGGGGAGATGGAGAGCGAGGAGGAGGGTTACCGGGGGTGGCACGGAGGGAGGTGATTTACCAGCCCCCTGTTCCAGGACTGTGGTCCTCCCAGACATCCACTGAGACCTCCTCCATCATCTCCTCAGCAGATGACCAGGGGCCACGGGATGGAGTACAAGAGGAGGACAGTGGCTTTCTAGAGGCAGCCAATGTGCCACTGGTATGCCCTGTGAGGGCAAAAGAGGCTCTTCTGCTGGGATCCCGCAGCCAGCTTGTACCCATGGTGGGTCCTGTGAATAACCCCATTGATGAGGAGCTGACAACCACGTACATGGAAAAGGCCAAACAAGCTAGTAAGTATGGCTGAGGAAAAATCATGACCGAGTGTGCATCACATACAGTTTCCTCAATTAAGTACACATTCCAGATAAGTAACATTGTTTGGTTCAAGAATGAAAAGTAAGTAAGAAGTACATTTAAGTACATTTATAGTTCACAAAACACTCCCTATTAAACGTTTTTTATATATTTATAATATTCATCGTAGAGCTAGATAGCGCCTTGTTTTAAAGCAGATTCACTACCCTTTAAAGCCCATTGATTCCCAATTTTTTTTATTGATTAACATTTATTATATTGCCATTAGGAATAGCATTTTCTCTGATTGTCCTAATCAGTGAAACTACGGTGTCATACTGTCATTTGATCAGTCAACCACATTCTAACCAAACATTCATAAATGTTTTCATACTAGCGGGTGTCAACCTAAGCTTAGTCTGGCAAAAGAGCATGGATGGTATGGTTTACTATTTTTACCTTCAGTTATGTGTGGAAAACCCCAGCGATCATTCTCGGAGTACTGAAGAGCATTTACAGCTGCTTTTAGGTATCAAGTGGCAAAGCAGGGATACTCTCATTTTCTCTTCTCTTTTTCTGTTTTCTATTGCTGCTGTCCTTTATTTTACTATACAACTCGTTACATTTTCTTCTTACATCGGGTCATGCAGTCTATCATCCATAACGAGCACCAATAAAAAGGACAGAGCAGGGCTATTTGAAGGCAGTGGGCTGTTTTAAGAACTTAAATATATGTACTCCTGTAAATCTCTCTTGCCATGAGAGAAGGTTTAACATTCTAATGTCCTACTTAGGAACCCTGTCCTAGACAAATTAAGAACTCCCTTCATGTGGCAGTATATACTAGGGTTAGGATATCTATGATAATCTTCTTAATACCATAACAAGTTAAAAGATATGTTGTGACTACACTTTGAAGTTCTCCTTCCAGTCACCTACAACATGCAACTTTCCACTAGCTTGCCGATAGTCCTCGCTAGGTTGGATGTCAGAGTACATAAGACTAATAATGTGCAAATGTATCCTTCACCCCAGCTAATGTGAGAAGCTGAAGGCATGCAGGGAATTTTCACGGAGCTTCTGTTGCACGTTAGGGGATGAATGCCTGTTGAAGGCATGGTGGTCAAGACAGGTTTACATGCTCATTTCAGATTCAGTTCTTGGTTTAAATGTTTAATCTAATTTCTCTGACCTTACTAGTACTAATGACATGTTTTTGTGTAACAGCTCCTAAAAGCTATGGCTTTTATATCTTGCAGAACTGAACCGAGGGGATAATCTGCAAGACAAGCATGTCAAAGAAGCCAAAAGCAAGTGTCGAACAATTGCGTCCCTATTGACTGATGCTCCCAACCCTCACTCCAAAGGGGTGCTGATGTTCAAAAAGAGGCGTCAGCGCTCCAAGAAGTACACACTCACCAGTTTTGGTAGTGTGGACGAGGACAGGTGTGAGGACTCGCAAGAGGAGGATGGGGTATTCCCTGGCAGCGAATCAGAGTTTGATGAGGATGGCTTCTCTGCAGTTCCTGACCCAACTTGGGATAGTGATTACTTGGATATGCTGGAGAAGAGGGCAACTGCAGGCACTGAAGGTCGTGTGGATAGGGCAGAGGATGCTTCAAGTCCAGGGTTGAGTGACACTACAGGCAAGGGCGCCCAGTTGTTTGAGCAGCAGAGAAAGAGGGCTGCTGAGCATGCCAAGAAGGTAGAGGCGGCACAACCTCAGGCTCCTCCACAGTCTCAAGTCCAAGGGCAGGTTCAGGCATATCAGTTGCATTCAGAGTTTCAACCACAGATGCAGCCAGACCTCCAGCCTCAGCAGATGATACCACCTGGCCTAAGAGCCATTCAGCAAAATCAGGCTCAGGCTCCAGGTCAAGTTGCAACCTATGGCATGTCTAATGGGGACCCATCCTACTCGGCTAGCATGATGATGTCCCCTCCACCTGTGGCCCTCAAACCAGCCACCGCCTCAGTGACTGTTCTGAACAAACCTGCACCACCAGCAGAAACACCATTACCAGAACAACCTTCAAGTAATGTTCTCAATAGAACGGCTCGTCCTTTTACTCCTGGCTTTATCAGCATTCGAGCGGCAACTGCCCCTGTAGCGTTCCGACCTTCTGTCACAAAGACGAGCCAGCGTCCTGCCTCAGCCGCTATCATGCCATCACAATTCTCCACTGCCTCTGAGCTAGCCATGAATGCCACATCATATTTCCCCCCTGGCCCACCACCAGTGTTTTTTCAGCCATCCTTTGTACCTCAAGGTCCCTTTCCCTTAACACCAGAGGTTCCTGTTAACTATTACCATCCAGCTGTTTCCACCTCTGAAGAGAAAATGCACTCATCACCAGCAATAACTGCAGCTTACCAGGCTCCATTTGTAGCTGGGGTCCCAGTGTATTTGCCCTCAATGCCCACAGCTCAACACGCACCAATGGCTTCAGCCCCAGCTCCTCCTGCATATCAATACCCTGGTTCACCTGACCCAGTTGCCCTAGCGCCTCCACTTCAAGTTCCAGTTGCTCAGCCAAGTCCACTTCAATATCCCATGGCCCCAGTGTCGGTTGTCTATCAGCCAGAAGCTGTAGCTCCAACCCCAGTTCCTGGTCCATTAGGTCGCACAGGAATATTAAACGACTCTCGACGCCGTGGTGGCAAACCCAAACCTATGTTCAATGTGCCAGAGGTCAAGAAACACTCCCCCAATCCTGAGTTGTTGTGTATGGTGCAGAACCTGGATGACAGGTCCACCCGACACAAATATGGCCAACCACCGCCTGACGATACCTTTGACGATGCAGGAGAGGAGGAGAGGAGTGGTGAGGCTGGCATGGGAAAAGCACCTCCTCCAGTTGCACCCAAGCCTAGGGTCATCCATGAAGCCCCACAGTTTCTTCAAGCAGGGGGTAAGGGGGCCGAGCTGTTTGCTCGCAGACAGAGCCGGATGGGTATGTATGTAGTTGATACCCCACCCGAGACCCCTTACCAGCAGGTAGTGGCCTCGCACAATGCAGCCCAATCTCTTGACTTCTCCAACAATACTTCACTTGCCTCTCAGTGGAAATACTCCCCAAATGTCCGTGCTCCTCCACCCATTGGTTACAACCCACTCCTGGTCCCCTCTATCCCTACAGGGCCTCAAAGGAATACAAGCAAGCCAGAAAGCATGGGTAGAAGTGCCCCCCAAAGAGAGGGCATCAAAGCTCTGGATGTCATGAGAAGGCAGCCCTACCAGCTCAATTCTGCCATGTTCAACTATGGGGGCAGTGTTGCTAATATTTCAGCCATGCCTTCTTACCAGGCCCAGAGGCAGCAGCTGCAGTACGGTAACTACACAACAGCAACAATGGTGGGCAGCTCATTAACTCCCCCTAAGCAGATCCCCATCAAAACAGCTCGTGTTTTTGAGGTCAAACGATTCTCCACACCAACACCAATGTCTGCTCCCTCTCTATCTCCCAAGGTCATTGCACCCCGCTCGGCTACTAGCCTCGGAGAACGTTTTTCTTATTCCGGTATGATCTCCCCACCTCCTGCTCCTTTTACTGGAAACCCAGCACCATTCAGTGCCCCAATGCCAGCTTCAACACCCTCCCAACCAGTTGGACTGCCTGGCCTCCCAACGTTCTCTGCCGCCCCTATTCAACACCCTTTTCCCCCTGCAGTCCCTACACCTTACATGCCAGTATCATACACCAGTGGGCTCCAGTCAGCCAAGCAGTTCCAGAGCGCTCCTGAACTCAGTTTTCTTGCCTCTTTGCCGTCACTCAAGCCCGCCCCAGTTCAGGCACCCAAACCACGTTTTGTTGCCACCAAGGGAGGCATTAAGCCCCATGTCTGGAGGCCAGGGGCAATGTGAAAACCAGGAAATCAGTCACTATGACACTTGGACATCCTTCTGTGCTACACACATTTTTTCATAGTTAAAGTTAAAAATACCAAACATCCATTAGTTCTAGTAACTCAAATGTGACAATATTCTGTTTTTCTCTTCTAAAGTCATTGTTAATTGAATATTTTGGGGTTATGGGTTGTGCTAAGGCTTTGACAACTTACTATGGGCAATTCATTGATCAATAGTGGCAAATAAATAAACATAAGCTTACTTAAGTCTCAAATTCAGCTGTAAAAGTAATTAAGTAACATTCAAGTCCAGAAATCAAGAAGCCGGTGAAGTTAGAACTTGAATAATGATAAGAGGTCATACACGTCTTTTTCCTTTTCAAAATGCTGCTTAAAAAGTTTATTTTTGCTGCTAACACATTTAATCACACATATATCCGAGTGACAATAATACAATAGAGTATATTGGCACATAATGTATGCTGTATAGTCAACCATATGCCTGTCCTGGGGGAGGTTTGTGTAAGGTTTCTGGAGATCTCTTTCTACTCATTTAGCAGATCTAAACAGAGCCTGTACTGAAATATTCTTTGAAACTTGAAATGTCTGAAAGATGTTGAAAATGAATTATTGCGATTCTGACAATAGGATTAAAATCACTGAGAAAAATGTTGTAGTATGTCGACAGATGGGGGATCATAAAGCAAAGGTTGCAGGCTTATTTATTTTATCTAACTTTGAACATTTAATTCTGTTTTTCAGTACATGTCCTACTAAATGATGTGCCCAAAAATGTATTTTTACCCCTGGTTTTTTGCAGCATTGTCAAGAAAAAAACAATAATGCCTACTTGTCCAGGGGTTTAAATAATGCATGACCAGCTGAAAATTGTAAAACAAAATGTAAACTCCTTGATTTTCACATTGAAACAATATGTGAACGTCTGCTCTTGCAAGCAAGGTTGTGTCAAACACCTCTGCTCACTATAGCCAGAGAGAAATGCCATCTTTTCAGTATGGGTCACATTCAACAAGTGCCCTGGCTGTCAATGAATGTACACTTGTCACTGGATATCATAGCTTCCATTAGGCACACCAGAGCCTCATTAGTTACCGTGTGATCTTTGCAGATATATGTAAATTCTTAACTTTATTAAACAAATAACACAGATGAAGGAATGTGTATTTGGTTTTGTTTAATTATGATTTAATCTGATGTGGTGCAAGGGGAAGTTAACTGAATGAGAGGCACCAGAATTGATAAAAGGGTTCAAGAAAGGAGAGTGGCTGTGGAGAAGGGTTTAGGCAGTATATACTGTAGGTAGGGCAGATAACGGATGTGGTCATAAGCCCATTTGTTATTGGGATTCATGGTTGATTTGTACATAGTTAGGAAATCCCACAGCCTTAAGAAGTTAACAGCAGAAGGACAGGAACGTTTGGTACATGATGTTTTTGATTTAAAGAAACTGAGGCACAAACTCGTGTCTTTTTATTAACAATGGTTTCTGTAATGGCTATATACCTTGAAAGACTAGGTATGCTAATTTAAACAAGTAAGGAACAAAGGAATGTATTTGTTGTTTTCAGTTGTGGAATTCTTTGGAAGATACTTTTATTTATTTTTTATCACTTTTAAAATATATTTTCTGTTTAGCTTCCTTTTTGTTCTCATATTACTGTAGTATGGCCACGGAAAATGTGGGCATAGTTATTTTGAGGTGTAAAATATGATAAATGTATGCTTCTAAATGTGGTTGATTAAATATAACTCGATTAAATGTTATTGATGCTTAGAAGATTATACTGACTAGGAGACGAGACATTTTTAGAGGAATATAATTAGATTTGAAAGCCCTCTGGTTGTTTGACATTTCTTATTTTACACTGCCCCCTGCTGCAATTGTGTGATACTGCCCTTTTATTTGTATGTAGTACATGCATGCAGTAAATGATAATATTAATGAAACTGTTACATGTAAATCAGTTTTAATAAAAGAATGAATGATGTATGTTGAACTATACATTTAAAGGGTCAAAACACAATAACCACCTGAGAGACATTCTGCACATGACTAAATAAACGTAACACAGTGTTCAGGTGATAGATTTATAAATTGGGATTAGCGTTTCATAAAGCAACAAGGCTTTCTGCCTTCTGTCAAGCCAGGTAAGCCTAATACTTCGGTTTGTTTTTAGTTCTTTATTCAAAATAAGAGATGAACTAAACACAAAGAGAAAGCAAAAGGAGCAATAGTCCTATTGGATGCTCCAAGGTAGATTTCAATATCATGTTGGATCCGGCACATTTTGATGCGGAAAATAATTACAATATTCGCAATATTGATTTTAAGAAAATAGAAGATTATGACATCAGGCTGGGCCAAATTGTTGGGGTAAAAGGTCAAGTAATGTGCGTGAATTGATAGAGAGAGAGAGATAGAGGAGTTACCTAGACAACATACGTAAAGAAATCAGATTGCTTATACTCAAATTCATCTTAAATTGACGGTACTCCCCTCACTTTTTGATTCAGTCTCATTTCTTTTTAATGGAGAACTGACCCGGATAGTTACAGATGCATCTTTGTGAATAGTAACCTGGAATAGGTTTTCTGTAGACAATTCAGGCTTAAAAAGTGAAACTGGATCCATAATTTTTTTTAAATCACACGACATCTACGTGTTGTTAGTCTATATTTGACTTAATAATCCACTTCAGTTTATTACCTCAGCAAATAGAGCCTCCAATTGCTTGTATTTGTTCAAGAATAAAAACAATTTGAAACCTTTTACTTCATTCTGTGTTGAGCGGAATAGATTCTTCACGCACCTTTGTATGCTATATGAAAGTCCATAAGTCCCTGGGTGGAGTCTTAGGTGAAGAGCCTGCAGGGAAACCAGAGAAAATGCCATTTTAGGACCGAATTCAGGAGCGTCAGTCATGGAGTGGTCTTTTTCAGAAGTCACGTTTCCATGATTTAACATCTGCCACTGAGTGGTGCTGTGGAGTCATGTCTGAGCATGCAGTCAGAAAAGCATCTTGTTGCCAACCTGCGCACTCACAGGGCTCTGTGGACAGGGACTATTTATAGAAGAAAATATATATTGCCAGGTCCTTGCTTTAATTGTAATTTCTACTTAACTTAACTGATTCAGAAAATATTAAAATGTTTTGAAAAGATCAAAAAATTCTGAAATATAAAGTATAAAAACTTGCTACAACATGACAACATTTTAGAAGTAAACAATAATGTATGATACTTCATTGAAATATGGGTTATGCATTATTTTTCGAATTATAATTTGTTTTTCTAATATCATAGGAATATACAGAATTTAGCAAATGAAATAGTGGTGTAGAATACATTGCTAGCTTTGAGGTAACAGAAGTTATTGTCCCTCTTCTAGGAATGTCCTAGGCGAATGGGCAAAGGGTACAGCTGAGGAAATGTGGACACATGATTTCCACTCAAGTTTTGAAATTCTTTCTGCATTCAGATTGCAGATTTTGAAATGCTTCTATTATGAACACATAACAAAGAATATTGCAGGACAAGACATGTGTTGCCTACATTGGTTATTGGCCTTATGATGCTCAGTGCCTTGCATTCACTTGCACAATCTGATCAAGCCATGCCAACATTGTTAGAGTTTCTGAAATGTATTTGTCACATGCCCATCATGTCCAGTAAGTTAACGCTTCAAAGAAACAGAAAATGTGACAATCTACTGTCAGGTTGGAGAAATGCAGGGAGTAAAGGAGCCAACCCTCATTTTGTCAGGGTCTTAATATACACACATTAAAGTTGCACTGTGTACTTGTGTGTACCACTAAACAGCCCCCAGAGTCCTTTGAGGTGATCTTATAGCCGAGTTCTGTTCCCCTCGTTATTTGCTACTAAATATAGGCTTCTGAACCATCTGTGAGAATGATTTTGTTCCCCCCATCAGCACTTTCAGCTGGCCAACAGAGACTTCTCCCCCCTGCCTCTGCCCCCCCAAGCCCTATCCTAACCTCCTCCTCCTCCTCCCGTCTTGACACCAACACTGCTGCTACCCACACCCCCATCCCTCTCAAAGATCTGTCATCTGAGTGAAGGGTGGGTTTTGCACTTCCCTGGAACTGGGTCTAGCCATACGTAGGTTCAGAGGCACTAAGGGATTTGTAAACGTGTGATCCAGATCACCAGCATCGGGCCCTGAGTCTCCTCTTCTCTGTTTGGTATTTATAGGTCTGTCTCTCCTCCCAGGATTGCAACAATAACCCGGTGAGTGGATTTGCATCCCATCGGTGTTCTTTGTTCTACTAATACAACTTGGATTTGGATTCTGGCTACTACAAAAAATGGAGAGAGGCAATTAAGATGTTCACAATCATAAATTGTGTGGTTTGAGCAGCTGAGCTCAGAGAATCTAATCTAAGAGGTGCTCAACAACTCAGTAACCAGATTATAGCTCGCTTTTGATTGAAATATTTTCTATTTCACCAATGATTAAGAGAAAAGGACTTAAGGAGTTACTTTGCTGCTTTTACATTTTCATCGTACGTCTTAAAATTACCAGAGGAATGGGTGAATGTGCTGACCATCCCTCTTGGTGGGCGTTGCTAAGATTTTATATGGTGTTACCAATCTCTGACAGGGGGGGAGGTAAATCTGAGCGCAAGGCTAAGTTAGTAATTATTTAAGGCAACTATAACAGTGTCCAGAACCCTTCACATTAACAGTTACAGTAACCCGAGCTATCACTTGTGTTTTGAGAGAGGTCCAAACATTCACTCAGAATTGTTTTCGGGAGGTTTGAGTTGTGTCCTTAGGGTTGTGTCAAGCCTATTTGATAGCCAAATGACGGCATTACATGTCGCTTAAATGTCTTGGCTTGAAACAGCAGTTAAAAATAGCTGCAGTGGGTTGAGTTACAGTCAGTAGATGTGATGTTTTGCTACTCGACTGGGTCTTAAAGAAACTGTTAAGAGCTGAAGGTGCCTATCCGATAAGAAGACAAGAAACTGTAAAAAAATAAACTATAATGTATAACACCAGATGCATATCCTTAGAAAAGGAAGGATCCAGAGGTTGTAAGAAATATGGTTGTTAAAGTTATAGGGATTTAATGGTGAGCGATATCACGTCATATGAGAGAGCAAAGTAATGCCCTCAGTTTCCCCTTCTACATGTTCCCATGCAGGCCGCAGTTTTGGGAATATGATCAGATGCTATTTTATGATCATGAGGCCTTCACCTCTACTGCAGTAGAATGGCACTGGCACTTGCACATTTTGATTTGGTTAATGTTGTCTTGTCTGTGTACAGGTCTTGTCCCCAAACAGTTCTGAAACAAACATTCAGCTATATGTTTCCTTTGGAGCAGACATTTCTTTCACTTGGGAATGTGGGGAATCTGAGGGCACTGACATCTCCCTTGAACTTAAAAAAGGAGCAGGGCCCCTCTGAACTGTGTGCGTGTCTGATACATTACGATCCCGTAGATTCACTTTCAGGGGTTGTTGATGCTGTAGGTAGGTGGTGAGACTAAAGAGGGATCTAGATACGTTTCTACTATGGTCAAGGAAAATGTAAAGCAGTATGTTCTTCTTTTTTTTTGTGCGTGGAATGCATCTTGAAACTAAATATAAAAACACTCCCGTTATTTAATTTTAACCTTTGAGTGAACCTGCACCTACACAGATGTAGTCCCATTGCCGTCAATCCTTCGAATAGGATAGATGACATTGAGCACAAGTTCCTCAAGTTGCTACATTGAATCCCACATATTGAAATAGAAACAATGTTATTCATATTAAATTGATTGCTAAATAACTAAATGTTTTCTTGAGAAGCTACTTTTATTTTGTTTCTTGGGAAAGAGGTTCACTTTGATAACGCTCTATCGCTGAGGAATGAAACATTACATTTGATCATTTGTAACCATAATATTGTTACTGCTAACTCCCTGTCTTTCCTGATCCTCCAGTCATGCCTCTGGGAAAACCTGCCCCGCAGAACAAGCGGAAAAATCTCGCCAAGATCATAACCGACCTAACACATATCACTCAGGATGGTAAGGCTGGCATAAAGTTACATTTTCCATATGCTAACTGCAGCTTTTTCATGTTAACATAAAATGATGTCTTAAAATACTTGGTTAGGGTTAGGGTTAGGGTTTGTTTGTGTTTTGCATATCACTACAGAGACACCCAGACTATTTGGTAACATTTAGTTCCACATTAAGACATTTGTAAATGTAACACTTATTCAAATGTTCCTTACCTAGAATATGAGTCAGATCCAGAAGCCGAGCTGGACCTGGGAACAAAGATCAGGTCTCCCAAAGACATCATGCTGGAGGAGCTTTCCCTGCAGAACAACAAAGGTTCCAAGATGTTCAGGATGAGGCAGAAGAGAGTGGATAGGTTCATCTACGAGAACAACCCTGACATCTTCAGCAGTGAGGCTATGGTGAGATCAAAACTTAAGGGGATGACAAAATCCAATTCATTTAAAAAGATTTATAAATATACGAAACAATTTGAATAGCACACACAACATTCAACAGAGAAACGTATTGCAATGTTTGAAGAAACATACATTCTTGTCACTTTACAACATTAATCTGTCCTAATTAAATACTTGGTTTAATTCATATTATACAGTGAATAAAGAAAGAAACATAATAGTAGGACAACAAAAATGTACTTGATTTTTTTTGTTTTAAAGTTGATCTTAAAACCCTTAGATAATTATTGATCAATCAAACCAGCTCGATAAATATTCAAATTGACTGGCAGAAGATAAAGCCTACAATGGTCACTGAGAGTTCTGAGTAAAGCCTTTCCAGGTTTAACTTTTATAAGATAAAACCTAGTAATTGATGTCACGTCATTAATATATCCATGATTTTTCTTTCAGGACGACCTCCAGAAGTTTGTTCCCTCTCTGGGAGGTCAGATGAGAGGTGACATCATAAATGTTGGTGGACATTTTGTAAGCAAACAGGTTGGACTGAATTTTGTAGGGATGCACGGCAAAGGAGGAGCTCCAGTGCCTCCTCCCAAGCCTGGAAGCAAAGGTGCAGGAGCAGGTGCAGGAGCAGGAGACGGAGCAGGGGCAGGTGGACAGGGTGGGGGCGACCATGGGAAAGAAGGTGGAGAAGGAGACAGTGGGTGGTCTCCACTTAAAGGTAGGTACCATGTATTTTTTTTTTTATTGTAGAAGGATTCTGTTTCATAGTCAAACATTTCCAAACTATTGGAGAGACTCTTGAACTTTTTTGTTCAACATCACAAATATTAATGAAACCAGCCCAAAGTCTATGAACATATTTGTAAAACTTTATTTAATGTTACCAACTAAGCTGAGAGTGTCTTATGCTCTAGTCGTGGATATTTTCTTCACAGGAGGTGGAAGCGATGATGCATCTAAGACGATGCTTATTTTGAAGTCGTACGTGTCGCCATGGGAGAAGGCCATGAAGGGGGATGAAATTCTGGTAGCAACTATGAAAGGTGGAATGGCTGGTCCTTGTGATCCAAAGGATTTGCGCAAGTACAAAAGCTTCAACAGGTACGTCCCACACGGCCTGACTTTTTAGGTGTTCTTCGAAAAGAAGGGGCTTCAATAATCCTCTCACCTTGCTTTGCTAGGTCTGCCATCCCGTTTGGCGGTTTCGAGAAGGCCAATCAGTTATTGAAATTCCAGATGCCAGAACCTAAGGCCAAAGAGGAGCCTGAACCCGCGATGGTGTACCAGCATGAAATCGGCTGCCGGCCTTCCTTCAACCGCACTCCTATTGGCTGGGTGGGCAACGGTGAGCCGGGCAGCATTCATATGGAGACAGATGCTGTGCCCTTCGATGGAGAGACCGACGAGCTGTGAAGAAACATCCATACTGTGATAACACTGACTTTGCATGAATGCTTGCAAACACGTTAGCTTGTACACAACAGAAGAGCTTACGGTTAACTGTTATATTCATGAATTTGATCCCTCAGTGTGGATAAATGAAAGTGTATATGAAATGTGGTCATGTTCCTTTTTTGCTCTGTACGTGGTCTTAAGGCATATAAGGCAAATAAAAAAGCTTGTGTGAGGATGAAACATAAAGTTTATTTAAGTCTATAAGTTTAGTAAAAACAATTGATTTGTCAGAAAAGCTTTGTTTTTGGGGAGAAGTTGCAGATTTTGAAAGAATTAATGAAGTATGAAGGATATATTTAGGCTATTTTACTGTTGAGCACAGTCATGATGTCAAGTTGTTGCCACATTTGTTATTTACCATGCAGGGTCTTTTTGTTGTTAGGGATTTCTGTTTATTTGTGGAACTGTGATAACCCTACAATGATGTCACAATGCATGCTGATCATTCACCCTACCTTACCAACACTTTCTCCACAATAAACACTTTAAAACTGAAACAATTCTCTTGTCGAGTGAATAAAATATCAAAGGAAATGGTTTTATGTAAAAATCCTTACCAATTTTATTAACTATTTTTTAAATATAGTCGTAGGATCCTTATACATTTTTCATTTTTTATGACTTAATAGTCGTCATTGAGTTAAAATCTAAGTATTTCTTAAGGCAGTGGTGGAAAAAGTATTCAGATTCCTTACTTGAGTAAAAGTACTTTACAACTACTCAATTTCAAGTAAAAGTACTTCATCGAGAATGGTACTTAAGTAAAAGTATTTAAGTATGATTAGGAAAATGTAATTGAAGTATTAGAAGTAAAAGTAGTCATTGTAGCGAAAACAAAACCAATATTTTAAAATAAATCTTCACATTCAAGAAGCTAGAACTGTATAAATAATGTTAGCAGAATTTCTGCCAATACATTTTCTGTTAACCCACTCATGGTTTTAGTTATTTAAATATAATTTGATGGTTTATGTTAATAATAATGATATTTTATTTTGTAAAATTGTTTACTATTGTGTGTCAAAATCTGAATTTATAAAGAAACTAGTAAACAAATATGAACAATACATCTAATTGCTTCCTGTAGTAGAGTGGAAGTACGAAGTAGTAACAACTGAAAATAGTCGGGTAAAGTACAAGTACCTCAAATGTGTGCTTAAGTCCAGTACTTGAGTAAATGTACTTAGTTACTTTCCACCACTGAGTAAAGGACAATATCTGAGTTTTTTTAACCACTGACTACAGCATATTTTTCCTGGCATAATGAAGCCACTCCTGCACAGATGGGGGCGGTCATGCTCTAAAAAGTTGTTGCATGGCACAAATGAAGGGAAAAGAAGAAGAAATCAATACCTTTGAATGTTGGATGCCGGATTGTTCTATCGTTATGTTCCTCTGGTCCAAGCGCTTTCAGACAGTGCTGTTTACACTTTACAGCACTGCAATGGACAGCGGTGCAGTAGTATCAGGTAACACTGCAACTTGTTAACGTGATTAGCTAGCTTAGCTAACTGCCATTCCAACTGGAGAGTTTACGGAAGTTTTCAGCTCACCTAAACAAATTGGGAATACAAATAATGGTCAAATTAGCACAACAACATGAAGACACACGCCGACTTGGTTTAAGTGGTGTCGTAATTCTCTCAAACGCCAATAAAATGCCCAGAAACGATAACAGTGGAAACGGTAGCTTACAGTTAACGCTACTTTATTTTACCCGTGTGAACTAGTACGTCGTAGTCAGCAGCAACCGCTGGGTGCAGTGTTACCTAGCAACGGCAGTGATTGACATGCCAACCGGTTGGCATATTCCTGACGATGCTGTACTTAACGATGAAAATGATACATATCAGTGGTGGAAAAAGTAAAGTAATACAACAATACAGTGTAAAAGTACTGTAGTAATAATGTTATTATAAAGAACCAAATTGTTAGCGCCAAAATGTACTTAAAATACCAAAAGTAGTACAGATGCAGCACCTGAAAATGGTGGACTGTTTTAAACTAACGTTTGTGTAATAAAACAATATATAATACTACATAATATTCATATTAGGTAGTTCATATACATGATAACAATCTGCACAGAACCTAAGTTACTAATAAATGTTATGGACTGAAAAGTGCTTTATTTCCTCTAAATATGTATCTGCCTAGTGGGTTAAATACTTAAAATAATAAAGTTGCATGGATTAGTATTCATTTTACTTAAGTAAAATACAAGTATATAAAAATGTACTTGCATTCCACCACTGTACACGCAACACATTAATCTTATACAGGTTTATGTAGCCATTGGCTACATGTGTCAACAGCAGAAACCATTTAACATGTTATAACTTGTATTAAAAGTGTAACATAATCTACCATTACATCTAACTACCTACCTAATCTGACTATAATGCAATTTTACCTCAATTTGTGTTTGATGTTCAGAAATGTTCCCAGAGTTTCCGGTTGATGTTGCTAATGTTAAAAAAGGGAAATATAATCGTAAATTGTTTAATGTATTAAAGAATAGCCTACCAGTTTCAGTTTGATCAAGCTTTAAACTTTTTTTTTTATAGAAAGAAAAAACAGATTTCAATACCAGATTTATTTGATATATTGTATGTTTCTTTTTGGTAGTGCTAATTAATGTTTGTACGGGATATAAATTGACTCACTTCATTATAGGTGCACTATAGCAGTGATTTCCCCTGATGACATCTAAATCAAAGGCTCAACTGGCCCCTCTGCCAAGGACAGAGATCCTTGCATATTGGGTGCTGTCCTTAGGCTCACATCTCTACTCTTTCTACCAACTTCACAGGTTCTCCAAAGGTAAGATAGATGGACAGACATCTGTATGATGGTTCAATGAACTTTAAAAGTTTAAGAAAATATAAACTGTTATTTCCTGGTTTGTACCTCAGAGCATGAAGCAGGATTAGAGAGAGGATTCCAGTTGGAAAAAGGCCTTGTCAAGGGTTTTAAAAGGGTAAGTTCAATGTTGAAATTACTGATCTAAAGCCCGATCTTTACCCACATTATTGTGCATCTCACTGAAAAAAATAAGTTTGTTTTGAGTTCATAGTGAGACACACTATTATGTGTCACGGAAAGCCTTTTAAAGTGTGTTTCAGTTTAGTTTTTCAAGTTTTTGAAAGGCATTAAAGGTGGGGTAGGTCATTTTGGAGAAACCAGCTCGAGTACGCTAGAATTTGAAAGTACACAACCGGAAAAAATCTGCCACTTCCTTACAGAGCCCCTCCTCCAACACACACGAACGCGCACATGACCAATGAATAGGGAGGGATGAAACCCTCTTTAATGGTCACACATGCAGAGCACACAGCACACACAGTGAAATTTGGCCTCTGCTTTTAACCCAGTACAAGGAGTCTAGTACTAGGAGCAGTGGGCAGCTATTGTACAGCGCCCGGGGAGCAATGGGAGTGGGGGGGGGAAAGGGGGTGTCCGGTGCCTTGCTCAAGGGCACCACGGCAGGGCAGGAGGTGAACTATGACAATGAGGGCACGAGATAAGTTTGTGCACAGATGGAAGGCTGACAGGCAGGTAGGCCATCCAGTTATTTTAGCCGGGCCGGCTATAAAATGATTGGTCGTGCTTTTTACACTACTACGGCTTCCACAGATGACATTTTTTTATGGATTTTTTGTCAAAGCACTTAAGACATTCATTGCTATCGGGATGTTAAGAGCATTCCATGGAATATAACAAAAAGTGTATCTCGAGCTGGTTTCTCAAACTTACCTACCCCACCTTTAATTAGTTTAATAAATGTAATTAAGGTGTGATTTAGAGTGCCATAATTAAGTATTTTTTTGTCAGGACCTTTCTGACTTTGAGTGGAGTTTCTGGACTGAATGGGCTAAGAAGTCTTTGCTGTGGACTCTAATTGGTCATGGCGTGATATCAAGATTGACCAGCATCTTTAATCCCAAGGTAGGAAACTGCTACCGAACTGTGAAGTGGAATATTGCTATCAGGGAAGAGATGACTCAATGCAACATCCTTTTTTTAATGTTTTTCTCTTGCAGCTTAGGGTGCCAGCACTCACCGTATATGGCCTCTTAGCAGCCAGCAGTGTGTTGGGGATTAAAGGTGTGAGCGTGCTGCTGGTACATGTGGGCCTGTCGTTTTCAGTGGCCCAATTACAAAAGCCTGCTCTGTCATGGTGCTGCAACCTTCTGCTGCTCTCCACACTTCACATCCATCCACTACAAGAGATCCAGGTAGGCTGTATGTCAAATGGATATGATTTGTTCCTGATTTTGGACGGATGACATCTAAAAATCATCTTTACATAGCAGAAACATTTAAATGTGTCTTTACTATTTTACTTGTAATGAAGGAAAAATACAGTCGGTCCTTTAAAGGATACAACGTATAAAATATGATGTGAATCTGCTACAAAGAATAAGCTATAAAGACAGGGTGGACAAAGTCTGTCATCTGTCTTGACCATCAAATTCACTTGAACTTACCATTTCTTTGTTGCAATGATACTGTCCATTTTTTTATTTCGATTTGATCATGCATACTAACTGTTTCATCTACCATTAATCTTCACTGCATGTCATATTTTCAAAGAACACAAGAGGGCACACAATAACAAGAATAAGGTTATAAGACAAAAGTGAAGTGAATTTTATTGAAAGGATACTACACTTGGTATTTCCAGTAATACCTGAGGATTAACGCATGTAAACACACAACAATGATAATTGACTGACAAAACAATATTTGAATTCAGTTTAGATTTGACTATAGGACTCAATTCAATGTATGTCTTCATTTATCTGTTATTATGAACACTGGTTCTTTTTTTATTTCAGTACATTTAGGGTTGTTTTATCTTCCTCCGGTTTTCATTTGCATGATATACATTGTATGAAAGGATCTATGAGCTGATTGACTGCCCAATTACTGTATTTACAGCTGGAAGGTAAAAACTGTTTGAATTGACTTGGGAAGGTTTAGAACAATTATATAAAATACCCTTTAACTGCACATTAGCTGACACATCAACATGGTTATAGCCAGGCAACTATGCTTGGAAATGTGAAATAGACCTGACAGACCTGTAAATGCTTCAAAAGATCTGCCTCCTTTGCTCAAACACGATTGCACACAGTTGCACACAGACTGAGTCCTATGTTTAACCACAATTCCCAATGCTGTTAAGCAGACCTAATTAAAAGTTGTCTCAAGCATATGCTTATTAGTAGGTCTTGACAGATCTTCATTTCCAGTTTTATGCTGTAATCTGCTAATGTTCCCCTTTTTAATGTGTCATATCTATAAGCATATAAGAACTATTTTTAAAAGTATATCTAAATTTAGTGTCAGACTGTCACTATTATATAAGGATTCCCTAGGAATGTGATGACAAATAATTGGCCTTCCTCTTTGTTACACAGAGAGGCTGGTATAAGACCGAGGAGGAGTACTATCTGCTCGTCTTCAGTGTCGCTGTCTGTGGACTTCGCCTCATCAGCTTCAGCCTGGAGCATTGCTGGAGCCCTGCAGACGGTGGTGGAGCTGTGCAGCTCGGCTGGTTGTTTTCATACACCTTCTATCATCCTTTTTTCTACAATGGACCCATTATCTCGTACAGAGACTACACTGAGCAGGTAAGAGTGTAAACAAAAGCAAATTAAACTGTTGAAATTGCCTCTTGTTACTGTCTGGAGGCGGCTGATTGCTTCTCCTAAGTGCAGGTGATCTCAGGTCACCTTTTTAAAAACATAGTAGACAATCAGTAGAGGGCCATTTATGAGAATTCTATCTTACATTTTTACCAGATTTGAAGAGGAATAGCTAACCCTTCATTTGATCCACTGTTATAATACTAACTTTTTATGCCTGCTTGTTTTTATACCCAACTTTGGAGTAGATTTATACGTGTTCATACTACATGGTTGCTCTTTTTTAAATCCTGGTGTTGTTCTTTTTGTAGTGAAGATGCAACCAGCAACCTTTAACAACAACTCACTTTCTGCATTTGCAGATGCGAAGGCCTGCTGAGGAGTGTGACGGGGACAAATCTGGTGTCATATACTTGTTGCTCAGATCAGGACGAATCATACTGTGGTGGTGCCTCGTGGAATACATGATCCATGTTATGTATATGCACTCCATCCAATCTAATGAGACATACTTAGAGATCCTCCCTCCCTGGGCCTTGGGTAAGTGTTTATGCTGTGTGTATTTTTGGCTGCTATGTACATTACTTTTAGCTTTAATGTTTACCAGCCACTTGAGACAGATGTTATGAAGGTGCAGAATTTAAAACATGTTACTCCCCCTTACCCCAAAGTGTTTAGTTGGCTTTAAAGGTCAGATATGCCGATAGGAGTTTTACTTAATGGTCTTGATTCGAGTTGTCATGCTCTGTGGTGTGATTGTGTTAAATAAAGTTACAGAATAGGTGTTTGTTGATAATGTATTTTTTTGCTTTTACATTGTTGTTTCCAAAATTTAAGAAATAATTGCCAAAGTTATAGTTTAAATCCTCTGTAAGGGCCCTGTGAGTCTTTGCAGGAAACATGACTTCTTTATTTTGGGGAGGTTTAAAGGTCCCATGTCAGATGGGGGTGCTGCAGCCCCCTCAGCACCCCCCCCTTCTCGCGTCCATTCGCGATGTCTCGCTGTCTCGCAGACCCCACGCAGCAACCAGGAAATGACACCAGTAAGCCAGCTCACACTGTCCGCTCCTCACAGCAGCGAGCCGCGCAACGTCCCGCCAACACGGCACCCAGACCCCACGCAGCATTCTCATCTGTTTGTCCTTACTGGTGTCATTTTCTGGTTGCTAACAAACGCCATTGTAACACATAATCACTGATGTTCCGCTGTAACGGTGGTGGACTCGTCAGAACAGAGTGGGCGAGCTGACCAATCAGAGCACAGTGGGCTCATAGGGAGGGGGGGGGGCAGGAGCTCCAACACGGCGTGTAGGACAGAGAGTGAAAACACATACTATACAGAGATGCTGTATGAGAAACCAATGTGAGTTTGGAAAATTGCACAATGTAAATCTATTCTAGTAGACCTCAACAATGGAATTATGATCAGTAGAAATGGCCATGTCATGGGACCTTTAAGTGATTTACTCAGGAGGACGCTGTGGTAGTAAATACTCTGCATGCACAGTCTTGTGTTGATCCTATTTTAGATGTGAAGCTCCTCTGGGATTTTCAAGTTTTATTACTTATCCATTCATTAATACAGTGATTTACTCACTCGCCGTTGTACTGCCTGCCCCCTCGTCGCCATAAACAGGTATAGAATCTGAATCGTTATAATTTACTGGCCTCCTTTTTGCAATTCAGCCTAACTGTTCTCAGCAGCTATTAAATGTCAGCACAATCTTTTGTTTGCCAAGTTCTACCTATTGATCCCTCCTTTGTTGCTCTTCCTGAGATCTCCTCCCTTTTTTCCTTATTAAAACAAGTGTTTCCCTTTCTTATAATAGAGGGTGTTGTATTATTTAAAAGTCGTGTCACGCAAATATAGTGAATTTGGGGTATACAAAACACCTGTTTTAAAACAAAAAAACAATAACTGCCCAGTTTATTCTAAAATAAAGTCCACAGTAGTGGTTTGCAGTCTGAAAAGCATCTGAGGAACTCTCATAAAATTATAATTTATTTATGGATAAGTATTCATTAGGGTTTAAAATGTAGCACATAGTACATCAGCTGCTGTTCCCAATGCCAACCAATACAATATACTTCAATAATTAATAAAGTGAGCTGAGCAGTTTGACAGTCATTGTTTATTTTTCTTAGTATACAACTATCCCTATCCTTAAAGAGCACTGTTCTTGATCATTTACATAATACATATGACTTTTCCCCCTCTCACAGGTGGTCTGGCGCTGGCCCTTGTCCAGTTTTTCTTTGTGAAGTATCTGGTGCTGTTCGGCTTTCCATCCATGCTGGCTTCTATGGATCAACTAGTTCCCCCAAAGCTCCCTCGCTGTGTCAGCATCATGTACAGTTTCACAGGGATGTGGAGGTAAGATCAAGCTGCAGAAACAATTCTAGTTACCCCTGACATAAATGTGCTATTATATTGGTCCCGCAGGATTCCCTCAGCGACAGGAGAGCTAGCATCCCTGGTATTCTTGAGGAAAAGGAAATGTCAAGAGCCTCAAGTGCTCACTGTGCTTTTGCAATAAGATTCAGACAGGGCCCCGATAATTGTGTCATTTTGTCATTACTGGCAATCAGAACAATACTGTAGGTCACCTCTGCACCAGGAACATTATATCATTCTTTCAGACTCAAGCTAAAATGGTTTGTTTTTTGCTGGGGTTGGTCCTACATTTGAAGGCTACATGTTGTTGTTTTTTGTTAAGTAAAAACAGCTAAGTAGTCTACAAAGTAAATCATGAAAAGAAAAACATTTGTGTGTTCAAAAAAATGAATAATCGCCAAATAGATTGCCACTTAAAATGTGTGTCAGAAGGGAAAATATTCTGTGAAAAAAGGTCATCTTCTCAGTAAAAAACGTAGGTCAAGCTAATTATATTGTTGTCTTGGTTTTTCTTGAATATTCAAAGTAAGAATTGGGCTCCAGACATCAGACTAATCCTAGGCCATTCAAAACTATTGATTGAAATCGTTTGGAGAGATAACCTTGGTAGCCTTTTACAGAAGTAGACTAGATAAAAAGGAAACAGAAATCTTTAACTTAATATTTCTCCATTAAACCACATAATAATCGAAATAAATGAAATGTCAAACAGTTGTGTCCATTAAATCAACGAAAAACCAACTTCAAATGAGGCGGAAATCAATTGTCCCTTAATTAAATAAACTGTCCATGGAGCATTGAGCAGGGGAAAAGGGCAAAAATAGATGCAATTAGGGTGAGGGCACATTAACATGAAGCAGGAGAATATGAGAAGCCTGGAGACAGGAAGGAGACATACCTTACTTTAGGTCCAACAGCAGGTCAAAGAGGGAGTTGGAAAAGCTTAATCCAAACCTGCTCCAAGGATAAATACATTATAATCCCATGAAATCCAGCTGCTACATAGAATAACTGCTACTCTACTTTTATATATGTCACTTTTAGTCATTTGGATAAGCGGAGATCTCCAGAAACTAAAACTTAGTTATCTCCTTACTCTCCTTACTTTCTGATCTCCTCCATGCTTTTGCTAGATGTTTCCCTTCCCTCTGCTCACAGGTGTGTCTGATTTATCTCCTCCCCTTCCTGTGCAGGTTGAAAAGGGCTATTTCCCACGTTTTCTGTCCCTCCTTTATGCCACACTCATTAAGCATGAGATTGTGGAAACACACACATCATACAGTTATTTCTGTCCCACCTACCTCTTTAAAAGTAAATGTCATGGTAATTGTAAAATGTGATGAAGCTCATTTAACACTTTCACTTCCAAGCGAAGGACTATGCCTGGTTCATGCTGAAGGGGTCACACTTGCTCAAGTTAAAGGAACACACACATTGCAGTACTGCTTGTTATATTGGGATAAAGTACCTTAATCAGCAAGAATTCAAGTATAGAAAGACAGCGAAGACACTGCTTTAAATAGTATTCAGGTCAGTCAGGTAAAACAAATGGGGAACATTTTGTGTCATTTGTGTTTAAATATTTAGCACACAGAAAATAGGTACTGCTGACACACTGTGAACTATGCTGTAATATACACCATTACCAGTTCATTAAATACAACTGAATAAAACCAGTCGACTGTAATACAACATCCTACAATAAATCCTACCTTGAATATAACTTTATTAAAATGCAATATAATTTATGCTTCAGTTTGTGGAGCTGTTAAACATTAAACTGACAGCTGTTTCTATTACATTGTCCACCCTAATTACATTTATTAGAGGATGCTAAATAACTCAAATGTCTCTTAGTATAATACATTACAGCTTAACTGTATCACAAACTACATCCTCCAAAATATAATAGTGAAGCTATATAGCACACAGTGAATTTGAAAATGTGGATGATACATTTATATTAAAGTTAAATAAACATCCTTTTAAAATGATAAACTTCATGAAGGCAGGATTTGTTGCATTAGATTGCATTAGTTTTAGCTGGATATACCTAATAAACTGGCAACTGACCGAGAGTGTGAACAAGGCTTAGACTGAACCAACATGCAAGTAAATGCAGACCTCCTTTGATACCATAACATTATAACATTATGCACCATGACATCAAGTCAAATTCCTCGTACGTGTCAACCTACCTGGTAATAAAGCTGATTCTGATATACACATCAGTGCTACTGTGAGAAAAATCAGTCTCCCTTATGGTTATACTTTGCAATTACCATGCAGGAAATATTTTTCTGCCACTTTCTTACAGCAAACATCCTCTGTTCCTTTAGTTCATTAACATTGAGAAACTGCTCTCTTAACTCAGAGCCCATACAATTGAGATGGAAGGCAGTGTATTCGGTTTTGCAGTAAGAATGCGGATCAACCAATGTGCTGACACCGATGCACTCCAATCCGGCCCGTGTGCTGAGCTGGTCAATGTTGACAACATTGATGGAATGCATAAAGCTGTCCACTGACATCATTCGCAAACAGCCTCAGTTTACATGCAGCACAACACAAACAAACACTTTTTCTAATCATCTTAATGACAAAGAGCATGCAAGGCCCAGTTTATATAAGGCCCAGTGCTCAGGTGTTTCTCACTCTGTGCTTTATTATTATGTAAATGTGAGACTCAATATTCATTTCTCTTTTCCTTTTTTTTTTCACTCTCAGGCACTTTGACGCCGGTCTGTATCGATGGCTCATCAGGTAAGAGGCACTTCATGAGTGGTGGACGGACTAATTCAGATGTTAATGACTACTTAAAATGTAAAAATGCTATCTAAATCAAATAACAACTCTTGAATAACCTATCTATCTATCTATCTATCTATCTATCTATCTATCTATCTATCTATCTATCTATCTATCTATCTATCTATCTATCTATCTATCTATCTATCTATCTATCTATCTATCTATCTATCTATCTATCTATCTATCTATCTATCTATCTATCTATCTATCTATCTATCTATCTATCTATCTATCTATCTATCTATCTATCTATCTATCTATCTATCTATCCGTCCGTCTGTCTATCTATCTATCTATATCCACCTATCCTTCCATCTATGTTGGTCTGTCTGTCTATCTATATCTAGCTTCTATCCATCTATCTTTTTATATATCTTTCTATCCATCTATCTGTCTATCTATCTATCCGTCTATCTACCTATCTAGCTCGTGTTTACTCATACTGTATGTGTTATTAATCGCACACTTACTATTAAGAGCTTGTTTCCTGCGGGGCATTGAACTTGTCAGTTGTATAACCTTTAAAAAGGTGCCACTCTCCAGCTGCCTGCCTGCGTGTTTTATCATAATGGACGAGGACGCCTCATTTGCATGAAGGCTTTCTCATGATTATGAGGTTGGCTGTTGTTGGTGAATAGTTCTTCTGTTGTGTTACCGTTTCCGCACCCTGGAGAAATGCCTCCTTGTTTAATATGTGCATACGTAATTGTGTGTTTGCTCACTTGTACTTTGGACAACGCTGTTATTAGTTTGTCTACTTTTTAATGATGCACACTTGGATAAACGCAGCCTATTGGGAGGTTATGGTCCGCTTGCTAGAGGCAGGTTGCTACATCAAGGCGATGCCACAGTTGCACGCTTGTCAGAAAACACAGTGCTATCCGGTGTAAAATGTTCCCTTGTCTCGGTTTTTGTTTGCTAATTAGTTTTTGTGTTGACACTTATGACGTACATGTACACCTGCTCTTCAGAAGGTAAAGATGAGTTTAGAATTAAATTCAGCATATCAGATGGCTAAAAAGGCTCCAATTAATCGGCAAAAAAACCTCATTTAAATTGCAAATGCTAGTTTCCATTTTAATCCATTGGAAATTGTTTTCTCCCGCCTAATGGCATCACTTGCAATTATGCAACTGCTGATGCAAAATTATACACATGACACAATGCCCCGACGTTCCTTCTAGTGAAAGCGCTTTTAAAGAGGTTTTAATGGAGTTCTGAAATTCTGTTGAAATTGTCTGAAGAGCGCTAGATGAGAGCGTAGGTGTTAAATGATGTGCTCTACATGACTCACTGACACCCCGTCTCCCTGGGCAGCTAAGTGGCTCATTCTTCACCATTCCTGAAGGCTTTCTGCATTTATTCTGCTCAGGTTCTCTGTTTTATACACTTATCAGACAACTAAAGAGCTCTTAATGGTGGTATTGCTGCTATGGATGAGGAGATCTGGGAGAAAATATGTGAAAATTAATAAGTGGAGGCTTGGATTGAGCCTGGAAGGGGTATGATTGCACTTAAAGATGACAACAAATTGATAAAAGTCACTTTTTCACTACATGGGACATGTTATGACAAAATGACCAAACTCAGTCTAGGAAGTGCGCTACATTTGACCTGTAGCGCAAATATTGAGGACCACCAAAAATCATGTGATTTTAGAGTTTTCTTCCCAAATTATTACCCGGTTCTTACTAATGTTTTGGTTACAGCTAAAGCTTCTGTTAATTCTGACTGTAACAACTTTATATCATAAAAACCTCACCTTTTCAGTGCTTATGCACATCATTGTGTATCTTGTGTGCCTACAAACCCACAGCTGTAATATTGGAGTCAGAAAAAAAGGGATTTTAAATGGGATATTGTGTTTTCCCTTACCTGTAGTGGGTTTTTGTGTGTGTAAATGGTCTGTAACGGCTACATTTCTCTCCCACACACATGCCTCCATTGGACTTTTTTGTTTATGTAACATAGTGACATCACTACATAACACCCACGTTCCTGACTAGCGCTTCAACACATTGTACGTGATAGGCTAATGGGCGGGACATCTCTGAACGGTTGACCAATCACCAAAGAGCCAGTTAGCTATCCAATCAGAGCAGACAGAGGGTGAAAGAGGTGCTGCAGCACAGGCAGTATGAGAAAAATAAATACCTTTTTGAACATTAAAGCATGTAAACATGTCACAGAAGAGGCAAAAAAATAAATATGAACCTGAAAATGAGCATAATATGGCCCTTTTAACACACTATACAGATTTAGATTGTTCCCCTCATATGTCACATACACGCTCATTCGAATATACCGCCTCACATGTAAGTATTTCCACCCACGACTTAGCAACCACCTTTTCCAAAGACGCACCATTATTTTTTTTCATAGAGCCAATCACGGACCACAGACTGGGCTTTTCCAGAAGGGGGGCTTTAAGAGGCAGCCATCAGACAGAGTGTTCAGACAGAGGGGTGAACACAGGTACATTCAGACAGAAAGAGAAAAATAATGTGTTTTTTCAACATATAAAAGCTTATAAAGATGTTCTAGTACAATCCCAGAATACACGCATGAACTAGACATATTAGCATAATTATTGCCCTTTAAAGCAAGGAACAAAAGTACACTGTGTTTCTGTATTAAAGCACAGAAACAGACAATAACAGTTGCAAGACTAATTCCTCCTGCCAGTCTCTGAACCTTGTCTGCATGTTGTCTGCACCATCTGCTTGAAATAGTAAAGTGTTACATAACAAATTGATTACTCACTCACACATTCATGTACATCTCCAAATGCTCAAAGTTTGATTACCATCTGTTTAGGATCCATCTACATCTCGCTAATTTAAATATACGGATGGGTTCTCAGTGTGTTTAGGTATTCAGTTTGCTCTTGCCCTAACACTCTGGTTCCTCTCCATCTGTTTCTACTTTCATCCTGCATCCAAGCTAGCCACTCTATTTAAGGCTCAGAAAATGCTGGCTCATCTTTCAGTCAGGAACATTGATTATCCACAGGGTGGCTGAGATAATTAGTTCCCAGCTCAGCAACACTAGACATAACGTGATGTTTGTTTTCGAAGTGTGCTGGAGTGATGTAGCATGAAACAGAGGAGCTTCTCTCAATATCTGAGGCCATTTCTCTTCACAGCATGCACCACAATCTTTACTGATTGATGGGATATTATACGCATCATGTGGGCTATTTTTATCACTGCATGAAGTGTAATCTCATTAAACCACAGTAGTGGGTTATGAGATAGATATTTGCTTGTTTTATTGAACCAATATGTTGAAATCTGACATTATCCAACCAAAACAAGACCTCACTAGAGTTATGGAAGACACAAATCAATTTGACAAAGAAAATGGGTTAACTATGTGTCATGGTTTTGGTGCAAATCACAGAAACCACTCTGGAATCATTAACCCAGTTGCAGCGTTATTAACAACTTGATATGATTGATATTCCCGAAAGTGCCTCTATTTTTGCACCACACGTCAAAGCAATGATGAGCAAAGACCAATGAACATGGCATGAACATGAGTATTCTTTGCAATTCTTTGGTGCAATGTGGGGCCATTTACAACTTAACTTCTCCAGTATGTGTGTCCTGCCCTCACGAAAGATCTGTCTGTTACCATCCCTGTTTTGTTTTTTTCATTTCTGATCTTCTGCTACATTATTAAGCATCCAAACCTCTCAGGTCTTCTGGCACTGGTCGGCTTTTTGTCGCCAGAGTCAAAACCAAACATGGAGAAGCAGCGTTCAGTGATTATACTCCATAAATCTGGAACAAACTACCATTAAAGTGCAGGTCCGCTGCAACTCTCACTTCTTTGAAATCAAGGCTGAAGACTTCTCTTTTGCCGCTGCTTTTGATTAAACCCAATACTTTTTATATCTTACACTGCACTGTAACTCTTATTCTTGTATTTTATACCCATCTTATTCTATTTTATTGGTTTTTAATGGCTGTCATTTTATAAAGAGTTACTATTGCATTATGTTTTTCTTATGTAAATGTTTTTCATTTTTGTGAAGCACATTGCCTTGAAGTGTGCTATATACAAGAAATGTGCCTTGTCTTGTGTTGGCCAGGTCATTACTTTAAAGGTCACCTATTATGCACTTTTTCATGTCTTTTATACATAAATATGTGTCCCCTCTGTGTTGAGAGACTCAGAAAGTTTCAGGAAAAATATCCTCTCTCTTTTTGTCCTGATCTATCAATATAAAAACCTGTCTGAAAATTAGCTGATCAGTTTTTGGCCACTTCGTGATGTCACAAGGTTTTTTGGGGTTGTGTAACCATTAGCCAATAACCAACCAAGGTAACACCGCCCACGTGATCTGTTTGGTATGTCGAGCCAAACACTTCGGAGATCAATCTGAGACCTATAATGTATTTTTGAAAAATAATATAATGGGGGACCTTAAAAGAGCTATTGCTTGATTCTAATTGTGTCTAGAGATGTATTCTTTACTGTTATGTACTCATGTTTCCAGATACATCTACGTGCCGCTGGGAGGTTCTCGCCACGGTCTTCTTTACCAAATGTTATCCACTGGCCTTGCGTTCGGGTTCGTCTGCCTGTGGCACGGCGGCCATGACTACTTGCGATACTGGGCCCTGATGAATTGGGTCGGAGTTGTGGTGGAAAACACACTGAAATCTGTCTTTGCCTCATCTTACATTCACTCCATTGTTGTGAGTTTGGATTCCAATTAAAGTCAGTGACAGTTCAGATGTGTGAGCATGATGAAATATTTCCTGTAGCTAGAAATAAAGGGGTCATGTAAACTGATTTAATAAGAGATAATGCCTGGAGCTGCTGCAGTAAGTACAGACGAGAGACAAACTGGTTGGAAGCGGTCATATCTAATTGACATGTACAGTCCAACGGCCAACATTAATGTGAGTTAAAGTCTGTTTCCAATACGTTAACAATCTACATGTTCAGGCTATTCTTGCTTCTTTGGCCTCTAATGAAGTCTGAAGGCACATTGTAATTCTTCTAGTTTATGGTTGCAGAGTTCATTAGTACTTTACGGCTCTCAGTTTCTCAGATTTACGTTGCAAATCTTTTGTTTCTCTCTTTTTTGTTTACTGATTTCCCAGGAGCGACATTTCTCTCCGGCGATGGAGAGGCGTTGCATTGCCCTTCTCTCTGCCTTCTCCACCGCCATGCTCATCCTCTCTAATCTGGTGTTCCTCGGGGGGATACATGTTGGCAGAATCTTCTGGAAGCGTGTCTTCATTCAAGGTAAGTCCATTTCCACAAAGCTTTTACAACTTGATGTCTATGTGCTTTTTAGTAGGCAGGATTTTGGCATTTATACTTTTATAAAATTCTTCAAGGGGGAAAATATTCGACAACTTGGTTGAGTGTCGCAATAACTATATTGCTTCATTATAATTATAAATAAACAGATCTCTTTATGATTCTATGATACAACAAATATGTTGCTGAATTAAAATTAATTAAAGGCAAATATTTCCATGAAAATTAAACATTGAACTAAAATCAAAAGGCACCAATGAAAAAATAATATTGGTTAAACATGTTTTGAGGTACTGTGAGTTGTATTGTAGTACATTTCAACTTCTCCTTCACAGGGATGTAAACTTGTCACCTTTCGGCGAAATTCGCCGTTTTGAATCCAAAATAGGTCGTTTGTGTGATTCATGTAGATCTGCAATAAAAATATTTTTGGGGTATGGGGGGAGGGTCTGGGACCCGGAGTAATCTGCGGCCGCGAGCTGTTATGTGCCATCACGCATGGTGTTCTTTTTTTATATATTATAATGAAGCGCGAGCTGTGTGCTCGAGTCTTCCTGCCTGTCGACTCTGCTCATGGATGTATAATAAGGCTCTGCTGCTCCGGGATGAGGGTCTAGCTTCAGCAGCTACATTACCTACGGGTGCGTTCGTTAATATTAACTGTGCGGTCCGGAGTCACTGTGGCACAGACTGGACCGCTGTCGGAGCGGCAGAGCGTGATGTGCACTGAAAAGTGTTCCTGTCGCAATATTATCGTTGAGCTAGCTAACTAGCATACATTGTCACTATCTGCTAACGTTAGCTTTAGCCTTCGTTTTCAAATAGTTTTTTTCATAGGCTATAAACGGAGGTGGTATAAGTATATATCTTGTACTTGAGTAAAAGTAGAAGCACTCAGATCTTGTACTAGAGTAAAAGTAGAAGTACTCAGATATTGTACTAGAGTAAAAGTAGAAGTAGGCCTACTCAGGTCTTGTACTTGAGTAAAAGTAGAAGTACTCAGGTCTTGTACTTGAGTAAAAGTAGAAGTACTCAGGTCTTGTACTTGAGTAAAAGTAGAAGTACTCAGGTCTTGTACTTTAGAAGTAGAAGTCCTGCATTCAAAATGTTCCTCAAGTAAAAGTAGAAAAGTATTATCATCAAAATATAGTTAAAGTAGCGACAGTAAAAGTAGTCATTGTGCAGATTGGTCCATTTCAGAATAATATATATGATATGTTTTATAATTATTGATCATTAAAGTGTTCTCAAAGCTGGTAAAGGTGCAGCTAGTTTGAATGACTTTGTATACTGCAGGGTAGCTTGTGAATTTACTCCAGGTGGAACTAAAGTCTGATTTAACACTTGATTATATTTCACATCATTCATCCACATCTGTAAAGTAACTAAAGCTATTAAATACATGTAGTGGAGTAGAAGTACACCATTTACCTCTGAACTGTAGTGGAGTAGAAGAACAAAGTAGCAACACATTGAAATACTTAAATAAAGTACAAGTATCTCAAAATTGTACCCAAGTATAGTACTTGTTGAGTTTATGAACTTAGTTACTTTACACCACTGGCTATACAGATAGAAAGACTAAGCCTTGCACAGAGGCATGAAAATACATTTTCAAAATGCTCAACAGTGTTGCCAAAATTATAAACTGACTGCTACACAATTCATATAAATGCTTTTATACATTTCTATTAGATGTGACCCTTTGGCGTTTCTGTTATTATTAACTGCTTTAGTTGTTCTGACTGCTAAAATCCTCTGTTATTCCTCATTTTAAAGCCGATATTCCGTGGGGTCGGGGGGCTTGGATCCTTGTCACCTTTTTCATACCTGATGAGTTTGCATCCCTGCCTTCAGTAGTGAAAGCAGCTAAAAATAGTATGGTTAAAGTTAAAATAAGAGACAACTTGCATACATGTAGTTTATACATACACTGATTATAATAAAGTGACGATATATTACGCAGTGTTTTCAGTGGATGTTGAGGCTCGGGTTGTACTGGGACTAATTGTGCCTCTGTATGGGCGAACTCTCCTGATGGAGAGACATCTGCTAAGTGGTTGTGCCAGTCCCTGTTTCACCCGCTGTGTCTTTATTTGGCTCATTTGGTACCTAAAGCGAGATGGCAGGCCCTCCTGAAAGCCTGCCTCCTCGTGATAAGCAGCCTGAGCTGCAGACGCCGCTGGGTCGGGCGCAGAGTCAGTGCTGATACTTCACCGTATAATAGAGTGATATAAACGTATCAACAACAACTGTTATTTAATGCTGAATTCATAGTTTAGTCCTTTCTAAAGCAGACTTACGTTTTTTGGCAACAGGGGAAGTGAAACAAGCTGTAAACACTTTTATAAAGTTGGTGTTTGCCTGTTTACACATCCAGCAGACCCAGAACAGCATTAGCATTTATGTTCTGTTAATGTCGTACAGTCTTTGGGCCTCTCCAAATGATGCCTAAACAGCCCGTAGCAGATCATATTCCAGTCAGCAGTTTAGTTTTTTTCAGCCTCACAGCAAATTGTGTGGAACATTATGCTTCTTCCTGTAGACTTGGTGTAAATAAGTTAAGAGAAACCTAAAAATAAGAGCAGGGTGTTATAAAATACCATCTCTATTGTAAATTATTCAGAGTTAGACCTAGAAACTAAACTGTGAATCTCAGTTTGCCTTTAAGGAGATCATTTGGACCATTAAAATACAAAAATAAAGATCCAAAAAGGGCAATGCCTGATGCTTATTTAAAATGTTTAAATAGACCATTGAACAAACCACTTATTAATCGTGTTTCTTTTCCCTCAGTACAGATTTTATTCTTTTAAATTTAACTGTAATGGATCCACCAGAAATGCCTGTAGCCATTACTGCATAATATCCCACCGAGGGCTAGCGCTGCTTTGCTTCATTAACATGAGATCAATGCTTTTAAATCAGCCTGTCTGCGATGTATACTGGTGCAGGCAGAAGCGTAAATGCACTCTTTGACTTCTCTGGTGGTAAATCTTTCTTTCACCATCTAAGAAAAATGGTCTTTATAGTATTATATGTTCGTAAGGATATGGGTTTGTTATTTCACATGCCACCCAGAAGCCCCAATGTTTGATTATTTTAGAGACATAATGCTGGGTCACAGAGTTGTTAAAATGGTATCATACTAGTAGACAGTGTGTAGTATTAAATACAAAGTGTGAATCATAACAGCAAATTGTGAAAGCTAGAATTAAAACGTTTTTATGCAGACTGTTGAGTAGCGCTTTTATTACTTTTTGGTCATAAATCAGTGAACCCCTTTACATCGATTTACTTCCAACTCTTGTTATCCAGTACTATAAATTATCCTAGAAAAATAGGAGGTCTTTTAAATGTTGCTGTTTTGTCACAGCTTTTCTAATTCGATACTTGAAAAATTTGCATGAAAATGTGTTCTTGGAAACATGGCTAGTCAAAATGCTAGCATGATGATGTTTAGCAGGTTTAAAGGCTAGCATTAGCCACTAGCACTAAACATGAAATACAGCTAAGGGTGATGGGTGTGTCATTTGTCTTGTGTACATATACAGGATGTATAAACAGTGAAATTACAACGTTGACCTGATGATGCCAAAGGATGAAAAAGCATGGGTCACTAAAGCAAACATAGTTCTTCCTGGAGGAAACATGAACAGATGAAAAATGATTAATGTCGATTCATCCCAAATTACAGACGAAAAGACAAACAGAGACTCAAATGGCAAAAGAAACCTCACATTTACTTATTTGCAAGTCCTTGTTTTCTCAGGCTAGTGATAATGTAAAATATACCAAGTAGCACAGTCCTTCTGATCACTTTGCAGTTTGATATTAGTTTTGAGTTGCCTCTGCACGTGGTCTTTCCCCCTCACATGAACACGAAGCACTCTGTTAATCAAGTGGCAGAGAAACTGGTTTAATTACAGCAGTGGTTGATTAGAGTCATAGTAACATGAGTCTGAAGGAGATGTAATTGTGTTCACTGTCTTTGCCAGGATTGAGTAATTAGCAGCAGCAAAAACTTGTTCCAAAAGATCAAGTAGATCCTACGATTTCTCATTTGTGACCACAAGGTACTCACATTTGACTAGTTGCGTGTGCTTTTTCTTAAAGTTCTGCTTTCTCTGTTAGTTTTAAATCAGATGGATGGACAATATATTGAACACTGAGGGCTTTAATGAAACATATGCAAATATAAAACACCTGAAGGGCCACAAACTAAAAGGCTTTGTATGATTTATTTAGATATCAGAAATGCATAATATTATAAATTCCTTATGAACATGTAAAATGTCAAAAAAAATGTATGCTATTTTTATGCATACTTAGGTCTGTGTTATAGCAGTACTTCACAGCACAAAGCTTTCCTCCAGCATAAAAAGATGCATAATAAAAAGTCTGGCTTCTCCAGGCTCAGCCCATGTAACCTTTCTCTCCCGCAGACAGGAGCCGGACAGTACAGCTGTGCACAAAGCAGCCCGTGTGTATGTGAATGAGATTTTGACATGAATGGAAAAGAATAGACCATTGAAAAGCATTGTGGGTGCAGGTGCAAGCTGCTGGGATAATCTGGAGGAAAGCCAGTTTAGGAGGAGGCGCAGACAGCTGTGCTTACCTGCCAGCTCGACCAACCAAGACGCTGCTATAAATAGAAAAATGGAATAACTGTAAAACAACACGGAAGAGCCGGGATAACTAAGCAAACTACTACTACTACTGCCTGTCGGTGAAGCTATTGTGAAATACAGCTCTGGAGAGACCACTGCAAATGTATCACTTATCTGGTTTTACTATTGATAGATATATGTTTGAGTAAAATTAAAATGTTTGTGTTCTCTAAACCCCAGACAACAATGGATGGTAAGACGCCATTAAACAAAGCCGAGCTGCTTGAATTTGTTTCGCCAGGAGTGGCAACAAGTCAGACAACAGCAATGTGACAAACAGATGAAGAGGAGGCCAACAATAATGAAAGATTGTTAATCAGGGTTATTCCACCAGTTACTAAACTCTTCCTAGGTTGAAACATAAGTACTGTGGTGTCTAAAAATGAATATAACAGGTTTTCTTTGTATTACTCAATCTGAAACTATTGCTTTCTTGATCATTTTATCTCATTTGCTGCAAGACAATAATTCAAAAATTCATTTTAATCAAACACTTACCGATAAATAATAAAACCGGATAAACTGATTACCTAATTTTGCAATCATCTCATATTTTTTCATGCTCTTTAATTAGTAACCCCCAAAAAGCATCTGTGCATAGCAGTCTAATCATTTACAAATTAATGATATGAGTACATTTGTTTTCTTTACATTTCAGGTTGGTCCACCATTGCCCTGCCTATGCTGGCTTTCCTCTACTGCTTTGCTCAGATTGGACTGGAGTGGACTTCTCGCCCACCATGAGTCACCTTGACTTTGTATCGGAGGCAGAATCCCCCGAATGCGACCTGCTGAGTCCGGAGCCTTGTCCTCACCAGACAGAGGCTCTGTGGCACACCTGGCTCTCCTCCACAGAGCGTCCTAAACCTGGCTGAATGCAGCTGAGCAGACACTTTTACAACCGGCAAGGCCGTGCAAAATCTGCCTGTAAGCTAAGACTTAAAGGATCACTGCGGATTCTCTCTGAGGAGTTTCGTGGAAAATGAAAGTGCACATAAGCTGTAATTGACTGAAATTCAGGGCATTTCCAATATGAGCCCTCACAGTGTCAAAGCATGTTTTCTACACAATAAACTACACTGAATCACTGTTATTCTAAGAAACTGTAAATTCAAATATGGACCCTAAATCTGTTTGGTTATATGACTTTGATAAAGTATTGCTTAGTGGTGCGGTAAACCGGAGAAATGCTAATTTCTAATTTACCGTCCTCCTTTAGCTCGCCACTAAAGCGTTTGTTTATTCAGAGGAAAACAAAAGGCACAGAATGCTGAATAGAGCAGCAGGGAACCTGATCAATGTCATTATTCCACTTACAGATGCAATTTAGGTAAAGTAGGATGACACTAATATTTATAGATGTATTTTTTAAACACTTCCGATGGACTACTAACTTTTCTTTCAGCACAGTAACAATGATAGATGGCATTTATCCACTGGAATGCAGATAAAAGGAAAATAAACAAGTTCCTCATTTCTGTCAACTGTTTAATGCCTAGTCATTATATATATCCATCTATCTTATAACGGATAACCATCCTGTACCTGATGAAACGATTCATTCACATGTTCATGTCCCAGCTGTGTTTATGTCCAAACAAGTCAGGAATGTTGTGGGGTATTTTAAAGGGGTTAACCTACTGCCCTGTATTTGAGAAACTGAGGCATGACAACTATCTTAAGTAAAGGGTTAGAGCTGGGATTCATAGACATAAAAAAAAGAAAAGAATATCACAAGTCTTTCCTTTTTAAGAGAGGTTGAAATTGATGGTAAACAATTGAGGGGTAAAGCCTGAGTAGAGTCAATTAACCAATTAGTCGATCTACAGGAAAATAATCGTTAACTATTTTTGAAAAAAAAATTCTGCTTAATTATTGTAAACTAAATTTGATGACTGACATTTTTACTGTATATTGATATGATTATACACCAAAAGATCTATGAGTCGAGAAAAGAATCTGCAGTTTAATTGAATTTAACAATATGAATTGGCAGTTCTGTTCAGAGTCATTAGGTGAATTGATGTGATGTGATGGTTGCAAAATCCTTTAACTTAATTTCGACCAATTCAGTTTATTTTCACCCCAACAGAACATAATGAACAACTTTGACGATAAATTACACATCTTAAAAGCTTTCACATTTAAATTCAGATCAGAATAAATAATTTAGTCTGTAATCCAGTGGGGGATGGCTAAATAGTCAACAGTTTTGAAGACAAACTCCATGTCTGGGTAAGTAACAGAAAGCTGCTTTGAAAGGCTTATCTGTGTTGTTGTTTTTGGTCTTTTGAGCTTAGAAAGTGTGATGTGGCAAAAACAATCTGATCCTCTTACTATTCACAGTGCACAGGGCATCTCCAGGGCAAGGCATCCAAGGAGATACATTTCAGATCGAGATCGAGTGTTTTTTAAATCATTACTGACTGATTCATCATTAACAAAAAACTCATGTTGCCTGTGGTCCTCTTATTATTATTGCAGCAACAACAATTGACCTGTTCCCAAGGTTTCTATGTTCCTGTGTGTATCAGTGAACTGTCCTTCCTGCAAAGGTCTGTAATTGTAATCTTGATCAGCAGGAATAAAGCGTTGTGGTTGAAATTCTTGCAATAAACGTCAAAGGGTTGTCCTTCAGAGTCTCATCTTTTGCAGAAGAGGCAGCATACAGAGAGCAATGTCTGCACTGCCAAATACAACGACTTCTGAATAGTATGCTTACTTACAGTTTTAAAGATACATGCCCAGTGATGAGATAACTGACACATGTTCATGTCAAGTGCCACCCCCTGACCGGTCACAACAAAGAGCTGATATCTTAACCAAGATTAAGATATGTTTCGATCTGATGTTATTTTACATGGCATCACCAAATACACACATGCACCGGTAACCCTAACCCTAACAGGTGTCAGAGCGAAGAGGCTGCCAATGGTTCGGTGTACGGGAGCTGTTGGTGCCCTGCTCAAGGACCCCTCTGCAGCACCCAGGAGGCAAACTGGCAGTACTCCAGCTACAAGTCCGCACTGCTACAGTTTGGTTTAATAGCCAAGTTTCAACAGACTGAGCTACTGACGCCTACAATTGAACGATTCTCTTTTGGCTCTCAATACATTATTATTTATAGAGCAATTTAACATTATTTTCTCTTTACAATCATCATTTTCAATACACGGTCCGAAAATATAATAACTGAAGTCCTACATCGGCCCTCTGGCTCGTAATGTTTCTTCTTCCTCCATAAGAAACTTAGATTTGATCTTTGACTAGAATTTAAACTTCAGACATCCCTAAATCCAAGTGTGATTGCACATTTGCCGTAAGGGCCCCATGCCACTGGAACTGTCTCCCTCCCCTCTGTTATCAGCTGAGTCTGCTTTAAAAAAACAGATCCAAGGGCCGCCGCATAGCTCAGATGGTAGAGCGGGCAGCCCATGTACTGGGGCTCGGTCCCAATGTGGAGGGACAGGGTTTGAATCCAACAGGGAACAATTTGCCACATGTCATCCCTTCTGTCTTCCCCTCTGTCTTCCCCTATCTAACACAGTTGCGTCAACATAGGCACTTTTTGGTGGCCCAAGAAAAATTGTTTAAAAAAACAACTCTCAAATCCCATGTCTACGTGATCCCCATGCACACTTGATGTAAATAATATCCTACTTATATTGTGCATATTCTGTTAACAGAAAATTGGCCCTTCAATAGTGTTTTTATTTGTCAGACAGTTTATAGATTTTTTTATCTTCACGGTCATCTGTATATTTGTCTTATTCTCTAATGCTGGTTTATGTCTATTTTGTGATATTTCTATTTTAGAATTGTTCTATTTATATATATATATATTTTTTTTTATGCTGCTGCAACAAAAAAAATTCCCAAATTGGGATTCATAAATTACATCTTATCTTATCTTATCCCTTTGTAGGAGCTGTAATTAATTTGCGTCTTTTGTATTTGTGTCCTCCATTCATTTATCTATATGTGTTTACCTGGTGTTATATACTATAAGTACCATTTTACTTACTTAAATCTTACTAAATCTGGACCATCTTGTTTGTGGCGAGCCTCGAGTGTCTCCATTAGTTGATTTCTGTTCTCCTGGGATTATCATATCTGTGGCACCTAAGTAGGATCAATGTAAGCGGGGTTCAGCAACAAATCCTCTTAAATGAGCACGAAACTGCGAGGTTAATCTGACGTGAGAAGATCAGCGGGAGAAACACACCTGCTGAGTTTCACTTTCCCAGCTCTCAGCTGAAAGACAAAGACTGACGGATAAATGGATGCCATGCACTCCCCAAAGAGAAAAGACAGGCTACAGTATGTATAAAATATTTATTATGAATAGTACAGTGTGTCACATTTCATAACAAAGAGTTCCCATTGTGCTTGAAATAAATACATTTGTCATCATTTGATGTGTTTGAACAGGTGCATATTACATAAACCATACACAAAAATGTTCTCTTTCATAAGAATCTAAACATTGCAATATTATTTGTGCATATATATATATGTATGTGTAAGGTTTTATAACCAGGCAGCTTCCTATAGCTGACCACAAAAATAGTTCTGTGTTCAAATTGTTTCAAAGGAGTAATTTTCTCACTGTAGGCCTTGATAAGGAGTACGGGGCAATATTATGAAGGCACAGTGTTGCATGCTTTTCAGTAGCAATCAAAGGTTTAATATGTTAAGGGTAAATGTAATGAAGTCGTAGTGCAGTATACTGTAAAAGGTTTCTCATACTTCTCCTTACGACTTGGACCTTTGTTTATAAATGTTACAGCACAGAACTACATATTGCTTTCAAGGATCTTGTCTCTGAGTTTTAGAGTGCACCTACAACCCATTTTAGTTACGTATATTTATAGTATTTGTAAAAAAAACATTCAGCCTTTCGAAAACAGGTGTAGGTGGAAGTTCTCTCAACATGCCATATCTTTGTTGCAGGGCTGCATTCAAATGGTGGTACACAATCAGATTTCTAGCAGGAACACATTTTATCTTTTTGACTTATTATATTGTGAAGAATCTGTTGTATCTGGTTCAGGTATTGTTTGATACTGTAAAATGTTACTTAAAGAATTGTGAATTTACAGTTTTAATGCATCCTTATAATAGAATAATACAGTAGGCCTAAGTCCCACAAAAACTAACAGAACGTTAAAATTCATTGTTTGTGTCTTGAACTTCACAAATATTACCAGGTGTAGTTCATAAGTGTCATTAGTGAAGTAAACTATTTTAGCTAATATGAAAATATCCCACTTTTACTAACTTCTAAGAAAACAATTAAATTGTCATTTGTTATACAAATTAGATATTATTTTCCATGCAGGTTCAATATGGTTGAATCACATAAATAATATTGAAATTACATTCAGCACCTCATTGTTGTTGGTATTATGAAAAGTCAGAGCAAGCTAAAACGTTTTTCATTAGTTTTACTTTATTTTAAACAGTTGTGGTTTAACTGTTGTAAAATATTAAAAGATGTTCACCTCAAAATATCTTGACTCAAAGTGTGTCCCAAGCTTTCATGCATAGCCTACTATTCACTAATAATTTCAGAAAAAGAGAACGCTTTAACTCACTTTCTACACTGTCTTCTGACTAAGAACACTAACTTGCCCTAGAGCCTTGAGAGTTAGATGTGAAACTTAATTGCCCTCTTGCATTATACGGAGCTAGAACGGTATGTTAATACACTTAGCTTAGCTTAGCATAAAGACAGGAAGTAGTGGGAAACAGCTAGCCTGGCTTTGTCCAAAGTTTATAAACGCTTACCAACACATAACTTTTATATTTTGGATTTACAGAGTCAGATAAAGTGTGTGTTAATTAATGAGCTTTAGATGTGTTGGTGGGTGCTTTTGAACTTTGAGCAATGCTAACCGTTTTCCCAGCTTATAGTCTTTATGCTAATAAGCTAGCCTTAGCTCCAGAGCTATTGTTAAAAAATATGGATGTCCCAGAATGTCCAACAATACCTTCATGTAATTCTAAAAACGTTAATGTGCTTGGCTTGTAGTGTGTGTAATGCATTTGATGTGCTAGATTTGATTAATGCCAAGTCGTTCAGATATAACTTCAAACCCACCTAATTATTATGAAGGTAGACATTTCTACATTTCTCAAAGATTGTTTTTATACTGTTTTTGTTGTGTTTTTTTTAGTTTGTAGGCTAGTGTTGTGTGTTTTTTGTTGTTTTTGTATTACCATACACATAGTTTGACTGTAAATACAACAGTAAACACTTAATCTGCATAACAATAATGGATTTGAAAAAATGTAATATTAAACCTGAAAAATTAACACTTAAAATAATTGAGCTATGACATGGTAATCAATAAACAATTTAAATTGTAAAACTGTTTCACCATAGTATAATACTGATTTAAATGTGTCTGTTTCAAGTCACTGTGTGTCTGAATTAAGTGCCATTTTAATCCCAATAAATGAAGAAGTCCCTTTTTACCACATTTTTAGATTTATTGATGTCAAATCTTAGATAAAGACTGTGTCTCGCATTACATACGTTTGATATGTGACTTTGACTAGTGTGACTGAATTCCTCACAGACACTGTATGCCCTCTTTTTGCCTCTGTTTGATTTCTGAACTGGTGTTATCAGCAGCTTTATGAATTCTCTGTGATAGAGAGGTCACAGCAAAAATATTTTAGTGCTTTTCCCTCTCGGAATCAAACCGTCTCTCTACCACCAAAACTATTTGTCAAAGCAGACCTATAAAGACAAACACTGGCTCTAAACCAAATGCTTTCTCACTTCTGTGATGACATGCCCATGCATTTTTAAGTAAGCTGAATTTTTGATGGAAATGGAGCCACAGAATGTGCTGGAGAAAGAAAAAACAGCGTCTTTTCCCTCTGAGTCGTGCTGTCTCAGCTTGTCCTGTCTTGATAAGAGAAAAGGCTCACAGGGAACATAAATTATCAATATGAATAATAGATAATATAGAATGATGGTTATATTTGTGCCTTGTGTAAGACTGTATTGACGGTAAAGTTCCAGACTTTCAATTATGTTATTCTGGTGTTAATAAAACTGCAACAGTGAGTCATATTTACTGAATACTATTAGACTTTCTTCCATTATTCATATCATTCAAAGCTAAAGAGCCTGAACTGATGTTTTAACCCTAAAATTATTCTGTATCAGTAAAATATCCACAATTATTATTGATTTTATAAACTGAAAACACAATTTTAAAGAGCCTTAACGGATATTTTAGCATTCAAATTGTCCTTTAATATGCACAATTATTATTATTGCTTGATGACAGAACTCACCTTTACTAGAAATTGTATTTATCTTTTGTCTGGACTTGAAAGGTTTCCGTAACGGACAAAATAATAATTTAAATAAAAATGCTCTGAATCACATTTTCTAATCTGTTTTCTTCCTCTTTCCACAAAATTCTGTTTTTCTTGAGAGAGTACTGACTCATAAAAATGTTTTTTAACGATATATTTGAGGAAAAATGTAACCAATGTATCCAGTTTGTTTTCTGTATAAGTTTATTGCTATGTTAATACCTTTTTCCTTTGTGGTGAAATTGCATTGTGTTCAAATGTTAAACAAAAATTACAATTTAAAGAGAAAGACATGACATTTCGCCCACACTTGCTATCTACATGTATACTTTTTCCTAAACAATGTTATTTATCATGACTGGAAAACAATGTCTGGGTGTATTTCAGTTCATTAAAAGGCTGTTTTTGAATAATTACCCAAAACAGTCAAATGTTTGATAAAGAACAAAAAGTGGTATATTATCTCTTTAGAATCCTGCTGTTTCCTTTATTCCTACATGAAATGAGTTGAATATTGTTGGTGAGACACTGTGTATGCAGGAGCAGTCTGGTGTTTTCGGTTGTCGCCAAGTTTTAATGCACATTTAGGGAACGTTAAGTTTGTGTAAGCCGGACGCAAGTAGATGTTCTCTCCAAATATTGGCTTCAAATACAAAGACAAATCACCTGCATTACGAACACATAGCCCGAACATTTTCACCATCTTTGTTCCTTAAATATAGTCCCATTTTGTCTAGTGGCATCATGGGATGATGTGTTTTTCCTCGAGTGAATGTGAAGAGAGACACAAATTAATCATGCATGCTAACTGGTGCAACAAATGGAAAAATGTACCCCAAAAAATTCATCAATATAACAGTTTTCAATGACTTTTGTGTTTGTTTACATGAACAAACCTGCACTGTGAAGTATATTTTAGTAATAAATACATTTTATTTAAGAAATATTGTGCAAAAGAGCATTCATAACTTTACAGTTTTTAAAATAAGGGAAGGGCCACAGCCATTATCAGTACCATCTGCATCACATTATTATGCATCAACAAAGCTAGAAGTTCATGGCTCTCATACAGTACATACATGTGTGTTTGTAGTGTTTGTACACGAGAAAAACAAATACAAGATATCAGGAAAGATGGATAATGTGCTGCCTTTCATCCTCCCATGGTTTATAGGAATTGTTAGCTCTGCCAGATTAAATCTGATTGCTCGGCCAGAGTTATCTGTTGTATTATTCATAATGATCCTGGCAGTTGATTTAATAAGAAGAGTTCATCAATTGCTGGAGGAAATTACTGTGCGCCTGTTTCAACATCTGGAAAGACTGTGCTTTCCCGCTGTCATGGTGAAATAATGCAAATGACTCACGGTGTGGCCTTAATTAATTAAATATGCACCATCTGCAATTTAGAGACACGCGCCTACTTTATGTGACATGCAAAGAATCCCATACAAATGATGCAATAACAAACCAGTGGGTCATGCTGTTTCTACTCATTTCAAAACAGAGATATAACGTTGGTCTTCCACTGACGCTCTCAAAATCGAGATAATATCAAACCGCTCAAGCTATTTTTCCATTATAGTGCGATGGAAAAATAAACCAAACTTATGTACAGACATACAGTAGAGCTGTCAGTTTTTGAATTACCTCCCGATCTTTCGGTTTTTCTCCGACAACAAGATCTGGGATACACCCGCGACTTTTCCACACGATGTTGCCTTGTAAACGGTCGGGTACACCCCCATGATAAAAGGCCGGTGCGTCTTAAAGACCACACTGTTGCCTGATAACTTAAATGGTGCAGCCATTGCAGCATATCCAAGTAATCTGGATATTACTGGATTCCAGCTGATTCCGAGTCAACCTGATTTGTTAACGTACCTTCCTTCAAGAGAAGATGTCTTCTTTGTCCAGTTCTGGTGAAGCAGGTCTAGAAATGTCAAAAAGAGGCTGTGGAGAGTCAGCATTTGATCTCCTCGCTTTGAGGAGTTGAAGTGCTTCTGTGAGCTGCGCCTCCAGGCCGGACATTCGAACGTTCAGGTTCTTGAGGTCGTCCTTCAGCTCCAGTTTGATCTCCAGGAGCGAGGCCTGTAGCGTCTGCTCCGGGATGGGGTAGAAGGCGTGCCTGGTCTCCGGAGGCTGCACGGGACTCCGGTCCTGGGGCGTGATGCGAAACTCGCCCACTTTGTCCAGGCGCAGATCACTTTTTGTGATGCCGCTGTCACAAGAGTCCGTCTTCTTGAGAGACGTTTGTGACTCGAGCACCTTGGTCCGTTCGGGTAAAGTCTCCATGGATTCGGCTTTGGACACTTTGTTCCAATTGTCAGGTTTGGCCATGGACTCCTTGAAGCGACCCCAGCCTTTGACTTTGACTGGTTCTGAGACCCGGCCCCCGATAAGAGAGACGGGGACCGGCACCTGCAGCGTCGCCTTGTCTGAAGGAGAGCAGTTGAGTGCTGTTGAAGATGAAGGCATAGAAGATGAAGGTGTTGCTGGGCTCTCTGTCACCGTGACGATGCTGGTGGTTGTGACGGCTGCTTTGGCGATCGGGATGTCCACGTACACAGGGCCCTTCTCGATGTCATGGTCAGCCGGTTTTTCAGGTTCCTGCCGCAACTCCTTCTGCTGCCGAAAGCGCTGGAAGAGTTTCCTTACCGGGTGATCTGGTGGCAAGTTCAGAGGGGCTTCATTTTTACGTCTCTGTCGCTCCTCCTCCTCTCGCTTCACATCACTGATCTTTCGGAAGACAATCTACAAAAGGATTTAAAGATAGTATGAGTAAAGCAGGATGACAAAAACCATCTCTTACTTTCTTTTATATAATGCAAGCATACAAGCATTGGAGGGCCTTAAGTCAATTTAATCTCTTGAAGTATAAAAACAGAGCAAAATCAGCGTGATAAACAGGTGTATTTATCTCACTGATTCTACAGATTGTGAGGAAGACAAGCCAATGTTTCAAAATGTGTAAATGTCTCCTTTAAAGAGGTTATTCCCACGACACAGAGGGAAAGTTCAGATCCTGCCTCTGGCTTTCCTGGGTAAACAGACACTGTAAGACTGTTAGCTTAACACACAACTGCTAATGGACACTTGGTGTTGTACGGTTTTCAGCTTTTTTTACCGCCATTGACAACTAACTGCTCTTAACCTGCCAGTAGGGGGCGCAATGATCAACAACAGGTTCAGCAAAATACATTTAAGTTTACAACCTTGCTGAGCTAACAGGCTGTAGCTTCACATTAAGTGCACAAACAATAAAGTGGTGAGCGAGGCCAATATCGATATTTCAGGGTTTAATTATGTAATTTTAAATATTATAAACTTTTAAAAGACAACTGTAAAAGATAGATGCTTCAGCTATACATAAAAGCCAACCGAGGATATCTGACTGATATGTTCTTGAGAAGAGTCTAGTGTTTGAACAACCAACTTATTAAGTGGACGTTTTTTGATAGAAAATGGAACAAGAAAAATACCCATTTTTAGTTATCGGGCAAGGCACTGACATTTCATTTAATTTCAAACCTTTATTTAACCAGATTGGTCCCTTGAGATCATAGATCTCTTTTTCAAGGGAGACCTGCAAAAGAAATGCAATAAATACAAAATCATTCATCATTTCTAAAAAGGCCCGACAACATCTATTCTCCTTCTCAGCCTCATAGCAACACTGTTCTCATAACTCGAACCACTTGAATGTCAAACATATCGTGTGTCGGATTTCCCAGGACGTAAACACAACCTCACAAGCTCCTTGAAGGCAGCGTTAGGCCTCCTTATTTAATCCATCTCTGGATTTCCCTGCAGTATACATTCAGAGTAGTGTGGGACCCTGGTGAATCGAGACTTTAATGCAGCAGATGTGATTGCCTCTTCATATGCAGGCAATTCAATCTGACTTGTTCTCTCTGGGGCAGCCTAACCTGCTTATGCATGCGGTAACGATTGGTAGCCACACTTGAGTTTTTGATCACAGATATTCATTTCTGGGTAAAGGATATGAAGAGTGGCTATAAAAAGTGGCTGTTTAATGGAACTGTGTTTGTGCATGAAGGGTAGTATGTGTTGTGTATGAGCTCGTGCCCAGTTAGATTTGTTTTCATTTGTGGTATTAAATCTATCAAATGTACCTTTTTTCTAAAACGGTGTGTTCAATGTTTCTGGTAGAAGCCACCTTTTGTCTTTGTTGCTGTTTTCTTTCATAATAAGATCTATAACACTTTTTATTACACGGCTTAGTTGAATAATTGATTCTGATTGGTCAATTTGGAAATTTCAGAGGTTGTTATTTCTCACTAACAAACTGTTGCTAAGAAGAACAGACCGTCGCTAAGGAGGATCAAGAGACGGTTTATCAATCCGCACAAAAATTTATTTAATTAAACTGTGGACAACAAACATTAGAGTCCATCAGAAAACACTGTGGAATACTTTTTGAATATTCATGTTTATATTTGTATAGAGCACAACACTTTGGATTCATGATGGGTGAACTGTCCCTAGTAAAGAAAAGGAAAAGAAGGCAGGAGAACGAAAGAGGTTAAAAGACAGAGTGCTGGACAGCAGAAGAAGACAGATGGAGTAACCACTAACAGGAAAACGGTTTGGGCTCTTGCAGTGATTATAGAGTGGTTAATGGAAAAGAAAACGGACAGTTACAGAAAACTTTGATCAGAGCTGCCGTCATTTGAAGTTGCGTTGCTGTCGCTTGTAAGTTATGAGGCAGTTAGCTTTTCCCTGTTTGAGTTTTTCCAAAATGGTGGTAGGTGGATTTTTGTACATTTGGACAAAGCCGTGCTGGTTTCCACCTGCTTTCAGTCTTGGTGCTAAGCTAAGCTTTTTCCTAGCTGCAGCTTCATATTTAACTGACAAACAAAAGAGCAGTTATACATCTTCTAGCCTAACTCTTAGCAACAAACGTATTTCACATAATGTTAGTCTCCTTCCTTTAACATGAGAAGAGGCAGCCATTAAAGCTAAACATAGAGAGAAAGAAAAAGGCTGCTCCTGTAGAAACTGTAGAAAGAAAGGCAGCCATTGCACTCCCCCACACATATATTACTATGTGACCTTTGGGACGCACAGTGCAAAAAGCAGTGCAGCAATTATGAGTCATGACACCAAATAACAACGAGATGCAGGACATCAACTTAAAGTTCAAGCTCTTCATTAAAAATAATGGTCTGATCAGAGGCACAGTGACAGGTCAAACTGAGTAGTACATCTAATTAACTTTAATTGAAAAGCAGAATGTTTACTACCTTTCTGTAGTTGCCGTTTTTTTCTTGCTTTTTTTCTTGTAAAGTTCTAATTATATATTCAAAGCATGTGCAAAACCTGAAGAGAATTGACTCAGTTTAATACTAAAAGTGTAAATGATTTCTTTCTAACAAGTATTTTGAAAATAGCTGTAGTTGAAAGAGAGCAGAACTCTCCAGATATTGAAAAGAATTGTGAAAAGCCCAAATCTGAACTGAGTGAATTTTAATTTGTTCTTTCTTGGTGTTATTTTAAAAGTCACTCACCCTCTTTCGCAGATTGTAAGTGAGCAGCAGGTTTCTGGAGAAGTGGTTTGAAAAGGCGGTGTAAAACTCCAGCACCTTCTGCAGGGCGTCGCGTTTAATGACGTGGAGGTCGCAGTAGGTCAGAGCTCGGACGTTGGCACAGGCCTGAGCGAGAGTCACTTCTTTCCAGAAAACATCCCCGAATACATCTCCCTTACCTGCAGAGAGAGAAAGAGTTAAAACTAGGTACTAGCAAAAAGGAAATTAATACATACGACTAGCATTGACAAACCATTTACTTTAGCATTATACATCAGTTGTATGCCTTTTATTAAAATACATCTAGGGTGGCCAGGTTGTGAAAAATACCATCTACAGTTCTTAAGGCAATTTTTAGTTTTTTCTTTTCTGAGTAAAAAGAAACTTAATTCACAACCTGGTGTTTTTTTTGTAAATCTGTGTCTTTGGTGAGTTTCCTTTTTTGAAGCGGCAATTCCTTTAAAGGTGGGGTAGGTCATTTCGGAGAAACCAGCTCGAGATCGCTAGAATTTGAAAATACACAGCCGGAAAAAATCTGCCACTTCCTTACAGAGCCCCTCCTCCAACACACACGAACGCGCACATGACCAATGAGGGCACGAGATAAGTTTGTGCACAGATGGAAGGCTGACAGGCAGGTAGGCCATCCAGTTATTTTAGCCGGGCCGGCTAAAATGATTGGTCGTGCTTTTTACAGTATTACGGCTTCCACAAATGACTTTGTTTTATGGATTTTTTGTCAAAGCACTTAAGATATTCATTGCTATCGGGATGTTAAGAGCATTCCATGGAATATAACAAAAAGTGTATCTCGAGCCGGTTTCTCAAACTTACCTACTTTGCTAGCTCGTTACTTTGTCAACACTTCTCAGAAAAATCAAGTGCCATGCTAAATGAGGGTCTTTTTACAACCTGGCAACCTGAAAGTTGTTTTTATTAAGGGCTTGCAACAGACTCATAAAGCATTAGCAACACAGTCGCACCTGACCACTCAAGTGAGACTTCCAGAGAGGTTTTTTTTTATTTCTAATAATGACTATAACTTATAAACATGAAGTGTTATGATTCAATGTAATCAACAACGAAATCAACAGCTTCTCACACAGCATGAAAATATGTATGAATTTATTTTTTACATGACTGAAAACATCTGATTACATATTTGAACCGCATGATGAAATGCTGATTACAATAAAAAATAAAAAAAAGTTGCAAAAGCAATAACACGTTGACTGCTATCCAGATGAGGCTAATGATAAATAACACTTAGATCTCCTGTGTGTCGAGCAGACTGAGGACGGTATTAGATAGTATGTCTTGTTTGTGTATTTGACATGTTGTTTCGGTTCTACAGTGCCATTAGGCTAATGAGAATCTGGTTCATTGGTGTAAGTTATTCATTATTTGAGGCTCCTTTCCTGTTTCCACCCCTGGTCAATGGTATCAGACTGACAGTTTATTGATTGTTATGAAGAGGAACCGATAGCCGACAAAACTGCCAAGACGGCAATACTGTGCTGTGATTTAGCCAGTGTAGGCATGTGAAATTGTTATTTCCTCTGCATACTGATAAAGAAAGATGTGGCGTACTTTCTCCGATCACATAAAGGGGCTTTGGAAGAAGAAATGGGCTCATAAATATCAGAAAGGTCAAAACAGTTAGCAATTATTTGTATTCTTTACTTATCCATATGCATTAGGCCCGGCTAAGTGTTGGGATAATTATACTGTTATCAGGTCGGGTCTTATTTTAGCGCACAGGACTCTGTACTGTATGTATGTGTCCATATATCTATGATCCAGTCTGTATTCAAAATGTTTCTGAGCAGATTCTGAAACTGTGACAAACATATTTTTGTCCAAATCCTGAATGTATGACTCGGCAACACCAAAGAGCTGTTTTCACTGCAGCCCGAAACAGCATGTAAAGGGAGAAAAGGAGGATTTTAAGCATCAAAAATGTTGTAACTATGGTGCAAAACAGTGTGCCCGTGCGTGAACAGTTTGACTGGAATGTTTTTCCCCTCCGACATCATCACTGCTGTTTTTTTCTGCTGTTGTAGATAACACATTCAGACATCAGTGAGGTACTGTAGCAGCAGAACATCTGCATCCTAGATCTCTGCTTCACTGTGACTTTTTTTTTGTTTTTTAATCAGATAACTTTATACTCTGAAACTTGAGCAGATCTAGGGCAGGACAGCAGGGGGAATAGAAGGTGTCCGCCTCTTTCATTAAATAAACATAAGTGCTGAATTGCATTATTAATTATGCCATAAATGCTGTGTAATTTGCTGAAAAGTCTCACAGCATGAAATGTTAACTCACCTAAAATTGCCACCACCTCATCATCCTGTATGACCTCCAGTGACCCCGACACCACGAAGCAGAGGCTGTCCACGCTCTCCCCGGCGTGGTAGATCAGGTCCCCAGGGGCGCAGTGGATGGTCTGAAACTCCATGGCCAGCGCTCTGAGACACCCGTCGCTGGCCAGGCGGAAAGCCGGGTGCTCTTTAAAAACTTTCCGGTTGAGATGAACACAGATATCTGCCCTCATGTCTTTTGGACAAATCTGCAACACCTGAAGAGTAGAGAGAGAGAGCTGTGTGATGATTTGTCTCTCATCAGATAATAATGAGTTATATTTAAGAGCTCGAAGAAAATCGTACATTGTTTATTGTATTCACTATTTTATCTGTTTTATTGTGTTGCACTGTTGGAGGAGCCTGGGACCTAAGATTATCATCGACATAACTACACTGTAGCTATGTACGAATGGCAATAAAAGCCTTGAATCCTTGTTATTGTCCCATTAGGCGATCATAAAGTTATAATCTGTTGCCATGACTTAATTTAGAGAAGGCAAACTTCACGTGGGGCATCACATCGCTATTATGGTAGAATCAGACTTTTATTTCTCAGTCAAAAACAAAATGAAATCTCAAACAAATCTCACAGGCTGTGGCTCAGTGGGTAGTGTGCTGGACTTTGAATCAGGGGATAGCAAGTTCGAGTCCCACTGCAGTCAGCATGTCGTTGTGTCCCTGGGCAAGACACTTCACACCAAATTGCTCCTCTGGGGATTGTCCACAGTATTGAGTATGTAAGTCGCTTTGGATAAAAGCGTCTAACAAGTAACATGTAATGTAATGTACAATACGTAGGTTTTCTGCCTGTTACTTCACTGAGATTGGGAGAAATCAACGGACATTTTTACACATTTATTTATACTAAACACTTGCAAGAGGCTGCAACTGTGAGGGATGATCAGAATCAGAATCAGAATACCTTTATTAGTCCCACAGAGGGGAAATTGACATGGTTACAGCAGAAAAGAGCCAAAGACAGCTTAATGTTACCTAAGCATGCATACAAAAAGAAATGATAAGGATGGTTCAATGTATCCTTAAGATATTCAACCCCAAGTTGCTCCCGATGGCACGAGGTGTGTAAGTGTAAAGACTGGAAAAGTGCTATATAAATGCAGTCCATTTACCATTTACAGTAATGGGTTTTGGTTTGTTGGTGATATAGTTGGTAATATTTTTCCTGGCCAGTGTGCACTTTTTTACAGGTTCACTAAAATGAAATATAACAGCATTTATTTCTTTAATTGCCTTGTTTATAACAGCTGAGCAGAGAAGAAGCCCTGTGCTCCTATTGGGATTTCGCAGTAAAAACTGTTGTCCTCTTTGGTGTTCGCGGTCAATTTTGACCGGTCCTGTTTTAACTGCTATTACATTAACACAAAAACCATTAATCATCACCAAATTTCATTTAACACCCTTTCAAACTGTACATATTGTATCAGACTACTGGTTTACATTAACAACTGCAGTACATATACAAAGAATAGACACTGAACATGTATTGCGTGTGCCAGGTGTGATCCATGTGGGGGGATGGGCACATAAGGGGGGGGAAACATATCTAGTGTGTGTGTGTGTGTGTGTGTGTGTGTGTGTGTGTGTGTGTGTGTGTGTGTGTGTGTGTGTGTGTGTGTGTGTGTGTGTGTGTGTGTGTGTGTGTGTGTGTGTTGTGTGTGTGTATGTGTGTGTGTGTGTGTGTGTGTGTGTGTGTGTGTGTGTGTGTGTGTGTGTGTGTGTGTGTGTGTGTGTGTGTTTGATCCGGATGGTTACTAATTCCTTTTCTTTATGGCGGTCATTTTTGACCGGGAACACCATGGGTGTTACAAAGTTGACTAAATCATCCAAAATTCAATGACAGTGGTGATCAGCAATTTGATAAGTTGAAATGTCTACTGTGAAGGATATCATAAAGCCTTAATGCAATCGAATCTCAAACAAAAAGGTTATGATTGATGAAAGTAGTAAATCGGTCAGATTTGACCCTGAAGACAACAGGAGGGTTAAAAATGTCATAGTCTGTAATTTGTCTCTGGATACTCTTTTCCAGTACATATATAACAAATCTAAATGTTCAGAGTTTACTTGTAGAAGTAAATGGTCTGGTCTGGTCTGGTCTGGATAGGCTAAGGTGCAGGACATCTCTAAGCGGTTGACCAATCACAACAGAGCCAGCCAGCTAACCAATCAGAGCAGACTGAGCTCTGGTTTCAGACAGAGGGTGAAAAGAGGTGCTGCAGCACAGGCAGCATGAGAAAAATAAAGAGCTTTTTGAACATTAAAGCATGGAGACATGTCACAGAGACACTACATACTAATATGAAAAATGATCATAATAGGGCCCCTCTGAAGTTCATTTAACAAATGCACCCTGAAGTCTCCAATTAATGTCTGCAGTATCTGCCCGCAAGTTTTTCAGAAGTTAGTGTTGCTGTTTTTAAATAATTAATTAACTGTCACTGAACAACTTATGTTTTCATAATACAAATAGCTGATTTGGAGCTTCTTTATTTTTCAGTTCCTTTAGGAAATACTTCATTCGAAGTCCACTTACCCATTGGTTTGGTCTCAATATGTCCAGTATGAATAATTTGTATCATTTCATATAAAGGTCACACGCCCAGCCTCCTCTGTGCTGTGTGTCACAGAGTGGCAGAATGTTGTTTAAGCACACCTACTAATCACCAGGATGGCAGGCTGTGGCAGAGCTGAAACAAATCTCTTTGAAGATGAATGTCAAGCAGAGAGGGATTATTCGCCATTTTTAGACCCTTTAGTGTAGCCGGAAGCCAGACAAATAAATAAAACATAGATGCAGTGCAAGATATAAAGGGGACACAATAATTATCACAGTTTGATTTTGACTACAGATTTCCCCGTGACAAAATCCAGACCTTGTTACAAGTGATGGTTCAAATTTGAGGTGAAATAATACAACTTTTTCCATGATTGGATTTTGGACAGGTGGAGTTAAATGGGATGCAGCGTTATGAATGCTTTCTGGCTTCGAATCAATCAGAGCAGCGCCGGTTCAATTTATCTGCTGCCAGATTTAAATGCTTAATTTCCACACACTCAAATCATTTTGGCATCATCTGAATTCAGTAGGATGGATGGTGGTTACTGTGCCATAAATGCCATACCACTGTCTGCTTTTCATGATAGGCTGCTAAAGTTTGCCTAAGAATAACTTGACCTGTTTTAGGAAAAAACGAATAAGCAATGAAAAATGACTTTAATTTCTGGTGACGTTCAGGGAGCACCAACAGCAGAGGTTTGTTTAGGTTTACTAGCATAGAACAACTGAAAAATGGGTATCACTGCTATCATGCTTTTCTCATGATGTTAGTCCAACACAAGAGAAAACACAAAAGTAGATTAATACTACTCAAAAGTCACATTAAACATTTAGCTGGTTAGCTTAGCTTAGCATAATAGCTGGAAACAGGGGGAAAGACTTAGCCTTGCTTCGACCAAAAGTTAAAAAGTACAACAATAACTTGCTTAGTGATTTTAAGAGCAGAGTGTATGTTTAGCAATTAAGATGAACATATTTCATCCCCAATGGACCTTAATTAGGACACATTTCAAAGTTGCCAACGTTTTTTGATGAATGCTACGTTGAGCTAGAGATGCTACAGATGGCATTGCTCACTTCTCAAAAAATCTGAAAATGTTTAAACAAAGAAAACTCAATCCAGAAAGTTGTTGTGGTTTTATGTGCAGTTATAGTTTTGCCGCAAATTTAGATATTTCAATCCCAAATGGATGTAAAAAACCTTAACATTTTTCTTTTTAAATATCAGGAAAATTTGAAAACAACCAGTAATCACTGGCTGCAGTAGGACCAGTAAAGAAGTCACAGTCTGACGTACCTTTTCAGTGTCTATGCCCCGAGACATGGACCAGGTGGAGGCGATGTAGTCCATAACTCTTTCACTCAAGCCCTTGGGCACCTGGTAGAGTTTGAGGAAGTCCCGCACGCTGTTAATCATCTCGTGGTAGCGATTTGTGTTGGCGTACATCTGCTGGAAGATTGTTGTCACATTACCAAAGATGGTGGCGTAAAGAAGGGCTGCGGAGATACAAAGAAGGAAAGTAAAATTCTGATTTGTATATGAAATCATATGATTTATTAGCTGTTGGTATTGAGTTGACTTCATGAGGAATGGTTTATTGTGTGCTAAAAAATAAATGTAAAAAGGAAAATATGTGAAAATGCAATTTATTGTCCATTTAAAGATCTGATAGACACTGGATAGCGATTCAGTGTTTGGCTCAACCCAACTAAGGTCAATTATTTTCTTCAAGTATTTGTTTTTCAAATCCTCCTGTGGGTTTTTGAAATATTTATTAAGAGGCTTATAAGCCCAGGGTCACATAAGACTGCAGAACAATTTAAGAATAAATATTCGAGCTTCCCTAGCAAAAGAAAACTCCAAATGAAGGTTTAAAAAAAAATTAAATAACTGTTTTACATGGACACAAAATCTCCCAAAACGTGGATAACAGCGACAAAATATATATTCCTCCAATTTGTGGTTTATGCACATTCAAATGTACAAAACTTTGCAACGCTGCACTGTTGGCCTTGAAATATAAACTACATCTAATAATATATCAGACTAAATGTGCCTTAAGACTTACAGTACAATTGTTTTATGTGGTGAGCACTTGGATCAATCCAGTGGGATATTAACAATTACTTCTCATCATTGCCTTCTAACAAATTCCACAAAACTCTCACCAAGGGTAAAATCTATAACTACAGCTCTGTATTGATGTGCAGAAACCTCCACCGCCATGCAGTTGTAATATATAAGGATGTCTCAAAGTGATAGAAGAAATATAGGAAGAGCACAGCAGTGCATCTGAGGTGGTTGAGCTGGTGCAACAGCTGGCGCGTGCGGATCAAAGCGATCAGATGTCTGCAGCGAGTGTGTAGTGTTCTCTCGGCTCTGCAGCTCTAATTAGCCCGAAGGACGGAGAGGAAACATGCCAGACACACGTTTCAATTATCCTCGGATGATGACAGTAACCTGTGCATGCATTTGTGTGTGTGAGCGTTTGTTTATTTCACAGTGCACAATCAAAGAGTTGAAGAACTGCACAGGGAATAATGCTAATTAAAAAGTGCTCCTCACGGACGAGGATGACGGCAGGTTTCATCCTTTCATCCCCATCACTTGTGCAGCCATGCTATCAAGCCTTCTAGTGTTGTATGATTTTCTTGATCTAAACACGAAGAATTTGCTCGTTTGTAACCCATCTGCAGGCATCACAATTTAGCAGGTTAACAGATCAAGACAGGTTATTTAAAAAGGTCAGAGCCAATTAAATCTAACATGATTTCCTCTTAAGAATGCCCAAGTTTTTCGATGAATGCGACGTTGAGCTCAAGCACTGTCTGCTTTTGATAATAGGCTGCTTGATTTTGCCACAGTAAAACCTGACCTGATTTACAAAACAGATTAACAATGAAAAATGGCTTTCATTTATTTTGACGTTCAGAGAGCATCAACGGCAGAGGATTGTTTTAGTTCTGCAGCCCAGAGCAAGTGAAATAATACACTATATATCATAATTGTTCTATACTATCCAGGTTACACCAACCACGCTGCATTTGTATACATTGTTTTAAAGTCAAGCAATTAACACATGTCAAAATTGGCTGTAATGCTTTAAATTAAAATGCTCTAACATGGAAACAAATCATACTAACAAACAAATGTTTCACATTTGAGACATCCCATTATATTATTTTGTGAGATAAGTAGATTTTTTAACACTCTCATATCATTTTAAACATTAGGCTCGTTATCTTAGCATTAAGGCTGGAAACAGGGAACATCGTGCATGGCTTGGACAAAACGTTTTCAAAAAAGCTTTACGTTGTGGTTCAATATATATAGCACGCACGTTAGATAAGTATATTCATTCGCCAATGGACCTTAAAAGGGCCCTATTATGCTCATTTCCAGGTTTACATCTGTTCTTTGTGTCTCTACTGTGACATGCCTTCATGCTTTATTGTTCAAAAAAGCTCTTTATTTTTCTCATACTGCCTGTGCTGCAGCACCTCTTTTCACCCTGTCTGAAACCAGATCCCAGTCTGCTCTGATTGGTTAACTGGCCGGCTCTGTTGTGATTGGTCAACCGCTTAGAGATGTCCTGCCTCTTATGCTATCACTAACAATTTGATGGAGCGCTAGCCAAAAGGAGTACGAGGGTTACATAATTATGTCACAATGTTAGATACACTTTGTGATTTTAGCCTTTGCAGACCATTTACGTGCACGAAAACCTAATCAACTCACTACAGGAAAAAAAGAGTAACTATCAAAGTTGCCAAAGTTTTTCGACGAATGCTACATCGAGCCTGCGCACAGACGCCGTTGCGCACTTCTCTGAAAAATCACATGATGCTATAACAAAGGAAACTTAATGGGCCCCCGTGGAGTGGTGCTTCATCTTCTCCACAACAGCGCCCTTTACTTGCTGACGTACACAACTTCATCGTGCTGGGCATCCAACAGCTGGCTTGTTCGAGGGGTAGTTAAAAATCAGTTGTCAGAAACTCAACCCCCAGGCCAAGAGTAACCATAGAAACAGGACATATGTACAGCCCCCCCCCCTTCTCCCCAATCCCTCGTCACACTGTGATCTTCTACTGCCAGCACCGATCCAGCGCTTGTGGTAAAAATAGCTCAGTATCAGAGCATCCATATTTCATAGTGAACAGCCATAGACTACAGTAGATAGCATCTACAACTGAACCCTCCCGAAGCAGTCTGCGTTTTGAAAGAAAAATACATTTAAATATTCAGATTTTTATCTCACAATGAGAGATTTACACTTAGACAAGTCTGCAGATGAGTTTTGCCAGTTCTCCCTCGAGAGTGTATTCATAAACCTGAGCAGCCAAAAGATAGAGGGGGGGATAGGGGGGGGGCAATCATGCTCTCTTCTCAGGGCTGAAAAAAGTAGAAGGGAGGTGAGGAGTGATTGCATCGGGATCGCAGGGAGCACTGTGCAAAATTGATCCTCCGGTCAGTTATTGCTTCGAGGCGTTGCTCGCCGCCGCGTTCAGTCACACATAAATACATGCGCTGCACACTGTAGAAGCCACACACGCAGAAGATGCCATATAAATGATTAATATTGAGATGTGGAAAGAAGGGCAAGCTGTGAGAATCTGCCTGCTTCATTTCAGTTTTTTTTGTTAGAGGCAGAAGGTTTTTTAACTGAATTATTATCCAGATATTGTTAATCATGTCTACAGCAAACCTGGCTAATTCTTAGGTGACATAAACAGACATTCCGTGTTCACACCGGAGTACTTTTCCCCGTACTTTTCGCGTTTAGTTCCGTTAGTACCCCTTATGTCGCGTTCACACCAAAAAGAGTACTTAGTGCCGGGAACTTTTACCCCCATTTTTAGTGCCTGCTGAGAGATGGTACTTTCCTGGGGGAAAAAAGTGCCCCAGTTCTGATTGACTGGGCGAATTGCAAACCACGCCCCGTAAAACTCTGAAATGTTTTGTAGAACCGCCATTTTATTATCCTCGCATTAGCATTATTAGCATTAGCATTCGCCCAGCGCACAAACGCTAGGGTTGCCAACTTTGGGTACCTGGCTGGAGTGAGATTTTGATATCATGGGTTTAATTCGGTTTAATTACACATATGCGCACGAAATGACTGCTATTGTGTCAGCAGCGGGACCTTAGCATATATATAGGATATATATACAATATATACAAATATACAATAATGGACACAGACTATAAAGGGCACACAGTTTCATTCACTAATGAAAGTCAAACATGTTTGTTTCCACTGTTTTATTGTGTGCCTGTCGCGATAAGCAATTCATTGACTTATCGTACGATAAATTAAAATGAACTCGATAACTTTTCTGACCTCGATAAATTGCCATTTACATGAGGATGTGACTAGCAGTTTGAAAGGAGGTACTTGAATTATTATTATATATTATCATTATGTCAGTGGTCTAAAATGGTCATTTGTCTTGTAGTAAATAAAAAGGGCGACCTGGAGCCAATCCTGCAATTTCCCCACAAGTGAAAGAGTTCAGATGCTGAAAACCCAACCCCTGCAGGGGGGTCTGGGGGATTATCCCCCAGGAGATTTTTTTTAAATACTAACATAAAATACACATTCTGGTACTCTCTTGAGAAGAAAAATAAATAAATCTATTACTACACGACATATTTTAAAAAATGAATGTCATTTTAGTTTTTTGTTACTTTGTTCTGAAAGCTGAACCTGCTGCTCCTCACAGAGAGAAGAGGGAAGAGGCTGTGTGAATTACTTTACATTGTGGATAAGGGTGGATAGACCCCATTGTTCTGTGTGTCAAAATGAAAGACAGCCCACACACCTATCAATCATCAAACCGTGGGGTCTTATTTCATTACGTGTTGATTTCTATCAACACGTAATGTTGTATCGATGTATAGAGATGTACTACCGCAAAAGTATTCTCCGTCGGGACTTCCTGCAACAACACCACGCCGTTATCGTGATTCTGATTGGCCAGAAGACATTATCAAAGATGTTCTATTGAGAAGACGATCACTACGTGACAAAAGTTTTCAAAACCGTTTCTAGTCTTCGGTATTCTTGTTTTTGGCGTGAGAATAGTTTGGGCAGCGTGAGAGCGTGAGATTGAGAGTGAAAGCGTGTGTTACACGCCAGATGCGTGAGAGTTGGCAACCCTGCAAACGCAGAGAGACTAACTTATGGCAACACAAAAGAAAACATGGGAGCGGTGGAGATGAGGAGGTGTCGGCGTTCTGGCGATTTACTCGGAAGGCTTCAGTAGAAGCTGCTGGGAGTCCCAGCAGCTTCTACTGAAGCCAGTCCCCAACTCCAGGGACTTCCGGCCGGGGACTTCGGGTGGCAGTATACGCCGTGAAGTGGTTTGCGGCCTGCCAGTAAACCCAAAGCAGAAGAAGAAGAAGTGACGTCAGCGGCTCATTTGCGTAATCTTCCCTCAGGGACTTATTCAGGTGTGAACGCGATCTGTACTTAGTGCTCTGGGGTAATAAGTGCCGGGGTAATAAGTGCCGGGGCACTAAGTGCCGGCACTAAGTACGGCAAAGTACTTGGTGTGAACGCGGTTCATATTGTAAATGTCATTTTTCCTCAGATATTACTGTACTCTTTTGTTCCTATTTATAACTTTTAACACATATACATCTTAAAAACAGCCATTAAGCGACAGAATATCTTTAAAATGCTCCTCTAATACTCTGGGGAGGAGCTGTCTTATTCAATGTTTCAACAGCTTTTTTGTGACATTTCAGACAGACTCGTTTGCATCGTTTGAGCGATGCATTACGCTCCAGAAAACCTTAATTATTCAGCACATTGTCACACAGGAGTCTGATGTAATGAGTCTAATGTAGGCAAGAATAAAAAAGCTCCTGCTGAACTGTATATGTCAAATTATCAAAGTGGACGGACTGGAGATGACAGCAGTGTAGATGAGACTGAAAAATAAACTGGTACAAGCTAAACGTAAGTTCTTAAAACCCATGACAGCTTTCTCAATTTGACATTGAATGAATGTGCCATATATTAAGTCAGTGTATTTCTCTATAATGCTTCAGTTTTTCTAAAGCTACAGTAGGAGTTGTTCTGTTAAAATGGTCACATCAGTGATGCAGTAGCCTGTTTCAAACATGCCAACATCTTTGATATACTGTAGTCACTGATTTAAATAAGTCTGGTGTTGTGTTCACTGACAACTCAATCAGTCAATCAAAGCTTTGTGGGATTGAGAATAGAAAGCAATCTGCTTTTGCCAGACCCAGAAAAACAAATGCACCCATGGAAAATAGCAACATAAAATTGCGCTCCTATGTGATGAGACCACATATAACACACTTCAGGAAAGGGAAAACCCCCAAAAAGCATAATGGGGCCTCTTTGAAATGCTCCTGTTATGTATACTGTACAGTAGCTAGTAGGCAGTGTAAGTAAACACAGGCCTATGAAATTGTAAATGAAATAAAACGGCAGTTCTGGCATTGAACTCCATTCAAATTTAGCAGCATATTCAGGGTTAGAGGAGAGTTAGAAATACTGCTCAGCTAATCATCTGTAAAGTTCTATTTTCTGAACTTCGATGGCTCAATTCATAATTCATTTATTCATCTACCTCAGTGGATTGTGGCTTTAAAGAGCATATTTAACTTCTCATGTATCATGTATCTGCTACATTGGATGAAAGATAAAACGGCTCCACTCACATCCAATCATCATCATGGCCACTGCAAAGATTTTCTCTCCGTCTGTTGTCGGGGCGATGTTTCCGAAGCCGATGCTGGTGAGGCTGGTCATGGTGAAGTAGAGCGAGGTGATGTACACCGAGTCTTTGTTCGGCCCGCCCTCCCACTTCCCTGAGCCGCTGACGTTGAAGCGGTACGGGTTTCCCACCGACTCTGCCAGGATGTAGAGCCAGCTGTCCATCCGCACGTAGTTTGTTTCTTCATCGATTACCTCGTAGTCACCGATGCTGAACCTGGAGAGCCAGAAGTGATCAGGAAACAAATAATGAGTTATGTGTTCAGGTTCAGGGTCATTTATTTGTACCCATGTGTAGATTTGGTTTGCAGTAAGAAGACAAGTTATCCTTGTTTCAAACAACAATGACAACAGACATATCTATAAAAAGTTAAAGCCACTACAATAAATATAACTACAGTCCAACTTGAACAAAGCTCTTTTTTAAAGCAGTACACACTATTAGATTGTATGCTCTAATACTGTCAATCATCTTGCTACTCCCTTAATATGAAGAAGGGGTCTACTAGGTGTCCGGTGTTTGCTGCCCTGGCTTAACAATGGTGCAACACACCCCCCATTGACTTCAGAAACTTTAAAACTCTTCTGTCAAAAAAACTAAATCTCATTTGTTCAGAATCCACCTTGGCACATATACACTTATTTATTTTTATTTTGAATAAAAGCATCAGCGAAATATATTGAATGAAATGTTCTACTTAGTGTATAAAAGTCTACAGAAAAACTAAATGCTGTGGGAGGCTCAACAGGAAATACTCTCAGGTGTTTGACAAACACATCTGTCCAACGTGTTTCTCTCTCACAGGTGGCATTGTCTATTAGCTGCAAGACATATTTCACTCATCAGATTATTTTAAGTCAATTTTAGGGGCCTGAAGAGGTAATATTCAACAGTATTGCAACAAAAAAAGAAGAGAAAATACAACAAATAACCACAATTCTGTGTGGCAGGATTTCAATGTTCTTATTTCATATCTTAGTGTTCATGATTAATCCTGCTGACGTTTCTCCTCTCAACACCGCTGTCGCTGGGCTTGTGTCCATGCCAACCACAGAAACTACCTTGAGAGAAAGATTCAGGAGCTATTTTTATTTGAATCTGAGTCTGAGGTTTTCACCGGCTTAATTTATTAAAGTTTGATTTATTCTGTCTGGGCCAAAAAACAATGTTTATGATATTGGTCAGAGCCTCTTGTTGGAGCCCAGTTTGTTAACCACATAAAATGTTGCATATTAACTTGTTTTAACATCTGATAGACGCACATAATGTTGTGGTCATGAATATTTTACTTGAATATGTCTTGTAATCTTTGTTTATGAGGGATGGGTCAACTGTTTGTATGTGTGCGTAGTTGGAAGAACGTCACAATATGAACATAAACGGCCATCTGCAAATAAAATGTGTTTATTGTCATCTATCAAGCACATTTTCCTTGTTCTTTTCATGTATGCACGTCATTAAGTTTTCATGGTGGCATCTTCATCTGTCTGTGTTTAGACATTCCCATGAACATAATAAATCAACGTATGCTGCCTCCACTCCACTTGCTCCCTGTAGAGTAGATGATCTGATTAGACTGAGGCCTGCACACATATTAATGAGGGAAAACTGATTCCCTTGAAACCTTTAAAACTGTTTCTGTAAGGTACCAAAACATACAGTTTGATGTGTAAAAACAAGCATGTTTGTGCTAATGAATGTATTAATTAGCCTTATCAATGGCCTCATTATATTAATTGGCTACGCTATTAGAACGTAGCAGTCTTTCATGTTTTATGTAATGTATTTGCACACGTACAGTAACTATCCTTATACGTTTTTGATTCTTTTCTGACAACAGTATAATGAAAACTAGAAATCCCTGTATTGAATATAAAGTGCATTATGATACTGAATATTATATCTCTCTTATAGCAGGAGATAAATACATTTCTGTACTTACAGTAAGGACATTGTTGGGGAACAGTGTTGAAAGAGGGTCAGAATCAAACCACAGCAGGGACTAAGCCCAGGGACATGGGTCGCATATTTAAATAAAATATCGGAGTACTTCCTCCACCATTGGTAAGAAGTAAAATACACACTCTTTTCACTGTTTTCACACACACATGTAAATAATATGTGCACATGACCAAATATGTATATATGTGCATTTTAATTCATTTCTTATTTTATAGTTATTTATCATTTTTAATTTGTATCGTTGATTTTATCCTTAATTGTATTAATCTGTGTGAATCTGTGGTGTCCTGTTTTTCAATCTTACCCTGTTGCTGTTAAACTTCCCCGAGGGGATTAATAAAGGTCCATCTTATCTTATCTTAAATAAATAAATAAATAAATGTCATGAACATACCAGATGCAGGCCAGCCAGTGAGCGGCCAGTCCAAAAACACAGACCAGCAGCACCAGTACCGCCGCCCCGTACTCGATGTAGTGATCCAGTTTACGAGCGACCCGCCCCAGACGCAGGAGTCGGACCACCTTCAGAGAGCTGAACAGACTGCTGATCCCCTGGAACACCATTCACAGAGGAGAGGCAGAGAGAGAATCAGAAACAATACTTATATTTGTGTGTATATAAGTGTAACATATACTGTATATTTAAAATACTTGAGGTTTTTCTTTCTGTGTCTGTCCAACACCTGGAGGTATATTAATTAAACCAACATTATGTTGCTCAGATAAACAACTTGAAGTCGCTTTATTTGGCATGTAAGTCTTATATTACGAGTTGATAACACACTATAAAGTAGTTTTACGCAGCTGTAAAGACATTTATAAATTAGCCTTACGTTTTTTGTTGGTAATTATATATAATCCAGTACCTGTGTCATATAACTACAGATGAGAGTAACCAGGAGGAGTCATAACTGTTCATATATATACATTATTAACGCTTAAAATATAGTATGGTATTACAAATGTATTAAATGCTTTTATACAGTTTAAAACCGGTTTTAGTTTGCTGGTGTAGTTATGTATGTTTTTATTCTTCTATTTTGCCCCTCTACCTGTTTGTGTGTGCGTATGTTCTTCTTTGTTTCACTATTATTGAGTGACTTTGCTGCTCTGACAATGAGCAAAAAATACTTTACAAGACATCTAACATAGTAGACAAAATATAATATGCTGTTTTTTGAAAATATTTCAACTTCAGATTTAGCAGCATACGCATAAAAGGACAACTGTTAATTAATAACACTCTACCCCAATCTGATTTAACTCCAAATGATCTCTTTTTATCAAGATAAAGAAGCAATGAAACACGCTGTTAACATAACGTATGAAGCGATGAAGTGAAACAAAAACACATTAGAAAACATTTTATAGAAAATCTGGTGAAAATGTGTGAAACTACAGCAGATGTGATATGAACAGCAAACACAGAATATGGAAACAAGATTCAAGACGATCAAATACACGATATATTAAGATTCAACATATGCTGAGTTCATCTTGAAAACATTTCTCTGCAATGTGATGATATTTTACAACTTCTGGCGCTTACATAACCGGCAGATAAATGTCTACTCAGCTCAAATGAATATATTGAAACACCCACTCAAACAGACAATTGCAGTCCCATCAGTTTTCTGCTGCCATTCTGCGTGTGTGTGTGTGTGTGTGTGTGTGTGTGTGTGTGTGTGTGTGTGTGTGTGTGTGTGTGTGTGTGTGTGTGTGTGTGTGTGTGTGTGTGTGTGTGTGTGTGTGTGTGTGTGTGTGTGTGTGTGTGTTGGGAAGGGTATTGATTTGCTAATGTGCTGTGGTCTGCAATGCGAGTACAACTGCAGCGCTTGCTGTCACTTGATCTGATCTCGCTGCCTGCTAGACACCTCGGCTTCTTCAAAATCACTTTACAGACCTGAGCTGCAACGCAACTCGATTACCAGAGCCATCGACTTCAAGAGTACTGCTGCAAACACCAGGTGGGATAGAAGTTCATGTAGCCTAAAATAAATGTTATTAAAGGCATTGTTTGACAATCTGGGAATTATGCTTTCTTGCTAAGTGATAGATGAGCAATTGTTCTCTTATTGTAGAGCAATTGCCAGCAGGAGGTTTGAAAATACACCCTCCAGCGTTAGTTTACAGTATACAACATACAGAGATTAGACTGCTTTTATAGTTTGCGATTTTATGGGGAGTGACGTACGTGCCATCTGTTTCCCCCTGCTAACAGTAATAATGCTAAGCTAGGCTAAAAGGGCAGTAATCAAACTGGGGACAGTTCATCTATATGCTCCATATTATTTGATATCTCGAATTAGAGTGCAGTAAACATTATTTTATTTTTTAAATTTGTGCACAAACAATTGGTGTTTCAACGGGGCGCTAGCCACATGTTTGATTCCCTTTCATTACACTCGTTTTGCTAAACGAATGGACTCATGACTTGCCCAGAAATCAGATATTTGATATATATATTTAATCTTTTCCTTCTCGTACCAAAACAGTGAATACGCATATTCCCCAAAATGCCAAAGCACTCCTTTAAGAAATGTAATGACCTGTTATTATATTAGAAAAGGTACCATTACCTAAGTCACACATTTTTACTTTTACTCAATAAGATAACTAAGTGATCTAAAGTGGGATTGTTTTTTGAACTTGAGAAATTGGTTATGTGTTTTACAATGTCCAATTTAAACATCATAATGAGAGGTCATACATTTAAGCTACCGACACCCAATTAGTTAGCTGATAAAAAAAGTCCAAAAATATGCTGTCAAATGAAGATGGCTAAAAAATAGGTGGTTCTTATAATGAACAGCACACAAAGTTCAAAACTCCTTCTAATAAATCCAATTCTAATGCCTGGATGACTCTTACTTTGAAATCTGTTGCTGCAGTACATGTGTCACAAATGACATGTTTGTGAGTGCTGACGTGAGGACTGAATCAGCTCTCATGCAGCTTTAATAACGCTGCTTTCAAATTGTACTAGAACATTATCTGATAGATGTTATCTGCTGGCAATGAAAAGCTTTAACAGGAAAAAAACAAGCAGCACAAATCTTAACTTGCTCTCTGTGACACTTATTTCATGCATTGATGCTTCTGCTGTCATACTCTCATCGGGCGCCACAGCTGAAATGTGGGTGCAAGAGGAAATGTCAGAGGAAATGTGGGACTATCAAAGCCAGAGTAAATGTAAGGTGTTCATCAAGTGAGCATGTGAAATAAAACACAAAACTGTTCATAATCATATTCTAATCAAACTGGAGCCTACTTGAGTGACAGCTCGGTGGTTCCAATTCTTCCCATCACGTCCCATGCATGAATACAGGCAGAAGAGGAAGAGGTGGGGGGCCATGCAAACAGAACGGATGAAAAAGAAGAAAAAACAAAAACGAAGCACAAGTAAGAGAGAAGACACTTGATCAGTGGTAAGCGATGAATAAACACATGACAAAATCAATATTCAATAAAAGGCTTCAAATGAAAAGAGATCTGTGTTTGTAAAGCATGAGCAGTGTGACCAAAGCATGCACTGACACGTTGTCAGCAGCAACATGAAGCGGGTTATCTGTTGTTTTAGGTTATCACTCATTAGAAGCTGACACAATAACAGCGAGCTTCAGTCAGTCAGTCTCGAGGTGACATGCGTCGCTTTAAGATTGCCAAGAACAACTTTGACAGCCGCTCCTCGTTAATGATCTCCCCCTTCCCTATTTGGAAACCTGTTGGGGGGGAAAACAGCCATCAAAGTTATTCATGTCAGTCGTTAAGGTCTGTCGCTGCAGCAAGATGTTGGGGCTCCCGCTTTAGTAACACAGCCGATTGTTTACCCGCTCTCATTTACCCAGGCCATGGATCGCCTCAAAGCAATTTGGAGCAAATTGGAGTCACTGAGTTGTTGCAGAGACTGGAAGATTATCCTGGAAGGGGATGGTCATCTTTCATGTTGGCTCACAGCTAATGTGTTCATAATGTTATAAAAGGCTAAATATACACGTGACCCTCTCAGTAAAGCAATAGTAAGACGCTGTAATGTGAAGTGTGGAGATGCAAGAAACTATCAGTCGCAGAATTGTTGATTTCTAATTAAAGGGACCCTATTATGCTTTGTAGGGTTTGCTTTCCTGTAGTGTGTTGTATAGGAGTGCATGTAAATGGTCTGCATCGTAATATCATTAAAGGTGGGGTAGGTAATTTTGGAGAAACCAGCTCGAGTGCGCTAGAATTTGAAAATACACAGCCGGAACAAATCTGCCACTTCCTTACAGAGCCCCTCCTCCAACACACACGAACGTGCACATGACCAATGAGGGCACGAGATAAGTTTGTGCACAGATGGAAGGCTGACAGGCAGGTAGGCCATCCAGTTATTTTAGCCGGGCCGGCTCAGATGATTGGTCGTGCTTTTTACAGTATTACGGCTTCCACAGATGACATTTCTTTATGGATTTTTTGTCAAAGCACTTAAGATATTCATTGCTATCGGGATGTTAAGAGCATTCCATGGAATATAACAAAAAGTGTATCTCGAGCCGGTTTCTCAAACTTCCCTACCCCACGTTTAAGTAACATTTGCGCTTCCATCGGCTAGTGCGCCAACACATTTTACATATAGGCTTAGGGGCGGGACATCACAACAGAGCCGGCCAGCTAACCAATCAGAGCAGACTGGGCTCTGGTTTCAGACAGAGGGTGAAGTATGTATGAGGAAAAAATAGCACCTAAATATTGTTGTTTCAGTGAGTAAACACAATATAGTTTGCCTGATAGCATAACGTCTAAATAGCCAATACATGATATGGGATAAAGCTGATGCATTCTCTTTTATTTGTATTTATATATTTAAAAACTCCAACAATACATACTGCTAACACTTATTTTCTAAGTATCCAAATCCTGATATTGCTTAATGTTCTCTGCGATGCTGTCAACAGCTACCGTGTTGGGCTGGGTGACTTATTATTTCATCACAAAGGCCATATTTCCAGCTCTGACACAATGCCATGGCTGCAATTTTCTTTTGTGCCAGGTACTGTAGCTCCTCACACTAAACCTGATAAGAGAAGTGGTTTGCTGTCTACACTTCTGCCAAGAATAAACTACAATGGGCCTGTGACAGATTGTCCGCTTACTCACTGTTTACTTCTCATTTGCTATAAAGGGATCTTTATCTAGCAGATCATGTGCAAAGCATGATGGATGGCAGTAAGCTCTATAATTGGTGAAAATGAATTGTACAGTATAACATTTTATTTAGCTTTTGTAGGATTTCTCTAGGGTTTTAACAAACTTGTGGCAAAGCTTTCATATTTTCTTTCGTATTAGGGGCGGTAATGTCACAATATGAAGTATTGCACCAGCAAAGGCAGGAAGAGAAGAGTAGCAGAAAATATAGAAAACAATGCAGGTTGCGACAGTTAAAAAAATAAGCTCGGCTAATGTTTCATGGAGGAAAGTAGCCCATTTGCTTTTCAATGCAACTCTGAACCTGAAACTTAGCATAACAGGGCCCCTTTAAGCTCACATTTACTTATTATTGAATTTCGTTTTGTTTGCATGCTAGAAATATCAAATAACACCAGCGTTATCTTTTAAATCACTAAAGCTTGTTGTTTTTCCTTCCTGCTGAGCACTAACTGCTTTTGGTCACCGCTTCACTTTGTCAGCGTTTAGGATGCTGAAGCGCTGAAAGACTAGAAAGGGGACAAAACGCTGGACCTCCAAACACAACTCAGTGCCTGCAGCCCACCGACAAACCACTTATTTTTTGTTTTTTATTGAAGCATCACAACAGCATTTCATATTACGTAGTACTGTGTGTGCAACCGGATAGCCCCTGAGAGCCGACACACACTGTGCTGCTCGCTGTGTGACCGACCACGTCGTTTAATGCTTTCACAGCATTTCACCCAGACACAACAATACACACACATCATGAGACACTGAAGCACACACAGGCACACGATGATGCATTATTCGAATGAAAACCAGCAAGTGCAGGACCCCGAGGCTCCATTTAATCAATGTTTATATGAACATTTCGATCTGATTCAGAAGCTGGGGTTGCACAGTACAGAATATTTTCCATCAGAGGCAGATGGAGATAAATGTACGTACCAGCTAAATATTTAGAACACAGATTTTCTGATATCAGCATACAACACAAAATATATTCTAAAATATTGACGACACAAATGCAGGCAAGCATTATAATGTCACAAATAAACGAATACATGTTTTCATGTTTTTAGCTAGGGGAAATTTAGACTTTTGGCAAACCTAAACACACTTTTTTTCCTCATAAGAATATGGTAACATTTAAATGTATCTAGTAATATTTTCAATCAGACGCAGCTGGAGATATGTACGTACCAGCTAAATATTTTGTACATACATTTTCTCAACACACATAAAATATTTTACCATGAGAGAAAGGTAGTTTCCCTACTCTGTGTATAACATGAATGCATTTGTGAACCATTCATGTTTGGCCTTTTGGCTAGATGAACACAAATCAATCAACAATTTAAATTAACTGATTCCTTAATCAACGAATCACTTAAATGACTAATTATTTCAGTGGGTAAACAGACACGAATAAAGGCAAGCAATGTTATGTCATAAATGAAAAACAAATACATGTTTTCTTCTCTCTGGCTTGAGAAATGTAGACTTTCAGTTTTCATAAGAAAATTGTAAAACTGTAATTTATTTAGTTTAAAATGCCAGTATAAGCTAAGGTTGCATACTAAGGGATAATTTCCATCAGACTCAGCTGGAGATCTAATGTAAGCAATATTATGTCATAAATAAACAACTAATACATGTTTTCTTCCTTTTTGCCTTAGGAAATGCAGCAAACCTCAACACCCTTTTTCTCACAAGTGTGTGTACTGTAATGTATCTAGTCAAAAGTGATGGTAACACAACATTACATTACATTACATGTCACTTGTTAGACGCTTTTATCCAAAGCGACTTACACACTCAATACTGTGGGCAATCCCCACAGGAGCAATTTGGGGTGAAGTGTGTTGCCCAGGGACACAACGACATGCTGACTGCAGTGGGGTTTGAACCTGTGACCCCCTGATCCGAACACCAACGCACAACCCACTGCACCACACGCCATAACAAACAATCAGCTTTAATCCTGACTCGGCCCTTTTGTCAGCTGTCGTTAGGTGTTAATGGTTTTAGGGCATCAGCCGAGCTCTGAACGCCGCCTCTGTTTAATAATGTAACGCTCTTTCCCCAATTAAAATGTGCCAATTATCTCAAGATCCTGTGATAGCTCTCCAGCAAACACTCCTCATTACAGTCGAACATTTATGAATTCACAAACAAGCATATTATTATGTTGCTCATTCCTACCTAATTTTTCCACTGTCACTGTAATAAAACAACAACAACCAGAGAACAGGATCTGATTGTCGCTGTCATCTCGTCATTATTACGTCTGGTTGTGCGCCTGCATGGAAACCTAATAACCTGTCATTCACCTCACAAATGATCCCCTCTCGGACTGAAGATCTGTCTCAATTAGGTTGCAAAACAACTGAGCAGACAGAGCACAAGAAGAACTTCTCCAATGTGTTGGGATAAAACCTTTTTTTTTTTTAAACAGTAATCGTAAAATGCAGTTTGCTATTGACCTCATTTTATGTTGACTTCTTCAAATTGTATTGTATTGAAGTCTAAAGCCCAAAGATATTTTACATTTACAGTGATAAATAAAAAACTATTTTTATTGTATTTAATAAGACATGATTGGCCTTATTGATTAGAAAATGGCTAAACAAATAATCAATTATCAAAATTGTTGCGATCAACTCAATCAGAAAACTTGCTGTTTTAGCTCCATATCAATACATCTGCTTAATATCTCAGAGTAATGCCAGCTCACATTTTCCCAAACTTAAATTCAAATTACTTTTTATGTCTGACCAAAAGTCTGAAAACCATAAAATATTCAGTTTCAATCATCTAAAATAAAGAAAAGCAGCAAATCCTCCCGTCAGAGAAGCTGTAACTAGCAGATATTAGTCATGACATATAAAACTATCAAATACTCGCTCAGCCCAAACTCAGAACTCACCTCGTCCACGTTCTCGAAGGCGTTGATGACGTCGTACGGCAGGCAGGACAGCAGGTCGATAACGAACCAGGTCTTCAGGTAGTTCATGCGGATCAGCTTGGGGTCCGAGATGACCTCGCCGGCGGGGCCCACGAACGTTGTGTGGAAGTTTAAAACGATGTCCACGAGGAAGATGACGTCCACGATGCTGTCCACCACCAGCCAGGTCACGTTGTTCTGCTTGGTCTTGAAGGAGACGTTGTAGGGCACCATGATGGCCGTGTAGAAGGTGAGGATGAGGATGACCCAGTCCCACGTGGTCTTGAAGAGGCAGTAGTGCAGGATGATGTGGGGAGGGGTTTTGGGGGTCTCCTGTTTGTACTGAGGTAGGATTTCTGAGCCAAGCTGCAGTACCTGCCGAAAGACAGTGAGTCAGGAATACTTACAAAAACAGACACGTGACTAAATCCCACCCAATGAAATTCCCTACCTAAAAAATCACTCAAAACCCACCGCATTCAATCACTGGCCATCCCCCCCCTTTTCTGTGTTTGTTTGTCTCTTTATGTATTTTCTTCGTTTTTGTGTTATTCTCTGTCAAAGCGTCATGTCATATAAGTGTCATGTATTATTATTAAATATAAACAGCAGGAGGCAAAAACACTGTTTATATTTTTAAACCTACCAGTCGTGCTATTTAACAGATGCTTTGTTGGTGTCAGGAACCGATATATTGTTATAATTATATATAAATATCTGGACTATTAACAGATGTATGTGCTATTAATATACAGTATTTAGGTGGTGACACTTCATAGAGCTCAGGGGTTCAACACACATATATGGACAGAAGTGTTTATGATATCAAAAAACCTTGGTTCTGGACTAAGTGTTCTTCCTTATTAAACGACTCAAGGCTTTATTGTCATGTGCACGGTAGCTACAGTGTAGATATGGCAATGAAAAACTTAAGTCACAGGCTCCTCCAACAGTGCAACATGAATATATATAGGATATAAAACAGATAACAGTATTTGTTTTACTGGAATCAAGTCATAAATAAAAAATCTCATGTATCCACCGTACCTCAGCTAAGCGGGAGTGCTTGTGGACGTTTTCTCCTTTGTGCACTGTGGGCTGCAGCTGCTGGAGGACTCCTCTGCTGCTGGTGAGCGCTCGAGTCAGTCGGGCAAACTTTCCCCAGCCTGAGGATCAGAAACACAGACAGTATGCACAATATTACGTGATGATTTTTAAGATCGTTTCTGGTATTTTACATTCACTCGAGCTACACGATTTGTGGAAGGAGAGAAAAGACGGTGATGCATCTGTGTCGGTAAATTACCTTAAATGAAGCTTCTTAAAAAGCATGTTCTGTAACTGATCTTGTTTATTTTAAGTGTTAATGTTTAGTAGAGCAGTAATAAGTCTTTAACAAGGACCTGTTTGGGGTTTCTGGGCTGTGAAAATCCATCAAGGTTTTATTTACAAGCTTCTATTCTACTTCACAGCTTTATTTATCAAGGTCATAAATCATATCCCTGCTGATATATATTCATTTTTCTGGTGTATTCAAGTCATTTTAACTGATCCGTAAGGACTTTGATTGTACAAAAAGACCAGGCAACAAATTTAGCATTGCATTCCTGTCACATTTTCATTGCCAGTTTAAAACAAATTATCCAAATCACTTCAGCAAAACCGGAGACATCACTCTTTTCATTCAGTGCATATAGTTCATTTTTCTTTAGGAGTTTAAAGGCAGTTTCCAATTAGCTCAATGATAGTTTTCATTTTTTTGTGTTGTTTGCAATCTTATATACAAATGTCCTTTTCCTTAAAATGTTTGACTAAGCAGGAAATCTGTTATTAAGAAAAAGAGATTGCCTCCATGATTTCAAAAAGACAACAGTCCCAACCTGGTGTATGTGATCTACTGCAGTGTTTGCCTCACTTCAGACCCACTCTCTATTCAGGCAGCACAAACCGGTGCTTGTTAGTTTTGCCTGCAGGCGATGGCCCGTGTAAGAGAGAGTGAGAGAGAGACAGAGAGAGAGAGAGAGAGAGAGTGTGCAACAGCCTCTACAGCAGCTACCTGTTGATGCTGAACTACAATCTCTATTTCATTAAATTCCACATCCTGTTTCTGTCACTGTAGCCTGTTTTTAGTTGTACTGATCCGTGTTCTATTTTGGCAGTCTGCAACACTTTTACAGTCCAGTGAGTCATGTTGTGCTGAAAACCATCATGATGGCTGTGTATTTCACTGAGTGGGTGTTTCCCCCGAGCAGATGCACAATGCACAGGGTTGGATGATGATCGGTGGCCAACAAACTTTACCTCTACCTCTCGTAAATGTAGAAAACATTTTTAAAGGATTGTAGGGGCCATGAAGTGTTCATATAAATGCATTTTACATATTTAAATCCCAATGGAGTAGATATAACTTTCATTGGGAGATTCAGAGAGACAACCTCCTCTGATAAAAGGCATGAAGTTATACAAAGGTATCCTGTGGACTCTCACCTTTAGAGGAATCGTCTTCAATGGGCTGTTTAAAGGCTGTGATGTCACTGAACGTACAAAGAAACAGGACCACCTTTTCTTGTTCGTTTCGTATTGGAGCAATCTTCACAAAAAACCACACCGGCGTCCCTGAAAGTATAAAAAGAACAGAATCAGCTGCATCATCTGCTTATTTTTATATTAGTTTTAATTTTAAATCAACAGGGTTATAGAACATGACAGATTTGGAGAGGTGGAACAAAAATTGACAATAAACAGGAATATACAAACACATGGTTCTTCTCTTAAAACCTGTTAAGCCCCGAGCCTGTTTTTCAGGTTTCAGGCTCGAAAATGACATGCCCAAAACAAATGACTACAACTTCACTTCTAAAAGGGTTATATGAATAATTTCTTTTATCAAAGCAAGGTTACATCTGTGAGTTGGATGTAGAAGTGTCAGAATCAATATAGATTTTTCTCAGTCAGAGTAAATTCAGATGGAACATAGTAAAAAAAGGTAAATTCTTACCTCCGCCTACAAAAAACCCATTACTTATAGTGAAAACCACCCTTGGATGATGGGTTAGTAGACTAAAAGCTTTAGGAATCCAAACTATAACATATAATAAGTACCCTGTATCAAGATTGTGGCAAAACAAGTTAAATTTGACCTTTTTAGAGAGGTTTAGCAAAAAAAGTTCCAGGCGGAATAAGCTTTCGGCACATTTGGGTATATCTGGTTCCATCAGTGCCATTTGACCTTTTTCAGGTACCAGACTATAAAAATGATGTATTACATTGAATTATCACCATAGGTATTCATTCCATTAAAAGAAAAAAAAAGAAAAGAAAAAGAATTAATAAAAAATTAAAACATTTAAAAAAAACTTTTTTTTTTTTTTTTTGTGGAAAAAAAAAAGACCCGCTGACGGGGGCTTTGGGGCTTATTTGTTGCTTTTTGGAATTTCTGAAGAGTGTTTTTGTAGATGTAAAGTCCCAAAGTTCCCTTCAGAGGGAGTTTCTCTCCCCCCGTCCCCCCGTCCCCCCGTCCCCCCGTCCCCCTGCCTGAAACGCCTCCATTGGACTACTTTGTTTACTTTCGTTAAAAGTCACATCACTATGTAACACTCGCACTTCTATTGGCTAGCGCTCCAACACATTGTATACACGTGATATACATTGTATACACGTGATATACATTGTATACACGTGATATACATATGCGGGACATATCTAAGCGGTTGACCAATCACAACAGAGCATGCCAGCTAACCAATCAGAGCAGACTGGGCTCTGGTTTCAGACAGAGGGTGAAAAGAGGTGCTGCAGCACAGGCAGTATGAGAAAAATAAAGAGCTTCACAGTAGAGGCACAAAATACTAATATGAAACCTGAAAATGAGCATAATGGGGCCCCATTAAATAAAAGCTTCAGGGCATGATCTGTACCACACTGCTAGAGGAAATAACAGTGAGTTCACGAACAGTAAAAAATATGATTGCACAGTTTGCAAAGGGACTTTAAAAGCTGCCCGTGTTTTCCTGTAACACCTGCAAGCAGAAGGGGGAGATGGAAACACACACACATCTATATTTATTCAAAAGGAAGGTTTGGCTCTGGACCAATTAGCACATTTCTACAGAGGTAGAAATGTGCTGGGCTTCCTTTGAACTACGTTACAGGAGCTCGGAATACATTTGCATGACAAGAGAGTGGAGGAAAACTTCACATTTTCCTAGTTTCCTCACATATGGCGTTGCGACTTACTGTTCTTTTTATACATCAGTATTTCAAACGAATTAATCTCATAATTCTCGAATGTTAGTCGCACTTTTTCCGTCGTGTCCTTGTCCGTGAGCTCCCCGTACATGAAGCTGGAAGACACAAAGGGATATAACAATTTTAATATTTAATAGGCAACGGCACATTGGACAAGCGTGCCCGCTCTGTAATGTGGCGAGAAATGCTCGAATGAGTGATTATCATATTGTGTTAGCTGTCAAGTGTTCCCTGGATACACTGTGGTACTTTGTTTCCGTTCTTTTGTTTCTTTGATGACACCTTTTCATGTCTTATCTACGTTTTCCTCTAATATTTATCTGTATGCTTTCCCAACAAAAGGATCTGCCATTTATCGAGTTATACTTAAATTGTGCAGACAGTGCTATTTATAGACCTTTATAGACACATATCGCAGAATTATACTGTATTAAATATGAAGTAGAGGTGGGTTAAAACTCAATGAAATGTATCCTGATGGCATAAAAAAATCTAAATTCAGCCCGAAGTCTAATTAGCGAAAGCACCTCTAAAAAACAAATTAGACCTGAAGATGGGTCAAGCATCCATGAGCACATTAAAGCACGGTGCAGAGACATTCATCTCACTTTGCTTGTTACCGCCACCCTCAGTAGCAGCCTGTTCCAGAAGGGTCTAAATATAACTCTGAGTTTGTTATGAAATAAAAAAAGGACGGCTACATTTAATGAGACTACATCCTGACGCTGCACAGGCTCTTCAGACCGTGCTTGATGTAATATCACTGATGAATGTCCTGCCTCTGTTCTAATCTCTGTCTTCGAGCAGGGAGGAATGTGACTTGCTTCAAAGAAAGAGAATAAAAAACCACGATTCTTCAAATGACTTCCTCGTCATGCGCGAACAATTCCCACAGGTTTGTCCCTGTATGTTGACGGGATCCAGTACAGAATGTAAAAAACATATACATAATTGAGAAGAGACAGAGCAGTTGGGGAGGAAAAAACATATTTGATCCACCACACACATCTGCAGCAGAAGAGGAAGAGATATTAGACTTTAACTCTCTGGGGAGATGAGCATACATTTTACGTTTGAGTCATCCTCAGAAACATCAAACATCCACACTCTGAATGTTTTATGGCCTCGTTATCAAACTCATAGAGATGTTTTTTTGACGCTAAGAAGAAAGACCAAATGTTTTCTTGCCTCCTTAAAAATGCAATGGCACCCTCTTGTATTGTTTAACTGAGATAAATGAGCACTCCTACCTATAACCAGTGGATCCAGTATGAGTTTATATTGAATTTGGAGGAGATTTCGGTACTTCACAGAAAAATGGCAAAACATGGTCAACATTTACTACCCATGTTGAAAACGTATCTCTTACAAAATATGATGTGTTGACAGATGCACCGGCTGATAAAGGGAAACATCATGTTACTCTGGCAAAGATTATGATTTTGACCGATTAGTATTTTTCTCTTATAAATTGGATTTGAAAATCCATCATTACATTACATTACATGTCACTTGTTAGATGCTTTTATCCAAAGCGACTTACATACTCAATACTGTGGACAATCCCCACAGGAGCAATTTGGGGTGAAGTGTCTCAGGGACACAACGACATGCTGACTGCAGTGGGGTTTGAACCTGTGACCCCCTGAACCGAAAACCAACACACAACCCACTGTGCCACACGCCTCCCCATCACTGAGATAATTGTAGATAGAAATATGTAGATTTTGTTGTTTTCATTATGCATCTGTGTTTCTACATATTTATTTGTACTATTATTCTTTCATACAAACAGTTTACTGGTTATCTATGTTATTTCAATTTTGTATGATTAACAATCATGATGAGGCTCTGCTGGAAGCGCACACTCATGTCAGATTTCTGTATTATTGCGGTTACTTATAACGTTTTTCAAAAAGACCAAATGATTGCATGGCATAGAGGTGTATTTTAATAATAAAAGTGGTTAATTATACCTATTAAACCTACTTATAAATAACCCACATTCAGTGTTGGAAGAAGATCTTTTACTACCTCAACATGGTACTCAGTAAAAGTACTTAGTTACTGTTCAACATGTTTAGACAGGACAAACAGGTATAACACATAATAATAAACCTTTATCTGAAAGGAACCACAATATATTTCAAAACAGAGGCAGCTTGATTCAAAATCAAAAACTTTGGAGTCTTTAATACTAATTCATTTTAAGGTCTGGAGCTTATTAATAAAATATGATTGTTTTCTGATTGTATTCACTGTCATTGAATGTGCTCTCAAATACAATGTGCATGTTGCCTGTCACTTCCAGTAAATACTACAAGGGCCGATGTGCCTTGCTGCAAAGTAAACTGTCATTTACTGAAGTGTATGGTGATATTTATACATTCAAAACCATATAGAAAAAAGTATAAATATTTTCTTTTGGATCTCAATTACAGTCAATAGAGCTTAAGTATGTTCCCTTCCTCTTACAGACACAAGACTGTGCTCCACACAGCAACCTAAAAATAATCCTAAAATTAATCTTCACACACTCTGTTCAATATTTGTATTGGCAAGTCTTCTGAAGCTTATGCTCGGGGACCCGGGGGTCTAAATCAGTAATAGCCGCAGTGCTGGCTGTGACAAACGCCATCTCCCACAACACAAGAAATCTCCCACGGATCCTGGCAGCACCAACTGTTTCCATGTGATCCTATTAATATAGTGCTTACTGGCATGCTTTTACCAGCACAATAAACAAAATAGACCAGAATTTACTCACTTGAATAGGTATACTACTCATTTTAGATTCCCTTTTATTGCTTTATGTGAGGAGTTTTGGAGAGAGCACCCCGGGACGCTGTAAGCCAGCAGTTTCAGTTTGTTACAACCTGATTACATCACAGATTACATCACAGATTACTGTTTTATTCATCTGGTTTCTTCCTTTGAAATAAATAAAGATTAATGAACTGTCTTACTGAAGTGATGGTATTAACTCTTATTGTGAGTGGTATTCTCGTTATTTTCAGTATAGAATCCCTTATTGTGATTTTAACTTTGGATGATTGCAGAAAATCAGCTCTGTTGCAAACAAACATTTTCAATATTGAAATTATTTTGTTCAGCAAATACATTTCACAAATGAACACCATTATTTTTAGGCTATGAATGAACTACACTTCGTGCCTTCAACGTCACCACTGAGATAAAGATTGACTACTGTTCGGCATTATGACTTTTTTGTAGTCTCATAGCAAAAGCCTTTTTTAAAGGTCCCATGTCATGCTTTTCTGGTTATTACCCGTCCCCTTGTGTGTTATGTAGCTTTTTCTGCATGTAAACGGTCTGCAGAGTGACAAACCCTCAAAGTACACCCTGTAGCGAGTAAAACTCTAACACAGAAAAGACCTGTCTATGCTGCCCCAGAACGCCTCGTTGGGGATTGCTCTTTTTCCATTGTTTACTTCTTGGGTATAGTGACATATTTCGGATATAGTGATGACGTAACTTAACGTAACGGCTCCACAGATTGGTCCATTTGGACCAATTGGTCCATTTGGACCAATCTGCGGAGCCGTTACGTTAAGTTACGTGGAGCCGTTACGTGGAGCCGTTACGTGGAGCCGTTACGTTTGGACCAATCCGCGGACTTCCTCACACACACACACTCGGTGGGACGTTGCGAGGCTCGCTGCTGCGAGGAGCGGGACACTGTGAGCTGGCTCACTGGTGTGGGGTCGGCGAGACAGCGAAACACAGCGGAACTCAGCCTGGGCACACACACAAACTCCCAGCCAGGCTGCGGGTGTGTGTGTGTTTCAGGCTGGGTTTCGCTGTGTCTCGCTGTCTCGCAGACGGCCACTGGGCTCACAGGGAGGGGGGGGGGGGGCAGGAGCTCCAACAAGCCGTTTAGGACAGAGAGTGAATACACATACTATACAGAGATGCTGTATGAGAAACCAATGTGAGTTTGGAAAATTGCACAATATACATTTATTTTTAGTATACCTCAACAATGGAATTATGATCAGTAGAAATGGCCATGATATGGGACCTTTAAGACACTTAAAAGCTTCAACAAAACCCATTCAAAAACCCCATTGACTTCAAAACAAGGGAACAGAAAGAGCTAAAAGAAGTTTACTAATTTCCAATTTTCTGAACATATTCCGGCAGCATTTTGATTTGTTCATCTGCTACTATCATCATAATGCTAAAGAACTGCTAAACGAATAACATCGAAATCAGCTGTATTTTGTGTTTAATGCTCATTATCAAATATCACCATGTCAACACACTGATCTCACATGATGAACATCATAACATCTTAATATCAGCCCTTACATTGCAAACACATTTTGCCCAGCAGCTGATGTATAAGCTCATCATTCAGTCTGCTAATTAATACGGCATTATGCACGAGAATCACATCTGAAAACACTGCAGTTGTGCAATGAGAACTTTCAGCATCATATCCCTTTCTCTTAAAATAAGCCAAAATATTCCATAGAGGATTCAAACCCACAGACATGAAACACGCACTGGCACAGGGAACTTGGAGCAAAGTGAAGAGCTGCACACACCTGCACCCGGTTATCATCCTCGAATAACTCATACCAATTACCTCTAAATAAGGATGCTCCGCCTGGTGTTAAGAAGTGCAAATACAAACACACTCAAAAAGATACAGAGCATTGAAAATGGCCTCTTGGCACACATAAACCTATTGAATTCTCAGAAGAAACCTAACACTGCAGCAAGAGTCTATTTCTATATGTGATACAGGGATCTAAATGAAACTTCCACACAGTGTTTTACTGCAGGCACTTTTAAGATTAAAAAAAACTTGTAGAAAAAGTCATCTTCTATCTGACACTGTTGTATAACTTTAGCAATAGCATGATTATTTAGCTGTGCCAGCCAAGATGAGGCTCATCTAGATTGAAGACAGCTGTAGGTTAGCCAAAACAACTTCTTATAATGCCACTGGCTAATCTTGAACTTATATCGAATACAGCGAAATATAAAAAGGGTTAGTATCGTTCTTTAGAGTTTGGTAAACGTTACTTTATAAGTTGTGTTTTATATGCTCTCTCATTAGTTTCTGTGAACTATAAACATGTGAATATCTTTATGAAACAAGTATCTTACCTCCTTAGCATTTAAAAACTGTGACAGACAGAGCATTGTTCCTACCTGCAGGTGCTGCTTTTCTGCATCACCTCTGCTCTGTGATACCCCGACAGCTTGCAGAAACCATCGTTGCTGTAGACGATGGGCCAGTCTACTATCTGAGCGTTTCCCAGGACAAAGTTGGTATCTGTTTAGAAGTGAACAGGAATGAAGGGTGAATACACTTGAAGGGTTGCAGTATTTCCTAAAAACTCAACAATATCAAAGTAGTTTTGGGTAGGGAAAAGGTTTTTCAATCTAAATCAAAGTCAAAGATTTTGTGGATCTGCAACTAAATAAACATTGCAAGAGTTTTCAAAGAATGACGGGACATAACTAAACAGCAAATATTGGGGCATAAACAAATTAGTGCCTATCTTTGAAAATGTGTTATTGTTGAAAATAATATTTCACAGATTCTTGAGACAAATTCCTCGGTTTCAAAACTAATGATTTAACTTTCCTTCATAGTGCTGAATGTTTATTTAACAAATGTCTTTAAATGCACATTTGCTTTGTAATGTTTCTCTCACACTTCAAAGAGTTTCATTAATGTCCATGATGGTCACATTACACACTCCATATGGAGCACTGGCACACAAATGTAGGCCAAACAGATTTTTTTTGTTATGTAGTAAACATCCGAACATCTGCTACCTGAAGTTTTTTATTAGTATTTCCTTGTTCATTTTTTAAGGAACATCTTGGGATTCTACATTTCCCATGTAGACTGAGAGTAATTTAGCTCGCCGTTTCAGAAGTGTTTGGGAGAAACAAGTGAGTACTTGTGTTTGTGATTAAATAGTCTGAGTTATTGCTGATAGTATGAAGTAATTAGGTATCCATTATTGGACAGTATAGTCTACAAATATTCATAGCCGTGGTCATCGATTTTTAAATGTCATGAAAACAGAGTACATTAATTCTCATTTGGCAAATTTAGCATATTCAAATGTTAGCAAAGCCTTCAAGCAAAGATATTAATGGTCGAAATTGTAAATAAACCTAAGTGATCATTGAATCATTTGTATTTTGCTTCAGCCTTTCTCAAAATATAAGCATTTTTATAATTAACATCAACTATTGTTACTCTTGTGTCATTACTTAAACTCCAATTTGTTCTTAAATGTCATTATTCATGAACTAAAAGGAAAATGCCAGCGGTTTTGGTTACTGGCTTTTTGGATTAAAGGTAGGGTAGGTAAGTTTGAGAAACCGGCTCGAGATCGCTAGAATTTGAAAATACACAACCGGAGAAAATCTGCCACTTCCTTACAGAGCCCCTCCTCCAACACACACAAACGCGCACATGACCAATGAGGGCACGAGATAAGTTTGTGCACAGATGGAAGACTGACAGGCAGGTAGGCCATCCAGTTATTTTAGCCGGGCCGGCTAAAATGATTGGTCGTACTTTTTACAGTACTACGGCTTCCACAGGTGACATTTTTTAATGGATTTTTTGTCAAAGCACTTAAGATATTCATTGCTATCGGGATGTTAAGAGCATTCCATGGAATATAACAAAAAGTGTATCTCGAGCCGGTTTCTCAAACTTACCTACCCTACCTTTAAGTATGATTGAAACAAATATGCAAATAATTCCACTGTTCAGTTTTTGCTTTGTAAAAGAATGCAACTGATTACGAGTGTAATTTAGACATGAAAATACTAAAGCTTAAAATGTAACATTCTTTTAAAGCAGTATAGTGGTACTTTAAGGACAATTGTGCAAGACTTCATGGACAAATTAGACACGATTACTCATTTAGGCATCTGCTTTTGGCCATTTTTATATTTCTTATCAAATAAATACCATTCAATACCAAAATGTGCATAACTTATTTGTGTATGTTCATTCCTGGGATAAAAACTTGAGATTGATTTCCAGGATTATTTTTGACATTTAAACATATCTAAAAGTAAAACGATCTAATATCCATTCACATAAAATTGGCAAATAAAAGGAAAACAAAGGGAAAATGTACTGGCTTTAAATGGGAAAGTAAATGTGATGATGACTGGGGGTAAAACCAAAATAATTAATAAAACCTGTATGGAAATTCCCAAAGCTGCGCAGAAACTACAACAATGTGACGACACGGGGTTGAAAGAGCAGGAGAAGGAGTTAAAAACACCTTGCACAAAACACATAGAAATAGCATTTCCCATATTACATGTGAACGCACAGAAAATATTCAGTCAACACAAAATAAAAACACTTTGAAATGACAAATACAAGCATGAGAAAACTGACGACAAATATGAAGCACGAGACGTTCCATGCCAACATGTTATTTTACAATGATCAGATGAATGTTAAACTTAAAGAAAGTTCAAAGCTCCAGTACTATAATTAGCCCTGGATTTGCTGTGTTGCATATCATTTAAACAAATTATTTATTAATCTTAACATGTCTAAGTAATTAGTTAAGTGTTTGGTAAATCAACATCATTTGGTATAGAACATTTAGTGGTACATTACAAAGAGAAAGATACTGTCAAGAAAACATAAGCAGCACACCAAACTAAACTGTATAGTACCTGTCTGTTTATGTGACAGTGTCCAAACTGAAATATTTGAAAAAGAAACAAGGTTAAAAGATTACAGTGAGAAATATCTGTTGAGTGTCAGACAAAAAATAATGGACGTGTCAACCAAAAACATAAATACAACACTGTGAATTGGCAATCCTCACTGTTTATCGCTACGCTAACATGAGAATAATAGCGGTTTCATTAAAAAACGTAAGCTCAACAGAAATAGGTGTTACTATTAAGGTAGACTTATGATAATTAAAGATGCATTTATAATTTTTGAGCCACTAAGGGGCAGATCAACTCAGAAACAAGCTGACACACAGCTAGCATTATTTGTTGCGGCTAACGCATTAGCATACAGTTACTTAGGCTACATGCAGCACACATGGTGAAACTTGGCATTCATTTGAAGTCATCTTTCTGGCCAACAGATGAAGGTCTTATATTTACTCTTCTTATAGCTTTCTTACCAACTTCTGAGAGAAACTTTGCTCTTTAGCCGCTAATATTCAGCCGTCTTAAGCTAATGTAGTCGCTAACTTTGTTTGTCGGCCATTTTAATGCTGAGAAGGCCAAAATAATCAGCTAAGCAAAGCAAAAATTCTCCATAGAGCTACAAAGTTCATATAACTACAAAACGTAGTCATTTGAATCAATGTAAATCAACATAATATGTATTTAATTGGCTTGTTCAACTCACTGTTTAGCTGTTGGGCCGCAACTTAACTGTTTTGGTTCACCCATGGGGTTATTTTTGGCTGCAGCAGGAAGCTCTTTTCAGTGAAAAAAGGCTTTAAATCCCACTGTACCCTACCTGCGCAGCAGCAAACTGCAGTCAGGGACAGTAAGTGACAAGCTGGTAAACATATTGAAGCATTTATCAGCTAAAGAGACAGAGAAGAGAACGATATTTCCCTTAGGAGTGGTAAGAGAGCCACTGAAATTGAGTGATTATTGGACTTGAATTTAGCAACTGGCAAGACACACAACTTCAATGAATGCCAATATTGCTTTGTCAACTTAAAAGGTGAGATGTCAATGTTGTGTTTGCAACTTTAAGCTAACCCTAAAGTTGCCACAGTTAGTAAATGCAGGTTTAATTGAATTTAAAGGGTCCCTTGTGGATATGCAGTAGTGTAGCAGAACCACAGGATAGTGCACAACTGGAGCCATCAGAGTCAATTAGTTGTTCATAATAGTTGTTGCTTCACCGGCAAAATGAACTGCCTTCATTATCTTCCTACTGACATTCTCCTGCTGCTCCTTACCTTTCAACATTTCCACCTCTGAATAAACATCACCATATAGCTACATAGGATTAACAAGACCCACAAGATGTAGGTTTTGCGGATTTCACTGAGACAAACAGCATGTTAGGTGGTCAAAAACTGAATGCGGTCAAATGGCCGACCGTATTCAGTTGTTACTTATCATTGTCTAATTGCTTAGACGAGGGGAAATGGGCATACTACCTCTACCCAAATGTGAAAGTGAAACCCATTTGCTGCGGTTTTCAACATGAGCTCATTGTAATAAGTCATAACAAATTAAGTTTGGGTTTCATACTGGACACGAACACCATGGCTGGAAGTCTGGCCTTTAGATGTGGAAAATAATAAAACAAATTGATTAATGACATAATTTAGTTATAGATAGAGACTTTAAATGGCTTTTGTTACTGCTTTCCACCATTCAGTCCAAACCTACTAGCAGGTGCAGCAGGCTCCTTGTTACCCATATATATGAGGCTGATAACCATTGATAACACCCATCCAATGTGCTGATAACCTAAAGATGGGTGAAATTAATGTTAAATTGCTCGATGCAGGTCCCTGTAAATTGCCCAGGTTTGTTTACTGGCCTTATTCACAAACACTATAATGGAACAAAGTTATCATTATTGCTAATAGTTGCACCTATATGCATTTCCTCCTATACATAAAGAGACATATATTATGTAATAACAAACTTCTGTTTTAATGTAGAGTTACATTTAGGCGGTGACCTAAAAGAGCCAAAATGAAAATCCAAATTAGAGACAGAAAAGTAAGCGCGATAATTTTGAACATTGAAAGAAAGGAATAAAGGAACATCTCATCGTCTGTGAACGCCCACCCACCGCTGGGTCTCTCACAAGTCAATTGTGTCAATCCACTGTGTCTCAGTGGCATCCTGCAGATTATAGCCTTAGCTCTTTTGTTTCTAGCTTGGGAGAGATTTACTCCTCGCAAATCCATGGATCGCCCAAGGTCATAGGAAAAACATATGCATGTGCTTTTATTTTTAAAGGTTACATTTTCCTTTCTTTTATTATTTATTTATTATTCACTTTAGGGATTCAGATTCTCACACTGTTCATCTAAAGAAAGCCTGGCTCTAGAGACATATTCACCCTTTCCGCACAAGTTGTTCCCTTCTGTCATAACACATTTTAATGGAGATATGTGGAGCAGACGTGTATACACAAACACACAAGTTTGTGTGGCATACCTCTGCGGGACACGATTATACATTATAAGAAAGAACCTCCAAACTTAATTTTGACTATAGCCCATTAAAAAGGGAAATCATTATAGGTCAAGCCAATGAGCTGGTGTGTGTCCATAATTGTCTCCAAACGTTGTTCGTGACAGAAACGCACACAGTGTGCTGGTTTAGTTTCACAGCTAGCTGTCCAGTGTCATAACTCTCCAGTAGGTCCTGTCACTTCAGATTGATCTTATAATACATAGCCAAAGGATTACCGACACTCATATTTCCAAAATCACTGCAAGATTTCTATCAAAGTTTGCTAAATTTCAGCTATCATAGGTAGTATATCTGCTTCACATTCTGAACCCCATATTGTGCACCAATTGGCCAATAAATGAATCCCATGTATCTCAGGTACAAAACAAGTTATAAGAAAAACATTACCATGTGAACAATAAAGTATATAAATAAACATAATTTACATGAGTAACTCATCATTTGTGGTTAGTCTACCTACTGTGATATGTAATGTTTTATCCACTGGTTTTAACAAAGGTCTGAAATGTGTGCTTCAAACTGCTTTTTTTATGAATTAAGATCAAATCCAATACAGTGAAAACAATTAAACCATTCTCATCCATTTCCCCTAATAGATCCAACCCCTTTATCTTGGGATAGTTGGATTGGTAATGCTCATGTCCACTGAAAATCAAATGATATTGGAAATACTCATTTCAGTTATGTTAATATGCACAAATTGAAAAGAAGAAGAAATGCTGTTTTATTTCAGCCCAGATTGAGTTTAGGTTGGCCTCATGTTTAAGACTTATTCATATAGTTAATAAGGCATTAGCTGATCTAAGACAATATCAACAAAAGCTTAATAGTTTCATTTAAACCAATATGTAGCCTAGTGGGGAAATCGTGGTGAATAAAAACAAATGGATTAGTGTCTTTGCACATAACTTGTTTTTAGAGATAAATAAGTATTACACTTGATTATGTTTGCATATTTCTGGTCCATTTCATTGTTTAATGAAGGCTTCCAGTGGCTTTATGTAATCAGTAGAAGGCTACCTCTAATGTCTGATTGTTACTGGCTTTCTCTCTCAACGCACTCCTGCAGGGACTCCGTATTGGGAACAGGAGATTTGTCAGAAAACGCACTGAATATTATAACTAGAATGAATGGAAATGTGAAGTTGAAGTTTTTGTTTATAACGAACTTTTAAATGCGCATGAAGGTAATGGCTCGATCACTAATTAGCCTCCATCGTTTTTCTAATTTCGTTAATTAGTTAAGTGGCTTCTCTAGACAGGCTGACGAACAATCAATGCACATGTCTATGCACCATATATATTTAGTTTTACAGTTTTAACTTTAATTTCAAGGTAGCATATTAATCCTCATCCTTACCGTTGGACCGTCTCACAATATTCTCCAAAAAAGTATTCTGCGGGGCCACAAGTCCCCTCCGACCCCCCGCCATGCTGCCTCTTCACTCAGTCGTCTGCAGGTGAATCTGTACTCCTCGAGCTGCCGCTGGTCTTCATGGTCTCTGCGGTCCTTGAGGCGCTGCGTGGATGCTCTTGCAGAGGAGATGTGTGTGTGTGCCTCCTCAGCCCGGTGCGTTGGCGCCTCTTTACGCACCTCATCATCCAGGAGACGAAAACAACGCCTGCATGGGTGCAGCGCGCAGGAGGGGCCGGGGCTCTGCTCCACTGCATGGAGCCCCAACCAGGACCTACAGCGCCATCTGCCGGAGGAAACAAAGGGTTAACTACTAATTCACTGACTCCTTTAAAATCTATTTACTGTACTGTAAGACTTTGATATTTACAATGACAATGAGGTAAGATCTGACGAGTAATGTACGTATGAGGATTAGTGTTGTATCCATTATTTGTAAAGCTGTTCATATAAGTTAATGTTTCTTTATTTGTTTTTCTTTTCCTCATTTGTTGACTGTTGTGTAGTTAGTTTATGTATATTTAAGTGTTTATTTTGTTTTGTATGCCTTGTGATGAAATCATTTCTTAAAAGGCAAATCAAAAAGAAAGATATTGAGTTACTTTTACTCAAGTTGTCCTTTTCTATCACTTTATGCACCTGCTACACTAGCATTAAGAGGGGAATATTGTATACTTTACATACGATTGCAGATCTGAACAATTACAGATACTTGTTACTTTATAGATTAAGAGTTTGATTACAAAACATTAGATTATATATTGTTCAAATCACAAATCTACTAACTAACCTTTGTGCATTTACCTTTTTGAGACTTGGTCTAAATGTTGCTGATATTTCCATAATCAAAATTAAGGATCTTTTACGTCGCAGAAAAAGGAAAACACGATGATGGATTTTTATGCTTGTCAACTATATCACCTCTTTATTCTTTTTGTGTTCTGTTTTGTGTTTAGGTGATCTATCTGGTTTTAAGAGGCTGATGCAAACCTTCAATTTCTTGAAGACCGGTGGGCAGGAGGAAAAGTCCAAAGACAACAGAGGAGGAAATGACTGCAAATTGTCTATTATTTCCAGCGAAATGTGACACAATATTTCAGTCCCTAAACCTCGAAAACCTTGTCTAACTAACAATTAATCTCTTAAATGACAGTGTGCAGGATTCAGGCATGGAAAAGCAGATTAAAACTGTGTTTAACATTTTCAGTATATACACATCTATAAAACAGAGAAAAACTATCAGGGAAGCTTCCTGCAGAGCACCCAGGAGGATTGTTAGTTAATTTTTCATGGATTAGTCTCTTACATTTAGGTTCTTGAAATGGGTGTCCCAAAGGTGCAGCAAAACCGAGAAATTAGGATTTTTATTTCCTGCAGTAGAATTGGCCTTTTTAAAGACTATACTTTTTCACACGCTCATTAATCCCGTTCAAATATGTTGGACCCTGCAGTGCCCATACTAAGACGGACCTCAAATAAACTCCTGGTGACAATATATCCTTCAAAACATCACACACTAAAAATACTCTTTGCAAGAAAAGAATAATCTTACAGCTGTGTTTTTATGTCCCATCAGTTTGTTCACTGGGTTCACCTGATGTTGCAGGTGGTGTAAATCAGACTGGACGGCTACACCATCAGGCTCTGTCTGCTGCAGAGAAGCACAGGATAATGCATGATTGTCCTACTGTAAAAGGAATACAAAGAAATATGAGCAATGATGTCGTTTTTAAACTTCGTATTGTGCACATATTGGTTTAGGTCCAGCAATGGAAAGGGATATTTCCCTTGTGTTATCATACAGTGATTAAGCATTATCAATAAAAGACTAAATAGACCAATTCTCAAGGCTCTATTTAAAGGCTGATACCCAAGTCAGTTTACTGGAAAGCTAGGAGGTGTGTTTTAAATGGTGCCAATGCCTACTAGCTTTCAAAAACCTTAAAAAGGTTATGAAAGTAAAAGCGGGATAATCAACTTCCTGTAGTTATGTATAAGTGTTGTAATGCAAAAGGGGTAATGTAATGGCAATAACTGTTATCTGACAAGCTATTGACACAATATCATTCATGAGTAAAACTAAGGTTGTCATTGAGGGTCAAAATTCCTGCACATTGCACTTAAAGTGAAAGGTATTATAATCACAGCATGGCTTATCTCTTTTAAACATACGTTAGCTCCCCACAAAGCCAATAGTATTACTTTGAGAATCCAATAATGAAGTAAGATTATTTCATGAACCTTGAAAATGTCTTCCTCCCTGGATCTTCTAACTTCAAAAAGGATTAAACAGTCTAGTTTCAGCTACAATTTGGCTTACTGGCAGTAAGAACAAATCTATTAAAGTGAAATTACCCTTAGTAAAAAAATTACATAATTTTGCCCCAACCTCCCGACTATTTACACAATTCCTCCTACATTTATCTCATGCAACACACTTGAGTAGTTCGTATAATTATGGAGACTTGAAATCCCATTTATTTAACGAGAGCCGAAAGAAGGACCCACAGATCAGGTGTGTTAATGTTAAGCAGTTTTTATCCAATGAGCATCACTGAGTGTGGAGCTATTACAGTCCTGTTGCAGGGTAGATTCAGACTGATACAAAAACAAAAAACACAAAAAGATTACACATTTGTTTCACGGAGGCGGATGGAGTCTTGACTTTTCATGGTGTCTTTTCAACTGACATGCAAAGTCTTGATTCCATGAAACCAAGCTTTCTTGCACAAACATGTCACATTGTGAAGACAGTCCCATCTCCCATCGCATTAACTTGACCACGTCTTGGTGATATTGAGGTGACTCAGATGATCCGTCATGTTCTTGTGTTTGGGGAAATTGCAGAACTTGGCCTCTTTGATCTTGGTCCAGTTCTGGGCTCTGCGCTCCGCGGCGTGGCAGTACTCCTGCTCCGGGGTCATGTACGGCCGGCTGATCCAGTACTCGTTCGCCCTCTCACGCTCCAGGTGCTTCACCGTGTTGCGTATCATCTGCCACGTTACCGCCCGTGGACGACGATGCTTTCCAATCCACTGCTTCCCAGGGATGCTGTTCCGCAGAAGCATCAGGGTGAGGAACATGGTGGCAAGTTATTTCTGAAAAGGGAAAATGGTTTAAGAAATCAGTGATGGCTTTAATGAAAGTGGTACTAGACATTTACCCATAATAAGCACAACAACTGTACAGAAGAAGTGAAGTAATCTTTGATGCAAAAATGGCCAAAGATTCTGAAATCAGCATCTCAAATACAGATGTTGTCTGCTTTCCTTTGTTTTATATACACCATATTTAAATGAATGTTTGTGAATTTTGCACAGACAAAACAATCTTGGAGTTTAAGAAATTGAGGACATTTTTCACCTTTTGTCATTTTATAAACCAAACACTTTAAGAGATTCATTCCAAAACCATCTGCAGATTTATAGATAAATAAAGCGGTACAGCCATATATAGAAGCCTTCAGTATTAAAAGGCACTTACACAGCAGACAGTTTGACTCGTAAAAGGAAAAGCACAGGTGTTAGTAATAACATTAACAATGGCTTTGTTACATTGTCCGAGTAAATCATGACAGTGAGCCAGCAGTAGCAGGGGCCTGAGATATTAAGCCTTTAATAGATGGTGACAGTGTAGCAATGAAAGGAAATGAGGGAGAGAGAGCAGCAACAAATGTTCACGGCTGGATTTGAACCGGGAACACTATGGTACATGGTCAGCATCTTAACCCCCGAAACCACAGGAGCTTCAGATTGAACTCTGTGCAGAACAATCAAGGCTGCATGAATTTACAAGCCGAGGCTAAATCATCTTACTCTCCTCCCTGAGAAAAGAGGGGAGTGAGATTCAGTCTGCACTTAAGAGTGATTGAGGTGTAATGTGCTACAAAAAGGACAGGAGTGATGGAGATGTTGATCAAGAAGCATCAGGGCACAGAGAGCTCTGAGAAAAAGGGTCCAATCAGTCAAAGTAAATGAAAACCCCTGTGTGGGTCATCAGGGTGCAGAGACCTTCATGTTGTAAATAAAATCTGCACTTAAAAGAGAAATGAGACCATTTCTTCAGCTTGATTTTTGTCGCTCTAAACCACGAACAGAAGTATAACTTAACAGTGTCCCCATTGTAAAATGTTAGTGTATGTTCAAGCCATTCACTGGGGGTGTGAATATTTCAGTATCTCACTATTTGAATTTGATTCTTGAGGTCACGATTCAATTCAAAATCGTTTCTTGAATTAAGGTATAGATGTTACCTATTTCAAGATCTTACCCACTCCACTGTGTTCTAATAAAGCCAGTGTGGCAAATAATGGCATGAGAGCCGAGTGAAGAGATGTAAGATTAATGTGAAAGTTCAACTGATCGAATAATGTTAACGCACAAAGACAAAGGGTATCATTTATTCCCTCTCAAGTAACACTCTTTTCCAAATATAGCTTCATGCTCAGTGACTAATAGTTGACCTGTGGCACACTGAGTCATGGATTTTAATACATTTTAGAGCAGCGCAGGACAACATCAACAGCTTCATCTCCCCAGGGTTACGAGGGTTATTGTGTAAACAGTGTAACCATAAAACAGTTGAAAGCTGTTATAATCAGTATTTATTATTAACAATGGGTCACATGACTGTGTGTGAAAGGGGATCCAGCTTTTGAGAGACAAACCCACTGATGCACACTTTTGGTTTTATGGCCTGTACTGGTCCCCTCTAATCTCTCGTTTTCAACGCCAGCAGGGAGCGGTTTTCATCAAATAAGGTCAGGCAGTAAGCAACTAGCTATTGTACATAATGCAGCACCTAGCAGGTAAAGAGTCATATATTTCCCCAGGAGTCAGAAGACCAAGTATAAACCTACACAAATTAAGGGTCTAATGTACTTCACCAGATGGACTCAAATAAAGACAACAAATGCTCATGTCTGCTGGAAGAATAAATAAGCAGGTTTTTTTTAACATAAGTTCGCCACATCAAGCTATCAAATATTTTCAATAACGATGAATCTGCTTATTATTTTTTAAAGGTCCCATGTCATGGCCATTTCTACTGATCATATTTCCATTGTTGAGGTATACTAGAATAGATTTAAATTGTGCAATTTTCCAAAATCACATTGGTTTCTCATACAGCATCTCTGTGTAGTATGTGTATTCACCAGAGAGGCTTCTCAATACTCTCATTTCCCCTCCTCGACTCCTCTGTCCTCCGGTAGTGACCCGGAAATGGATTTCAGCGCGCCATGTTGAAGCCAGGACATCTAATTTCTCTAAATGCACATCGAGGAGGCTCTCTGGAGGAGCTATAACCGAGAATACACTGATGGTTCCTCCACGGCTCCTCCACGGATGCATTTCCGGGAACGGTGGAGGCGTGACGCACGGCCGGACTTATCTCAGCCAATGACAGCTCTGCATGCATCCCCTGGATATTATTTTAGTAACTGCTTTCATCGCGACGCGATGTTTACAGTGAGAACAGCTGTGAGGTCGGTGCAGAAAACAGAGCAGTGTGTAACATATATATCACTCAGTATAACAGGCCTACATTACTCTCTGTATTTGTATGCTGTAGTTTAGTAGATATCTACAAACAAAGAGTCGATATTTTTCTAAGACCATTTAGTGCTTCACATAATAAAATACACAACGGCTGTAGCCTGAATATGCTTTAGGAGCTGTAGGTGTGTGTGGTACAGCGTGTAGGTGTGTGTGTGTGGTACAGTGTGTAGGTGCGTGTTGTACAGTGCGTAGATGCGGCGGACAGACGGGTCTCAGTTGGTTTGGTGTCCTATGCTTACTTTTAATACTTGTAAATACAACTTTTGGCCCGTAATTTAAATTCCCCATTTCAGCGACCAGAGAGAGGGGAGGGGATATATCCAGTCTCTGATTGTGTTACGTTATTATGAGAGTGCTCTCATACTTTAAATTGTATATATTTATATAAATATATTTGTGTGTATATGTCCACATCTGTAGCCTGGTATTGTCTCATTATACCGCACTGTCAATGAATTAAAAGTAAATAAGTCGTCATGAACACATCTGTCCATCAGACAGAGTGCTGCTGTGCCTCCTGTCATCATTAAAGGACGTCTCTTAAAAATGACCGCACAGAGGAGAGGAGTTCTTATTTCTCTAACCGCCTGCTGCTTCACCTCCTCTCTCCTTGGTTCCCCTCCTTGAGTCCTCCGCTCGAATCTCCTGTGGGCGGGACTAAGTCTTGAGGATAGGAGTCGAGGATAGGAGTCGAGGAGGGGAAATTAGAGTATTGAGAAGCCTCTCAGGTATTCACTCTGTCCTAAACGGCTTGTTGGAGCTCCAGCCCCCCCACTCCCTGTGAGCCCAGTGTGCTCTGATTGGTCGGGACGTTGCGAGGCTCGCTGCTGCGAGGAGCGGACAGGTTTCCGGGTCGGCGATACAGCGAGCAAGTGAACCTCATCCTGAGCACACACAAACACTCACAGCCGAAGTAAAAACAATAAGTGTGGCTTGATATTGAGTAAGAAAAAGGTTTATAACGCTGTGAGAATGGGTCTGCGGAGAGCATTTCTCCGCGATCCCAACTCGTCTATTACCAGCGTTCAGGGAGCTCTATGCAAGTCAATGGGGACTCCCTGTTAGTTAGCCAAGGGATCCTGGTGTGTGAGGTGCTCCGTGTGAACACCCAAATCAACAACAAATGACCGGATTGGCCCAAATGGACCAATCCGGTCATTTGTTGTTGATTTGGGTGTTCACACATCACAGAACCCAGGAAGAAAACAATGGAAAAAGAGAAATCTCCAACGAGGCATTCTGGGGCAGCATAGACAGGTCTTGAGTTTTACTCGCTACAGGGTGTACTTTGAGGGTTTGTGACTCTGCAGACCGTTTACATGCATAAAAACCTTCATAACACACAAGGGGATGGGTAATAACCGGAAAAGCATGACATGGGCAATTTAAAGATGAATGGTTTGCTTTACAAAATAAGTTTTGACACTATTGAGTATTTTAATTAAAAAATATATATATCTATTACATTTATAAATACCTATTACAGATAAGGATATCTAAATATTGCTTAAATAGAAAGTATTTCTTTACTCCACTACATTTAATTAATACCTTTACTTTACAGATTAACATGTGAAACATAAACAGCACTTAAAAGTCTTTAGTTTCCCCTGGAGCTTCATTCTAGCCACCCTGCAGCATACAAAGTAATTAACATTAGCTGCTCATTAATGCATCAATAATAATAATCAAAACATATAATATATTATTCTAAATGGGCTAATCTGCATAATAAGTAAATGTACTGTTGGTACTTTGAGTATATTTTGATGCTAATACTTTCGAACTTTTACTTGAGTGACATTTTGATTGCAGGACTTTTACCAGAGTACTCCTAAACTCTGGTACTTCTACTTTGAGTACCTTTTCCACCTCTGCTAATGTCAAGTAAAATGCTAAAACATTCACACTGTCATCATTATATCGTCTAAATGATCGTTTCTATCCAATAGGTCCTGGTACGTGGTATATGACCTCAAAATGACAGCGACAATGATCTTGTTTATGAGCAGAATAATGCTTAATGTTTGCTAACATTAACAATCTGTTCGGAGGCTCAGTCATTGGTACATATTCATATATAAAGCCATGCTGGGTAAACTACCGACTTATATATGCTCTTTGATCTCACGGAGAGTGGCAAGTAGCTATTGCCTGAGATCCCAGGATGTGTTCTTATTACATGTGCCAAGTGCTAGGACTGTTTTAGGTACTAAAGCTTTTATGTGCGCTGCTCCTCTAGCTTGGAACACTATGCAAAAATCATTGAAACTGAGCATTTTGATTCCCTTGCATCATTTTAAAGCACGGCTGGATGAAATGTTATTGGATACCTGTCACTGTAAATAGGTTGCTAATGTATACCCCTGTAATTATGTTGTGATGTCCTTTTGTTTTCTGTTGTTTTTATGTGTAACTAATGTACCGCAGGTCTCCCTTGAAAAAGAGATCGTTGATCTCAATGGGATTTTTTAACCTGGTTAAATAAAGGCTACAAACAAACAATCTGGTTGAGGTACAATGTGAAGCTAGCTAAACTGCTAACGGTACAGTCCAAGGGCAGCTTTAAAATTGCATAATTAAATACATAAAACAGACTTACAATAGTAAATCACATGTGTATAGCTTACCTTACCTTCTATATATGATGAATAGATTTCACTTTCCGACGATAAAATGGAAAAAGGAACAAAATGCTGTCAAGAGACGATTTAGGATTGAGGCATGGGTTGGGGTCATTTATGTTATTTCCGGGTTATCTACGGTGTACGAGAAAGCTCAAACTTCTTTAAAACTGTTTATACCTTTCGCGAAATCATTAGTGTTAGCTAAACGATGCGAGTCAGTGTACCTTCGTATCACTTTTAAATACAAAACATTTACAAAAAAGGCGACTTGGAGGTTTTTTTGTAAATGTTTAATTTGTATTTGAGTAAACGGGGCAAAACTCTCGGAAGTAATTTCAAAGTAAAAGCCCTCGTCTGGTAAACGACACCAGAGGTAATGACACATGTTGTCCTGCAGGGGGCAGCTGCATCCATGGGAAGCATTCTTCTTCTGTGGTTTGTCGTTACATCCGTAGGAAATAGACTGTAAAAATACCTTTCCTCTGGTCTTTGTGACAGTCTTCCACACTAACATTAAGCATTTTAAACATGTCTTCTCCGCTGCTTCTCAGAGCTTTTGTGAACGAGAGACTGACAGCTGCTGCCGATGAAATATTTCACTGTTTTGAACGAACAATCTTGAAATATGAAGAAGAAGCTTCGAGCTCTAAACAGGAAATCGAGCGACTGAGAGGTGTGCTGCTGGAGTTTGTATCAAACACAAACCACAAAACAGGTTTGTTAACTATTTATTTCTACATGTGTCAGTGGCAGACTTCATTATAATGTTTGTGGAGGTATCATCCCACTTATTTTTTATTTTTTGGCACCGTTACATCATGTTTTGGTAATTTGTTAGTCAACAGGGGTGTGAACTCTCACTTTCTGAGTCCTGAGTGAAACCAGTATTTGTTTATTTGAAATAATGTATATTGTATTGTTGTGTAGTAATGCCTGTATCATTGTGTTCTATAAACTGACACAAAAAATATAGACATCAACAAAGCAGAACTAAAATAAAATTATGTAATGACTAGCCTAAAAGATTTTCAAGATTAAGTCTGCAACAAAATGCAAGCATTTTGCAATGGGCAATGTGTAATAGTTTGTCTCAATTATATCAATTAAAGTGGAAAACTTTACCCAAATAATTTGAATTATTTTGATCAATATTGATTTATTAAAACAGCTAAACAAGACACTTTAAAATGAGAAGTGTTAACAGGTAATTAATTACTATGAAAAGTGGGGGATAAGTGCAGATTAATGATAAGGATAATAATAATTAGCTGCCACCATTATTGATACTGTTACTATTTAGTTACGTTTTTTCCAATATTAAAGAACGTACTAACTATTTTGGTTCTAAAACTGATACAAAATGATATGGACGTGAAAGATGCAGAAGCTCTAAACTCTTTACTCTTTTCCCCCCAGTATCTTCTCAGGCGTTGTTGTGTAAAGAGGAATCTTCCCCTGAGCACCACCTCTGTGAGCAGGAGCCGGGCCCCAGCATCTCTCAGGAGGAACCAGAGCTCCGGCACATTAAAGAGGAAGAAGATGAACTGTGGGCCGATCAGCAACAACAACAAGAAGAAGAGGAACAGGATGTGGAGTTTGGGGATGTGGATGCCTCTTACCTACCTCATTCATCTGTCTGTGAACAACATGAGGATGAGGACACAGAATCTCAGACTGAAAACAGTGATTATGAGGAGCAGTTTAAGGGGCAAACTGAAAATGTACACGTAATGTTACATCTCCCTCAATTTTCAGAAACTCTGATCCAAAATGATGGAGTCCAAGATGTTAGGGACAATGGAATACCTGCTGCAAGCTTTACTTCAAACCAAACCTACACAGAGCAAACGTCCTCTATCGCTTCCAGAGAAACCACTGAGTTAAATCAGTATCTCCCCTGCTTTTTGTGTGATAGATCATTTACTTCCAATTATCACTTGACAAATCATGCTTTCCGCATACATACAAGGATTACAGACGTCATCTGCGCGGTGTGTGGACAGACCATGGAGTCAAACCCAAGCCTTAACCTGCACCTCAGATCTCACAAGAGCTCCAGATGTTGTCAGGTGTGTGGCAAACAGTGCAACAGCATTACTGTAATGAGCGAACACATGGCGAGCCACGCCGGGGTCAAACTGCATCGCTGCGAAATCTGCGGGAAAGAGTGCAGCCGGAAAGGAGATTTAAAGATTCACATGAGGATCCACACGGGCGAGAAGCCTTTCTGCTGCTCCCACTGTGATAAGAGCTTCACCCACAGCGGACATCTGAAGAAGCACATGAGGAGCCACACGGGAGAGAGGCCGCACCGCTGTGAGCTCTGCGGCAGAGGATTCCTCCAGAGCGCACACCTGAAGTATCACATGGGGACACACACTCAGAAATATTAAATGTATCCCACTGAGCCTGTGTTTTTAGGAAGGTTATTTGCTGAGTGTGAGAGACATTTATCAAACATGTTACATCTCTTACTGTAAATGTTAAAGTAACATTTGAGAGCAGCTCATAAGATATAACATTATTCATATAAGCAGAAATTGCCAACCAGAGACAACAGTTTACCCTAAGTATGCCATATTGTCATTTATTTGTATTATTATTTTTTTAAATCTTTAATAACAAGTATCAGGAGTATAAGGGAAACATATTTTGCTGATATTTTTTCATTTCATTACAACTTTTAGCTGTTAAATGTGTTCATTTTCACTGTTGACAAGTTGGGAACTCATTATTTAGTAACAACTAATAGGAAGACTAACTATTTTCAGTAATATCACTGCTGTAAACATCAAGAAAATAAAATGTGTGAGTCAATAGTTATAATTTATCCTATATTTGTTTTTAGTATTATAGCTGTTTATTCATCAGACTCAAGTTATGAATGCTCACATGACATTTCGTCTGTTTCTGGTCTGTGATGAATATGCTTTACCACTAGGGGGAGCTGTAGTAGTGTTTATTCATCCATCTATCCTGCAAATCAGTGAGGGCTCTTGAAAGTGAGATTTTACACAAACAGTTTTTCTGACTCAAGGTGATCTTGTTTATAAAACTGCATGTTTTTTATCAAATAACTGATTTTTCTATACAGTATTCGGAAGTAAGTCACAAAGTACAACACTATTATCCTGACATTTTGCACATCTTGCACAATCAGAGCTCCAATTCTGTTTAAGGGCCGCCAAGTGAAGATGCTTCCAGGTGAGCTTTTATCCAAAGTAACTTCTACTGCAAGGGTTTAACTAAACACTCTGAATTTCAAATGCTTTACTTGAACTGCCTAAATATTACCTCTCACTTCTATAGAAAAGCAGATACTACATTCACACAGTCACCTTGTTTTGAGCCACTCATCCATTACATTTTGGTGGGATTAAAGTACCACAAAGTTATAAAAAGCTCCTCTTGGATCGGTCCCCGGTGGCCTGAAAACTTCCCACAGAACAGGAGCTCATTCAGGAATCTCTGTGTTTGGGAAGCAGCTTCAGGGGATTCAGATTTTAGATTGTAGAGCTAAAGGGCTAATTAGGCCTCAGTGACCCTCAAACCTAAAACCAACTCCTCTAATCTGGTTACACAACTCCCCGTAAAGATGTAGGATCACCAGCAAACACCCCTGGGAACTGTTTCCCACAAGTTAGCTCATTAGTATATCTATATTAATCTGCTAGCCAAATCACTGCTAAATGATGGATTAAACTAGCTGTAACACTTCAAAACTATTCTAATCTAAATGTACTTGCAGCGGTATTTTACCCAGACTGTATCTATTTGAGAAAATTGCCCATACTTTACTGGAAAAAAAGGGGTGAGAGGTTAATCTTCTGTGAAATGAAATTATGGGAAACTTACTCAAGGCGACTGGATGGATTTTCCTTTATATGGGTCAGACTGTGTCCAACAGATTAACACATTGTGCAAAAGCGACATTTCTTGACTCACAAGTTGCTGCAAAGAATTTTGCTGGCGGCTTGGCAATCGTGGGGAATTCCTCTGGTCTTCAGTTGCATAACTGGGTCATTGAGTTACTCACCAACCCACCCAGGGAAGTCTTTGCAGCTGAGCCGAAGAATTTGAGGGGGATCCATCTGCACCCTGCTGAGGATGGAAATGATCCAAGTTTCTGGTGGAAGGATGAGATATGACAGAATCGTCCTCATGGGTTGATGAGGAGGAGGAGGATAGCAAACATCTGGTGGACATCCTCCAGAGGCTGAAGCATGCACACCAACAAGCACGGTGTTAAGCAAGACAAATAAATGTGGGAGTGGGAGGAGATACGGTGCATGAACTCTAAAGTGTATCGGTCAGATACTCAAATAGTGATGAAGTGTGGAAAGAAATGTATTTTATGAGTTTATAACCTGTACTGATTTTAATTTAAGACAACAAATAGTATCAGACAAGTGATTAATGCACATGAACATGCATAGAAAACATAGAGAGGTCTGTACTGGAGAGAGAGTGTGACTGTGAATTTGCAATGAAGTAGGGTTTTTTCAGTGTTTGGTTCCTACAAACCTAATCGTTATATTAAGGTTAAGAAGAACAAGAAAACATTTTTTATTTGCAGTGCATCTGAGGATGTTGCAGAATCTGAAAATTCAAAGACAGTTTATTTTGTGGTAAATCTTGAGGAAGACCAGATGATATGTCCTAATTGTTTACTTTCTATTGCTAATCCCAGTATTTATAAATCACATGGTGGGCTGCTATTAAAAGCATTGAGAGTGACGGACCCAGCTGTTGTTGCAGTTGTTGCTGAGGAAAGGTTTCCAACACAGTTGTTTCCTCACGTCTCCTCTGCACACTCGTCCTTTACAGATAGTACATTTCTCTCATAGGAGAAATAAATATAGGCCTACCTTTTTAGAGAACATTAAACCATCCGGATCAAGTGTGTGCATACTATGAGGAAACATGTTTAGTAATCACAAACAGTCTACAGAACATACCTGCAACATGTTTACTGACAACATTTTCATGTGTTTTCTTGCTCATACCAAAAAAAGCATAATCCAACCGTTTCCATGGCTAGGTATGGGCACTCCCAGCCCTTGGTTAGTGTTAGGAAAATGTCATGTAACATTGAAAAAGTCAGTGAATTGAGTCACAAGACACAGTT